TCTTCTAGAGTCTGTATCAAATCCTAGGGAGCAGGTATGAGCCTTTATTTTCTTCTGCCTTCAGCACCTATGTCTCACTTCTTTGTTTTTCTATGTGTGTAGAGATCTCTGGCCTCTTCTTAGATCATTGGTAAGTTTATTCTTCATACTATCTACTCAGGAATAGAATCTGATTCTATGTTCTTCCAACAGGACTTATGTAGGTTAGTAATTGGCAGGGATTTTTTTCATGTAATTTACTGTAGCACAGTGTTGTCATGTATCTGTACCCTACTGTAGTGAATATATAATCTTTCTTTGTCTCCTGATTAGTGTGATGATCCTATAGAAGAAACCCTAATCCAAAACAATATTAGTTGGGTGGAAAATGACTATAGAAGCTCTGAGAGCTCTGAGAGCACTGAGAGCTATAGGAGATATTGCCACTATACATAGGAACAAGAGATCCATAAGTTGCTAACATTGATATGGTAGCTCTCAATGCTCTCCAACAATATCTGTTCTATAGTATCCCTATGAGAAATTTCCTGGTTTGCTGATGGAGGGTGAGCGTAAATATGGGTGGCCTGACAATAAGCAGCCAGAGCACGTGGGAGCTGGTACCAAAATGGGTGGAAAGCAGTGGGTGTAAACAAGTGTAAATAAAAGTGGCAGGGAACCAATATTTTATGATAGGACACCCCCTTGGCGGAGTTCAAAACAGTGGTGGAGGAGGTCGAGCTCATTATAATGAGCCCAGCCACACAAAAAAGGCCCCAAACGCCCATTGTAATGAGGGAGATTGACGGGATTGCCGTGTCTCATTATAATGTGGTTTGACGGTACTACCGTCGCTCATTATAATGTTCACTACACGGTCGCCTGCCAAATTCATCATTCGGCACCAGAATGAGGGTTATACGGAGAACAGGATCGCACACGAAGCCGAGGATGTATTTCTTGGCTTCGATCGAGTCCCGATTTATCACAAGATCAAATTCTGCCTTCGAGATCCTCATGGGTGTGAACTTGCTCAAGATATCCTCGATGTCGCACACTGTTGCCCGCTCCATACTCCACCACCTCCACGGGAGGTGGTGGAGTATGGAGCGGGCAACAGTGTGCGGGATTACCTATTCCTGCTCGCTTCGATACAGTACTTATTGATGTTGGTGCTAATGGGCATCCTGGTGCCAAAGGTGTGGATCTTCTCATTCAACAGTTCGCATATTGTCTCAGTTTAACGATTCCTAATATATGCTCTCAGGATATTGTATTGCCTAGGTTTGCGCTGTTTTTTGGATTCCTGACCGTGTACTCAATGAACTTTTTCCCGCCACACATCCGCCACGCCACCTTGCATATGTGGAGTGGTTCAAACCTTTCACGCTTCCTAATAGTAATCATTGTATGTACAAACTCAAGCGTGTCTTGCAGAACGGTGTGCGCTCTGCGGGTATCATTCCTGTTGCCAGCATCCGTCGTACTGTACACCTGTTTCCGCAGTTCGGCCCTCATTTTCCAGATGGCTAGACAACCAACACGTCGTTAGAATTAGCCACCAGTTTTTTCCTCAACTCTACTCTCGATCGTCTCTCTCATCTCTCACTGTGCTAAATTATTGTTCACTTGTCACAGAGATACCCTAATACATCCTCAGTACCCTCGGGCCACAGCCGCTTTGGACATAATGTGTGCTTCTTCCTTTATCCCGCAGCCAAGTTTGACTTTATTGTTGAATATTATGCTACATTGGCTGCTATCTAATGCACCCCCAGCTCAAATAGTGTGAAATAGTCCTAAATAGCCTACACCTGGACATTTCGAGCTCTATTAGCCTGAAATTTAGCGGGAGAGGTTTTTCCTGATGTACTTTTCACGAAAGGCTGGCTCCCACTGGTAGTGGCTGCAAAGTCCACTTGTTGTTGAGAGTGTCTGGAAGCAATATTGACAGATAATGGTAGGGCACATCTTTTTGGTGAGGATAGGAGGCAATCACAATGCACAGGGTTAGAATAATGGATTAATCCCCTATCATTGCTCCCAGATTTACCCCTCGATGACCTGTGCTGTGGTGCTCATCGGTAGCTAGCACGTGCTCCATCTTAGTGATTTTTTTTTTTCCGCCATGCATATACCACCGCTCCTTCCCCTTCTCCCTTTCCCTGACAGCCCTTTTCATCCAGTTTAATCATGGCCAAGGCAAAAAAGAGAGCCGTGAGTGACTCGGAAGAAGAATATGAAGAGGTCATGTCAGATAATGACCAGGACAAGGACTCAGACAAAGATGCTGAGCCAGAGGAGACAGGGACGACTTCAGTGGGCAAAGAGCGGTGAGACACAGTCAATTTTTCCTTTCCTACTACCACAGTCTATTAACACTCCTATTGAAATGGCTTGTGCCGCCAAAGACGCAGACAAAATCGTAAGTCAGGACAACAACAACCTTGGATTGGCCACATTCCAAGGTAGCGTATGTATCCCTTGCTTCTCACTACAATCTCACTATGCCTATTCTCCCTATAGTTGATTTATTTTCTTTAGGTAAAGACCATGGTTGTCATCATAATAGACAATTCCAGTAGGCCTCCAGGCCTCAACATATATGAAGTTTCAAGTAGGCCAATGCAACACGGTGGCCTTATACCTCAGTGCACCCGACAGATGGTGCTAAGATTAGATAGGTGTGCTGAGAAGCGCCTCCATCTATCTTATCTGATGTAATAGCTATACAGTTGTGGCTGAGTGGCGAGGCACACATTGGACATTTGGACCGTATTATATTAGCACCTTTATCTTGTACATTTCTACCCTACTTGGAATTTCTTTCCATGGTCTCGAAGAGACACACGGGTTCTGTTCTATTGTGTGGGACTTTAAGCTGACCTCTTACAGCCGAAGCCTTCTAAGTCAACATTGAGCGGCAGTGCCAGTGGTCTTCAAGCCAAAGGATTTATAGGTAATCACCGTTCTTCAAGCACCTGCCAACCAGACGTCCAAAACAAAGGCACCACAGGTATAATCTAGCTATACTCTCCTGCACTATTACATGAACTCATTTGTGGTCTATTTAGGCCAGCAATCTTCCCAGAGCTCTGCAAATGGCTCGTCGGATATAGCAGCTGATGATGGATGTTCTCGTGCCTCTTCACCTCTGGTTTGTTATAAGCATCACGCTGATGGTTTTATTGTAAAGACACTAACACTATATCACAGGTGTCAGTTGATGAAGTGGAAACATGAGTAGAACAGCTCGGAAAAAACAATGTTGAGGGAAATGATGATATACCGCTTTGTCATGGTTAAGGCCATGACAGGTTAATCCGGCTTCGGTTATTTCATATTTCGTTCGTACTTACTTGCCTAGTTCGTCCAATGCTCCGCTGCCTCAATGTCTCCCCGCTCCTATGTGTCACTTTATTCTGGTTTCTTTTCATCTCTTTTATAGCCCACATTGTTGACCCACATCTCGTCCCCTTCCAACTCGTCCCGCAACTCCTGTACTTACTCAGCCTCAACTCGCGCTCATATATAAAAGCTTGACGGAGATCTCTCTCTTGTATCCTCGTTGTTCAATGCCAGTAGTATATCTACTTTACTCACTTCTAATCTCATTTCTTGCTTGTCTAACCATCAGCAAAACCGCATCGGTCTATTCCGGTCTATCGCATCTACTCCGCAAGATGCCTAGACCGATAGCCCGATATGCAGCTCTCTAGCGCTAACGGACTTGCCCAGGGCTAGAGCGGGATTCCTAGCGATAGACACAAGATAGAGCTTGTAGAGATTTCATATGCAGTCAATTTTCCCGCTTTCATAGATATCACTAGAGTGTATAGATGATTTGAATCACATTATATAACGGCGGCAGCAGGAGAACCTGCCACCCCATGCACGACTACTTTATGTACAAAAGGAAAGCGGCGAAAACCCTACTACATGTATAGAATATCGCTGATCCCGCTTCGACTGCCCCTTTGTAAGTGAATCACATTAGTACATTAGTGTCAAGTATGCCAACGTGACAACTCCACATAACTCACCAGACTCAAGCCAGTCTTGCACAACCTGTATCTGATGTAGCCAAAGTTAGTGGCTGAGTAACAGCGAATCCTACGAGAGCTGAACTGACCGCTGCAGCCCTCCATCACGCGGCTAAACGGTGTTACACATAGTGTTCTGACTCTGGTTCCCACATATCTAACATGACGAGGGCATACATACTCACCTCAATAGTTTTGCTCTTCGCCCATTGGACACTGTCGACAAAGAAGCCAACATATTAGCGAAAGCATAATAAAGATATGTTGAGACTCGATGATGGCGACTTTGCTTCGTAGGGCAATGTACCTCAGAGGGAGTGGAGTTGCCATCTCACCACAAGAAACTGTGGGCATAGATTGAGAAGCAGGGTTGTAGCAAATGGAGACCGGGAGGGGTATGGGACAGTTGGACCACACCGTTTGTGGGGATAGATGGTACACGAACCATAGGGTATAAAGAACTGAACACACAATTCATGGAGAAGGTAACATAGTTCTAACCCCGCGAAGGCTGTCTAGACCTTGAGAGATGCGGCTCCGGCTTTGAGGGCATGGATGAAAACGAGGAAGAACGAAATACAGGCACAATCTTGAGTGGGAAAGAACGATGCACGAGACCACTGCTTACCGCATCCTCGAAGCGTTGAGTAGTCGCAACTTGTTGAGCGTTGATCACACAGGCGACACTGTGAATGGAGAAGTGAGCAAGCGAAGACGTTTGCGAATAGACGCACGCACCACTTCCTGACAGTCGGCAGGCCGACTGAACCCCCAAGGATTGGCTACGTGACACTATGACCATGCATCAGTGTAACAATGCTGCAAGCGCTCTTGGACGTTGAACATTGCAATATACGCTTGAATGAGCAGGTTCAGGCAAGGGGAGGGAAGTGAAGGGAAGGGAAGAAGGACGAAGGGCGTCTGAGACGCGAGTGGTCGATGCAATCTCTCGCATCAACGGAGTCACGTGTTAGTTTAGGGCAGGCTTCAGCACGTGTGGATCACGACTCACTGAAGCTCGCTGAACGCTGGCTCTCTGCAACCCCTTCTTCATCCGTTCTGCTTATACAGTACGCGAAGCATCGCCGCACTCCGTGACCATCGCCTGCTTGACACTTTCCGCTGCTCGTAACGAGCTATCCTCAGAACATGCGGCTCTTCAGTATTGAGTCCTTGGCATATCGTGCTTTGTGTACGTTCCCAGTTTTGTGGTGCAGTCACTAGGTGGCTAGAGGAAGGCCAGTGCCCGACAAGCGACCCAGGTGAGTGGACTCCAAACTTAATCAATGTCCGTGCTGACCATCATCGTGCCCTTTCCCTTCTCTCTACCATGCTTCGTTGCAGGAGCTCGAGATTGGAGTGTCCGTAAGAACGAGGGTACTTACCTCGGTATGTCTGTCTCTCATTTGTCCTTCATCACTCCCTACGTTATTCTCAATCCCATGCGCATCCATGTTGGAGGTAATGGCCTGCTTCTGTGAACAACGAGGCCCGGCTGTCCGACAATGTTCCTTCCTGCCAATTCACCACCCTGACACATTTCTGTAGAATAGCTTACTGATGTTTTTGTCTACGTAGACGTTACTGGCACACACACCATGAAAACGTCCATGATCTATGAGCTAGTGTGGATATGGATATATTGTTGAATATAGCAGTGTCGGGCAAGATAACCGTTCAAGTTGTACCAACATCATCACATAGCTCCCCCCTGGTTGTACCCCTTTCATATGACTTGTGACAGTCCCTAAAACTCCGGTTTCTCATCCAATCATGTACACTACCTATAGAATACTTACATCTACCTAACACATCTCTTACTGCCGGTCGAGTTGGAGGCGCAGCATCGACATCCCGTCACCCTGACTCCCGTACGCGCGCTTGGTGCTCAGCGAAGTCAACTTAAATGCTCAATATTCAATACTCCAACAAGAGCTGGTCTTTCAGTCTATGGAGCTCTATATGCTCTTATAGCACTAGCCACTCTACTCGTGTCCACCCGGTTAGAGCCCCAAGAGCGGATAGGTCCGATAGACCGGTGCGGTTTTGCTGATGACTCCTCACTTGGCTCTGCCTCCAACCCTGCTCATTACATGCTCCATGGTACTTCGACTTCTTTGTGCAGCTCACACAACTTCAGCAGTGTTTGTGATCCAGAATGTTGAAAGAAGAAAAAGTGAAGTGCATAACAATCAACTCCACCATGTTCACATACATGTCTGACTCTTTTTTCCAGAGACCACCAACAGCAATAAAGAAGCTCAAGGTGGCGGTGAGGTCTTGTTTCATCCTGCTCATGTCCCCGATACATACTAACTCAAACTACAAGATACTTCAAAAGCTACTCTGTGTCCGCCGCCACTGAAACCCGCTGTAAACCCACTGTTGACCAAGCTCAATGCGCGCGACTACCCTGATGAACAGTGATGATGTCAAGACAATCATCCTAAGTAAAATTTGGCCTGATATGATCCAGGTACACACCCACCAAAACTGTATAGGGTTCCCAGATAAGTACAAGATGTCTAACATAGTGAACCAGCACCAATCATGACACATCAGGACGGTGGCTCAGTGACTTCCAAGAGTTTTGATGTAACACAAACTAGAAAGATATAGCATCACATTGTTCAATATGTATATAGTATGTATATATACCAAACATAACAGAGGATTAGAGAAAATCAAAACAAGGTCTAGCCATTCATACCATACGAACTAGTGTCAATCCCCAAAATATCTTCCTGTCAATGCAGGATCTGTATCGCAGTTACAGCAGAATGCTTTGAAATGTCATCGAGCACCTCCTCAGTATCGCTGATTGACTCGATATTGGTCATGTCAGCTAATCGCGGGGGCCAGCGATGACCAGACCAGGAATCACATGAGGCGTCAACAAGATTTGAAGATGCATAAGACTGTGGTGGTGACATTGGAGAATTTGGTGCGAACAAAAACCCTTTTTGGATGGAGGATACAAGTGCAGAGATAGGTGTACCCTCGCTCTCGGTACTGCGGATATTTGTCGAGGCGAAGGGCCTTTCGGGGGTAGTGATAGGTGACGCACTTGTGCCTACACAGAGCGGGGATTGGGGCTGTGAGCCTGCAGGGACTTGATCATGTGGTGAAGAAGGTGAAGAAGGTGAAGAAGGTGAAGAAGGGATAACGGGCGAATATGGGCCTGCTATGTGGGTGTCCGCGGGTGTGGGTAAGGGAGAATACAATGTCTGTTCGTGATTCGCTGGTATAGAAGGTGAAGGCGAGGGTGGAAGTGGTATTGATTCTGGGCGCACTGCCGTGGGATCGGACGGTTTAGACGTGTCCACCAGTTCCCGCTTGCTTCCTGGTTTATGAGCGAGGGGGGCTGGTGCTTGCGGCGCTCGAGGATTGACTGCACGATCCTTACGCTCGGTGGTCGTCTTCGTCGCAATGGCCTTCATACGAGCTATCTGGGAAAGGGTGGGTTGTGTGATTCCGCCCGTCCGTTTAGTGCCATGATCTGACGCAGAGGTGGCTCGGGAACCATTAGGCCGAGGCGGGTCGGTTTTACTGCTAAGTATCGTTGGCAGTTTGCTAGTTCCAGATGGTGCAATCTTTACTGGTGCGAAAGATCTATAGATAGTGGTAGTGAGAACGCCGTGATAGCTGTATAGAAAAAGCGACGTACTTCACGGTAGTGAGAGCCGAAGCCGTACTTCTCGCAGGAATAGGATTGGGTTTGCCATCTACCGGTTTCGCCACGTCGGTTACAGAGGTGATAGGTCTGGGGACTCTCTTCGCCCCTCCAACCTGCCGCTGCCGTCCTCTACCGTCGCCCTGGCTGGTGGTCAACGCATGGGAGAGGGCTGGGTCTGCTGGGGAGCGTCTGGGTCCAACTGCAGTTCTTGTGGTCAACGTCTCGATGGTAAGACCTATAGGTGCTCTGCCAGATCCGATAGCCTTAGAAGATGAGTTATCGAGTGGTTGACGGATGCGCTGAGGCCCTGTTCCCGTGGCGCTGCGCGATGCAGAGCGTGCAGGGACCGAGTCCACTGATGAAATAAGGACACCTCCGGGTCGCAACGGTGCTTGGGGCACAGGATCCTTTGATAGAGAGATACCGGTGTGCACTGATTTTGAACGCCGAAGGGGAATGCTGGGTGGGGGTGGCATGCTAGATTTTTGTGCAGCAACGTTCGCTGGGCGTGTGGACGTAGTCTGACTTCGGGAGAGACTCGGCGCAGCACAGGAACCGATTGGCTCGTTGACAGCGGATGAAGAGGCGGCACGTTGGTGGACAGAGAGGTGCCTTGAGCGAGTGGCCTGACCTAGGACGGAGCGAGGTCTAGATACGGTCGAATGTGTGGAGCGTATGGATTGGGATGACTGAGAACGTGAGGCCGGACGACTGATAGGCCGAGTCGGTGCCTTGACATCGAGGTATTTCTTCGTTGTTGGTGACAGAGGGTCGGTGAAGCTTAACAATGGAACCCCCCATAAGCCTGAGGCAAGGAGCCGTGACTATCAATAGTCGATCACGCACCTGTCTACCCTGTGTGGTAGGAGAACTGTGTAAGCATCAAAGATTTTTCTGCTGACCTTCCGAATCTCGGCATTGGCGTCTCTCGATGTGGCCCTGATGGCGCTTTCTAGGTCTCGAGCTCGAATTTCCTTCTCCAAATCCGGGGGATTGATTGAGTTCACGCAGGAGAGGATGCCTTCTGCTGCCGCAAGACGCATCATATGCGATTTGTCTCGAAGACACTGGACCAGATACGGCAGAATGGAAGCTAGCTGCGTGCCCTCGATGATGAGTTGGATGCTTGCTTTGGCGCGAGTGATGAAGACTTTATTGGGACGACTGCAGAGCGAGAGCACGGTTGGGAGAAAGAGGGGTAGCAGCGTCTCAAAATCTGTGCCGAGTTCAGAGGCAGAAACATTGATAAGGTCGACGGCAGAGGAAGAGAGCCGTGATCGTTCTGATGACGCAGCACTGGAAATGGCACGATGGTTCGAACGCAGGGTGGCCACAAAAGTCGTGGGATACTGAGATGCGGCTCCTTTCGCAAGAGCAACAAGGCGTAAAATCGCGTTAGAGATCGAGTTCCAGGTTTCTTCTGACTCGGCCGCATTGAGGGCTTGGACTATGGGGGCTACTGTGCTCTGGAAGTCGGACTCAGAAGCGCACTGGGAGTTCCTTGAATACCTGCGAGCACGATGAGTTAAAACGAAGAGCATACCGTTATGATGTCTGGAATCTTGGGAGGCATCGAGAAGGAAAAGAGACCGTTCCAAGGGATATCGGTTCAGGACGATGAACGTTCAGGTCAAAATGTTGAACGTCGGATCTCGATGAACAATAAAACGCAAGCACGTGACCGCGTGCTTCCTCCATGTCCTCTTTTGGGTTGTGGGCAATGCCAGTGACTCGAGTGTATGCGCTGTTTCGGTTTGCTGAAAGCCTCCTGCTCCCGGCGAGCATACTCGAGTATGGCGACTTTGACGAGCAACTCAATTCCTAACTGGACTTCATCCAAGATTCGGGAGGAGTTTTTTAACTACTTCCGCTCGAGGGACCACACGTTTGTTCGCTCTTCGTCGACAATTCCATATGAGGACCCTACCCTCCTTTTTGCAAACGCTGGTATGAACCAGGTAAGGTATTCACCCGGTACTCTCATGTTTTCTCAACTTATCCTTTGTCATACCAAGTACAAATCGATATTCCTAGGCACTGTCGATCCTCTTTCCGATCTTGCAAAACTTCGACGGGCTTTCAATAGTCAGAAATGCATCAGGGCTGGTGGCAAGCATAATGGTATCGTTTACCCCACCTTGCTCCCTCAGACCCTTCTCACTCAAACTCCTATGTTAGATCTGGACGATGTGGGTAAAGATTCATACCACCATACCTTCTTCGAAATGTTGGGCAACTGGTCATTTGGGGATTATTTCAAGGTGTGTACGCATGACATGACGCTGTTGCTCTAGTCATACAACTGCTTTTGTCCAGAAAGAAGCCGTGCACTACTCTTGGGAACTACTAACGGATGTTTTCAAACTTCCGAAAGATCGGCTGTATGTCACTTATTTCGAAGGTGATCCTACGGCCGGCCTGGAACCCGACCTCGAAGTTCGTCAATTCTGGTTAGATCAAGGTGTTGCAGACGACCATATCCTTCCGGGCAACGCGAAAGACAATTTCTGGGGTAAGCTATCCTTGAATCTCGTTGGTGACCTGCGTTGATGGCTCCGGCAGAGATGGGCGCCACGGGTCCTTGCGGTCCTTGCAGGTAAGTCTCCTCAAATTCACCACCAAGAATAGAGAGCTGAGACTTTCTATCTTTGCCTTTTACTCCTGCCAGCGAGATTCATTACGATCGGATTGGTGGACGCAACGCCGCGCATCTCGTCAATCAAGACGACCCCGACGTCTTAGAAATTTGGAACAACGTTTTCATTCAGTTCAACAGAGAAGACGACGGAAGTCTCAAGTCTTTGCCGCTCAAACATGTCGACACCGGCATGGGATTCGAAAGACTTGTATCCGTGATTCAAGACAAACGGTCTAATTACGACACCGACGTCTTCCTCCCTATCTTTGCCAGGGTACAGGAGTTGACTGGTGTGCGAGGCTATCAAGGCAAATTTGGCGAGGAAGACGACGATGGCATCGACACGGCTTATCGTGTGGTTGCCGATCACGTCCGAACCTTGACGTTTGCGTTGAGCGATGGTGGGGTGCCGAACAATGTGGGTCGCGGCTACGTCCTGCGCCGTATTCTGAGACGTGGAGCGCGGTATGCTCGCAAGAAACTGGGCGTCACAATCGGTACATTTTTCTCCTCGTTGATGCCTGTCGTAGTCGATCAACTGGTGAGTTTTGGTCTCTATATTGTTTGCTGTTGCTGTGTCCTCAATGGTCTCTCCAGGGCGCAACTTTCCCGGAGCTCACCAAGAAGCTGCCAGAGATCAAAGAAATTCTAGACGAAGAAGAGGAATCGTTCTCGCGCACCCTGGACCGTGGGGAGAAGTTGTTCGAGCAGTACGCGGCTTCAGCTCGAGAACGGGGCGTCCGCGAGCTCAATGGGAAGGACGTCTGGCGACTTTACGACACCTACGGCTTTCCCGTCGACCTAACGCGATTGATGGCTGAAGAGCTCGGCCTAACCATCAACGAGCGAGAGTTTGAAGCAGCACAAGCTTCATCGAAGGAAGCAAGTAAGGCTTCCCAGAAGAAGCACGCAAACAGTGTCGTCAAACTCGACGTCCATGATCTTGCTACCTTGGAGAAAAACACTGATGTCCCGAAGACGGATGACTCTGCCAAATTTTGTAAGTTTATCCACTCATCGCCTCTTGCGATCAACCAGTTGATCGTAACACTAGCTGTCGGCAACGTAGAGGCTACTGTGAAGGCCATTTATTTCAGCAAGTCATTTTTCCAGACCACGAGCAACGTATCCGAGGATACGTCTTTTGGTATCATTCTAGATCGCACCAGCTTCTACGCCGAATCGGGAGGACAGGAACACGACACCGGCAACATCGTAATAGATGGCTTCGCCGACTTTGAAGTGACGAACGTGCAAGTCTACAACGGTTATGTTCTTCACATCGGGTACCTCAAATATGGCAAACTTTCTGTGGGAGACAAGGTGGTGGCCTCCTATGACGAGGTAAACATTATCCCTCTAAAAAATGCCTTTATATTCTCACCGTCGACCTACCTTGCAGCTCCGTCGATGGCCCTTGCGCAATAACCATACTGCGACTCACATACTCAACTTCTGTCTACGTGAAATTCTCGGGGATCATATCGATCAAAGGGGCTCTCTTGTCGCACCGACCAAACTTCGTTTCGACTTCTCACATAAAGCTCAGATCCCCATCAATGAACTCGTGAAGATTGAGTCGATGGCTAATGAATGGGTAAAGAAGAACGTCAAGGTCTACAGTCAAGAGCTCGATTTGAAGACGGCTCAGAGAATCTCTGGGCTCCGTGCTGTGTTCGGTGAATCGTATCCAGACCCCGTGCGCGTCGTCTCATTGGAATACGATGTTGCAGATATTGCGAAGGACGTCGAGAGTCCTAAGTGGCGCAGCACGAGCATAGAGTTTTGTGGCGGAACGTGAGCTTGCCTCCCTTCTATCACGTGCAGACAAGCCTAACCATCTCGTACAGTCATGTTGCTCGAACGGGTGATATCAAGCAGTTTGTGGTCATCGAGGAGTCCGGAATCGCGAAGGGCACACGCCGAATCATCGCTGTGACCGGGCATGAGGCTCAGGAAGTCACAAGACAGGCTGAGACACTCAGGGAAAGACTGCACCAGGTTGAAAAACTGGCGGGCAACACGAAGGATACCGCCCTCAAGACCTTGACCGTCGTCCGTGCTCTTCCGCTCTTGGTGCTGTCGAAAAGTGCTGATTGATATTCTAGGAACTTAGCCAAGCGGATATATCGCTGATTGAGAAGACGCGAATGAGAGACCACTTAGCTGCTCTCAGAAAGACGTTCGACAAGGAGATCAAGGAGAAGGACCTCGCCGCCAACAAAGCCGTGTGTCTCCATCGCCGGTTTCTACCCGATCCGATACTAATATCGCTGATTCCTCAAGGCCGTTGAGGACGTCGTCAAGTATTTCGAGGAGAATCCGAACGAGCCAGCGTATATCACCGTTCTAGACGTCGAGGGCAACACCAAGGTACACTGACCTCACTCCTATTGAGCCTCGTCTGACTGCAATTTTAAATCTCATAGATTCTCCAGGCTGTCGTTCTCCAAGCGAAAAAGCTTGGTAAGGCTGTTTACGTCTTTAGTGTGGACGCCAACGCTGGGAAAGTTGCACACGCAAATCATATCCCGGAGTCGTACAGAGCTCGGGGTTTGGACGCGCGGACGTGGGCATCCAAAGTGACAGCTGTTATTGGTGGAAAGGTGAGTATCAATATGTGCGTCTCCAGATCTATATTCACGCCACTCTCGCTCCAGGCTGGTGGAAAGGAGGAAGGAGCGCAAGGTGTTGGTCAAGAAGTGAGCAAGGTTGAAGACGCCGTGATTGCAGCCAAGAAGTACCTAGACGAAGTGAAGGCGTAGCTGCGTAGACCCACGCGAATAATATGATTGTAATGCGTGCTTGTATCTCTCTGTATAGTCTATATACTGCATGTATTTTTTCCGCCCTTCAGTAATACTGCATACCGTCGCGAAGTAAGGAACTGCAAGCAGTTGCCGAATACGGCGGCGAACGGAGATTGCCGGGCGTCCCGCCAGGCTCACTTGCCCCGCTGTTGACGGTGACGACGAAACCGACCGCCTCCACGCTCCCCTTTACTTTCCAAGGTGAGAATCCCACTGCAGGTTACGAGCGTGATACAATGGAACGTATCTGCGTGCATTCTGGCGCTGCTATCGACGTAGTCGTGATGGATGTCCTATCCCACACACGGATGACGAACTGATTGACCTTGTCCGACAGAACCACGCGCATTGACAAGATGTCTCTGGTCCTTCCCGAAGCTCATCAGCAGTTCCAGGTGCGCCCCTTCATCAACTTCATCCATGAATATTTGACTGAATAATAGACCACAGCACATCCTCCGTCTTCTCAACACCAATGTTGACGGTAAACGCAAGATCATGTACGCTTTGACGGAGATCAAGGGTGTCGGTCGTCGGTACTCTAACTTGGTGTGCAAGAAGGCCGACGTAGATCTCAACAAGCGGTATGCACCGCCAGCTTCGTTTGTGTCTGCCATTCCTGAGACAAACATATATACTGTTTTTCAGTGCGGGAGAGCTGAACTCGGACGAACTCGAGCGTCTCGTGACCATCATCCAAAACCCAACACAATTCAAGATTCCTACGTGGTTCTTGAACAGGCAGCGGGACATTGTAGACGGCAAAAACTTCCAAGTGCTCTCTAACGGCGTGGACTCTAAGCTCCGTGATGACTTGGAGCGCCTGAAGAAGATTCGTGCTCACCGAGGCCTGCGGCACTCATGGGGTCTTCGCGTCAGGGGCCAGCACACTAAGACGACCGGTGCGTTTCTAATATTCTCCAGCGCAATATCTCGTTCTGACCAGGTTTCGTTGTTCAGGCCGTCGTGGAAAGACTGTCGGTGTGTCGAAGAAGCGCGGTTAGATTCGATACTGCTAGGGAAGGGTTGGTTCCCGGTGGATCCTGTCTTTGTTCTCCATACGTTGTGCTATGCTTTTCATTACGTCCATGATTCTGTATCTACTGGTGGGAATGCATACATCTTCGCCACGCCTCTGATAAAAGATTATGGTGAGGACCGCACGGCGCAAGGTGAAGTCGGCAGAATGTCACGTGATGGAACACGTCCAGCGAACGTCGATTCTCGAAGGTTCATGCCGCCCACTGCATACATCATATATCATCCCCCAAACACCGTACTTTCGTGTATATACAGTATGTCCGCGACCTGGGCAAGCTCTCCGTCACACCACCCGTGGTTCAAGATGTCCTCTCTCAAACGCAAGCTTTCTTCTGACGGTGACACCAGCAACGAGGACGACAGCCGCGACTCTCTATCCACCCTCCATCATCACAAACGCAGACGTTCCACTACTCTCGAACGCGATCTTGCTAGCCTCTCGCTCTCAAACGTGAGGCATGGCGTCGCATCCTCACCAGTGACTTCTCTTGCCAACTACCAACGATCCGAATCACCGCTCTCTGACACGTTTATGGACACCGATGTGTCGCCGTCCAGAGAAACACCCATGTCTGCTGTCTCGACGGAGGAAGCTATCCCAGAGGTAAAGATGAGCTCGTCAAGCTGGTACGAACCTGAGAAAGACCGTAAGCACCGCATGTTCCCACACATTTAACCCTTCACCAACCACTCTTGCATCCGGTTTAGGTATCGTCGTAACCGACCTCGACGGTTCGTCGTCAGACGAAGAAGACGGCGAGAGTACCACGGAAGAACTCATCTCACCAGCTGTTCGGGAACACCTCATGCAGACCACACACACCTTGCTGACGATTCCCCGCCCACTACCCAACCCAGAATCGACACCAAACCAGAACCAGGCGCTAGTCCTTTTCAACCCGGATTACTCGAAGGCGTTCGAGGGGCCGACCATCACAACCTATCACCCCGTCTCGACATCCACATGTTCTTTACCTTTACACGACGATGACGCTATGGAGATTGAGATGTGATGGACGTACAGAGTGTAGCTCCCAAATCGCTCCATGTCTCTCAAGTATCGTAGTTACGCACTTTACTATTCTTATTTCCTTGCTTTCATCCTTGAACCACTTCGTATGCACGCATTCCATGATCAATTTTCGTGTTCGCGATTCGATGCGAGTCGTCATAATGTACCAGAGTAGATAACCCAGAAAATGTATACATGGCCGTGAAATGAGTATATACAACACAGCTACCGAGAGCTGGATCCATTCGAAGCGTTTGCGTCGAGATAACCTTCGTTGAGACTGATATGAGTGCGATGACGCCGAGCATGAGCATGCGGGTGAGGGACATGGTGCATTTGCATCGCAGAAAATGGAGAGCGAAGAACGCCTGTGGAGGGGGCTTGTAAGTGCTGCTGATTTTGCTGCTGATGCTGAGAGATATTAGGAATGCTGGCGTGGGAGTAGGAGAGAGGACCGCCATTGCTACCAGCAGACAACACGTGGCCTTGCGTAGCAGACGACTGGTGTGGGTGTGGATGAGGGTGAGGATGAGGATGAGGATGGGAGTGTCCATGAAACGGTTGGGCGATGGGCGGGGATAGAGTTTGAGCATCGTAGAGGCCATGCGAGATGGATGGGGACGGTGCTGTCGGCGTAGGTGTGTGAGAAAGATGGTGGTAATTGATGTTTATGAGGTTCACAGATGACGGATTGTGACCAGTGTGCATCTGGTGAAACGTATTCACAGATGGCATCTGCTGACTCTGCTGACTCTGTTGTTGCTGCTGCTGCTGCTGCTGTTGTTGTTGTTGTTGCTGCTGCTGCTGCTGCTGCTGTTGCTGCTGTTGTTGCGACTGAAAGGGCTGCTGAGGGATGGGAATGTGGGGAGGGTGCTGCTGGCGCATGGGTTGAGAGACGAATTGCTGAGGAGGCTCGATGGTGGCTGCTGTGCGAGAAGCGGAATCGTCGAGCATGTCTATGCTGTGACTCTCGTCTTCGATATCCACGTCTTCTTGGTCGTGTGAAACGTCTGGTCCGGCTTGTGCAGCCTTTTGAGCGGCGATCTCGTCAGCGGTGAGGAAACGCCCGCCTGGCCCGCGCGGTCGTCGCATGGCGTGTTTGTGGCGGGACTCGTGAAGATAAGGCTGCACGATGGCGAAGACAAGTTGAGATCAGGCAAGCGGACCGGTGAAGAGGAAGACTGCGAACCTTTCGCTGCCTTGAGAGCCTGTGTACCTCCTCTAACCTAGCGCGAGCCACGCGACGCTTGAGGATGCGATAGTACTGCTTTGCGTTGACATAGAGGGGTTCGTCGTCGATGGGAGCGGGCAAGGCATCTGGAAGCTGCTGTGGATGAGCAGGCTGTGCAGGAGGCTCAAGCGGGACGGCTACTGGCTCCGACGGGGGGTGGGAGGGCGTTTGATTGGCTGGGGAGGGACGACGCTGGTAGAAATCATATACATTAGGCTGCGCTGTTGGATGTCGGTGGTCAGTGCGTGCGAAGAGAGCGGGACAAGGGGAGGACGTGGAGGACAGCCGCCTACCGTTGTGGTACGGGTCGATGTTGAGCGGATAAAACAGCTGATCGACGTTCTCCATGTTCATTGGTCCGCTCATCGTACGTCGTCCAGCAGAGCGTCCTCTGCCACAGATCAGTTTATGTAATACTTTCTCCCCCGACAACCCTTATCGTCCCCCACGCTATTTATTCCTTTTCTCAATTCCACGTGACCGTGTCGTTCCCCAGTCCATTCGTCGCGCCTCCCCTCCCTGGCCTCCTCCCTCAGCTCCTCTACCGAACGCACCCATGGAATCCAAACTGTTCGTAGTCCATATGCTACTCCATCTTCAGTCTTCCCCTACTCATTTACCCCCAGAAAAGCGTTGAAGGTCGTTGACCTCAAGGAAATCCTCTCCCAAGCCCAGGTCGCCTTCCCAACAAACATCAAGAAATCCGACTTGATTACAAAAATCCTTGACAGTCCTGCTGCCCTTGACGCCTATTCCGCAAAGTATGCCTCTGACACTACGCCGGCCTCGAAAACACCAGTCACGCCGCAAGATGACCTGGTCTGTCCCTCCAACGCTTTCGCTTTCTTTCGCATCCGCTGATGACCTCTTAGCTTGCTCCTCCAGAATCGTTAGCCACGTCTCCTGACTTCTGTCCATCGTTCGCTTCTCACTTGGTTGTTTAGGATTGACTGGAACGCCGAGGAGCTTTCAGAGACTTCAGCCCCTCAGGGAACCGCCCCAAGCGCAGAGCCTCAAGCACCTCCTCAACCGTCTACATCAGCTACGAACACTTCATCTACCAGTAAACAAGAACCTACTATTGCCTCCGCGTCTAGCACTTCGCCCATATCAAATAACACTGGCATCGACGAAGAACTTGAGAAACGCAGAAGTCGTGCTGCTCGATTCGGAATACCACTTGTAGAAACCCCAACCTCCAAGACTGTCCCACCCGCTGGGAAGAAGGTCTCCGCATCGGCTCGCCAGCCTCGTAGTGAGAAGTCTTCTAAGCCAGTGGCTCCAGCACCCCCTCAGGTATATCCGTGTTTGTGTTCTCCGCCGTAACGGTTGCATTAATGCCTTCTCCGTAGGATACGGAAAAGCTAAAGGCTCGCGCGGAACGCTTTGGAATTCAGACTAAGGAGCCGTCTTCAAACAAGAGCAACAAAAGGGTCGCACCTGCTGAGGAGGTTGATGCGGAAGAATTAGCGCGCCGAAAGAAGAGAGCAGAAAGGTTTGGGACAGGGAATAAGGTCCAAGCTTGATTCTACTTCGCATCAGCTTCCATGGGATAGCTGTGCATGTTCTGCCTCTATACTGCTCTCGTGTTCCGTTTGTCTGGGACGCTCAAGTTTCTTGCATGCATGTGGACAATTCGTATCCTACCTATTCTTGACGTACATGCTGTCTTCTGATCATATCGAGAAAAAACTACCTCTCAGGGTATAGAAGATATAAATGAGTGGTTCACCCTTCTCGTGTGGCTTGTGAGCTGTTGTCGGAATTTCGTCTAAGTTTGCCACAGTGGCTGTGGCGCTGGCAATGGAACATGTGGTGAACCGTTCTTGTCAGTGGCGCGTAGCTCGCATCTCCATCTCATACTTCATCTCACTGCGTGCCCATACATCTACCAGTGCCGCGTCCATGTCATGCACATACGGAACCATGCCCAAAGGAAACATATCATCGATTCGGTCAGTATCTCTGGGCATTCTGCTGGATAACACTGATACCGACGGCGCTCGCCCATAGCTCGAAGCGCTGCTCTACCAGCTCGCAGTCCTATCCTTCCTCATGTCGCCCTCAATCCTTGCACTTGTCACTCGTACGGCGGCCCAGTTCCAGCTATCGAAACCGCGCGAAATGGACCCCGGGCGGACTCTTCGGTTCTGGTACTTCCTCATATTCTTATTCAACTTCGGCAGCCTCTGGGCGCACACGATCACTGGCACGGCGGAGGGCAGGGCTGTCATCCTCGACTTCATCGGCATGTGTATGTCCAATGGGTTTCTTCCTGTAACTATCGCCGTCTGATACACTGCTTCACTTACGCATAAAGCGTTCACACCATCGAAGCTGCAATTGGTGCTGCTCGACCTCTTGTTACTCGTGCTTTCTGTCATCCTCACTACCATTGCATACGACACTTCTTACGTACTCGCATCAAGAACCGATATCGTTGATCCTCTCGTATCCACACCACACCCAACAGCAGACTCTCTATCAAGCCCAATGCTCAACATTGGGTCGCCGTCACCTTCCCACTCCAGTACGGACGACACAAGACTTGTCATCGACTTTCATTGGTCCAACGTGGTGACGCACTTGCGCAACCCTCCATCGCCTCCGGAGCAGAATGATGATCTATTGCCGATGCCTAACACCGCTTCTCTGTTGAGCTTACGACAGATGTTGTGGCAGCGGAGTGGGCGAGCTAGCGCTCGGACGGGCGAAACTGATGAAGGGGCTGGAGGCGAGAGAAGAGGGAACGGATCCGAGCAGAGAACGGTTCCAGGGGGTCTTGACGTCGACGCTGGTGGATGAGGAGAGTACGGCATTGCTGGAGGGCGGTATACCATTCAAATTATGATAGTTTTGGATTATTGACCGTCTACACGACGATATGGGAGTTCCAAATAACTATTTTCTCTTCATCTGCGGTGGATAATCTCAGCTCGCCGCAGGAGAAATGGCTGGCACGAATACATACAGCTTCTCTGAGACATGCCCCAAATTTGTCGAATTCTGCCTTGCAACTATCCTTGCTAACTTCAGTCATGCTGGCGAGAATACATTGTCCATAAACAGACGCTTGTACGGCGCAAGTAGTGGTGGAATGGAGTGCGAGACGCTTCAGAGGAGTGGTAGCCGTGGCTGGTTGCATAATGGCGTGGTGGGCGACTACTGGTGAGCGTGAACGGCCCGGGTGGCTCCCGGAATTGCTTGTCCTTCGACAGTTCCGAATTGAGTTCTGCACGCTCGCCACCTTCACCGATGCTCGACTACGTTCTACTCATCACCGCCATCTCAATAGTCCTCGCTCTCCTTTTATACATATTCTCGTGGAACCGAATCATCGGTTATCTTCTGAGTGTCGCCCTTCGGGTCGCTTGCTGGAACCAGGCTGGTGATAGCATATGGGTTGAGATCGGTGAATACTCAGAGTGGGTTGCACGCGTTCGACTGGGCTGAAATATCTCCTGAACTCTAGGATCCATACATTTCTCCCTCATCGCTGGGAGAATACTTCTGAAGGATCTACGCTACTATACTGGCAGCCAAACTATTAAGGTCGTTAAGGGTCAAGTCACATGGCGATACTGGCTTCGTGCACCTGCCCTTGAGGAGGACATGGTATACGCAAGCGTGGGCGGTGAGCAGACTCGTAGTATGCCAACAACGTCCAAGTACACTGTGTGTTCACCTCACTGACCTGTCATGCTCTTAGATAGATTCAACTCCCGTAGTCCATGTCGCATCCATCTCTCTGTAGAGGGTTTTGAATGGTTCCTCTACAATAGAACGTCTGCCTATGACAATATCATCTCACAGATGGAAGGACAAACCAACGACCGCTCGTCATCAGAGTTTCAGGAGGCCATGCGCTCTCAGAAGCCTTCAGACAACCCCACAGGTAAGTGTACCGCACTTAGAAGCCTTCGCTCATGCATCTATCCAAGTCTCACACCAATACGTTTACCATCAGTCGAAACAGCAATCCCTCCTTTACCCACTTCGGCCCTCTCCAGAAAGATCACTCGGTGGATGGGAATTTTAGTGGACAGTGTTAGCAGGCAGCTTCCGGACCTAGACGCCAAGTCTCTTCTTCCCTTCAGTTTCGAAGCTTTGAAGGGCTCTATCATCTGTGGAAACTTTTCGACTCCGAATGTCCTTGTGGTTGAGTTCCAACGTACAGAAGGCCTTTTTGGCCTTGTGCCGGTTCGTCCCCCCGTGTCCTTCTTGACATCATATTGATTACCGACTGAACGTCCGCAGTCGAAGTCCACCTGCGACTATTATAAGCAGATGATGAACTTGAAGTTTGAGAACGTTTCTGTCAGCTTTGCAGAAAATACCCGATACAAGGAACCACAATTAACCACCGGAACGAAGGTAGACGAGCGCATAGACGCGACCAGGTGAGTCCTCAGATCCAACTGACCCATACAAACCGTCTTACGGTTTCATTACAAAGCACCACTGCAACTCGCAAACCCATTTCCCTTTCATTCTATCCCTTCCTCAAATTATGGCGAATTGGAAAACTCAAGACCCTTTTCAACGATTCAAAGGGTACCACTCGCTCGAAAGCTCAACACATTCATTCTCACCCCGGATCGTTCTTCAGAAAGCAGCCTTCTCGAAGTATGGACGACACCACTCTCGGCCCAGAATCTGCTTCACTAGAGTATGCAATCGAACGCAAGGTCCTCGAAGCACCGCTCCTAGAACTCTCTTACTACTCCGATGCTCCGGGCCCTGTTCCTCACAATCAGGAGCAACGTGAGCCAGATGGTTATGATATTGGCAATGGCGACACCAATCCTGAGTGGGGCGTGGATCTCGTCGTTCACGGAGGATTTCTACGCTATGGGCCTTGGGCGGATCGTCAACGGTATGTTCGAAGTCGTACACATCGACTGTTTCAAAAATTGACGTGAACAAAACCTAACACTTCCGAGACAGCGCTGAGCTCCAACGATTATTTTTTCCTTCGGCATATCGGAATACGAAGACGACGTCCTATTTATCTCCTGGTGATCGTCGCCTATGGACTATGCTGAAAGTCTTCGTCGAGCTTCGGGACGGTACTACGTTGTACATCCCATTCCGTGAGGCGTCCAAGGTGGATCTCAGACTCGTCATACTGCGCCGTAGAACCTCCACATCTAACATCTCTGCAGAATTGGCAATGGGATGGGCTCTCCGACTATAGTCGGCCGCGTAAGCGTGAAGCAGCTTGGCTCAACATCAAAGCCGGTGATGACTCCACTATCAGCTACACGATGCCCATGGTTGTCATCGCATCCACGTACGAGCCTCTCCTCGAGGTTCACCTCGACACCATCGCCATCTCCACAAGTTTGAATGATATACGAATTCTTACCGCAGAAACATGCCGCGTTAGTCCTCGTCCTTTCTCTGTAATGGGACGTAACGCAATAACGATCATGTAGGTTAGAGGCAACATGACATCGCCTTATCAATGGAACTTCCAACGCGACTGGAAATTCGCTGTCTTTCTTCGACAGCCTGTTCTCTATCTGTTGCGCGAGCATATCAACATGCTTACTGATCTAGGCAAAGATTGGGCCTCCGGTCCTCCTGCGAGTTTTTCGACTTGGATCCCTATGCACTACATCGTAAGCATCGAGATGTCGAACTACGAGCTAAACCTGTATGCCAATGATCACAACATCATTGACAAACCACTTGTTCGAGAGGAGAATGGTGAGGATCCATTTTTTTTTTTTACGAAGCTTGCTTTACCGCTGACCGTCTGGGTCTTCTGTTTGCAGCCCTATTTACACTCCGTGGGCGGCTCTTACATATGAACAACATACTCCCCTTCACTAAGTATCGCCCGGATAGTACCAATATCTCTTTTGCCTTGGAGTTTCCCCACGTCGACCTTGATCTGACCTTGCCCCGGTGGAGTAACCATAATGTACCGCCTGCAGAGCCCATCAAGAAGCTCGCGAGGGTGGGCCTGCTTACTCTTGAAGGGAATTATCGCTTTTTCGCGGAGTTGCGTGAGGAGAACATCGAGCAACTTACTCTTGACCTCGCTGTAAGCTGCCCCTCTGTAGCAAAATCTGACTTTCTCTCACCAAAAAAAATTGCTCCTCAGATGCGAGATGTGACATACAAGGCGGTGGGATGGTCTATTCGCTACTTTATGACCCTTCAACAAAATTATCTCGGATCATTTACAACTTTCTCTACGTTGAACGAGTACGTGGACAAGTTCAAGAAGGGAGCCCCCAGGGGCGATCCTATCGAGTCAAAGTATCGTCCAGGGAAGGTATGGCTAGCTGCTATAGTGTCAATCTTCATCCATCTCACTCGCCTCTTTATAGTCTAATGTAATGCAGACCGAGCTACACCTCACCCTACAGTCGCTCGTGGTCATGCTTCCAGCTGGTATTCCAGGGTGTGAGAAACAGTACTCGGTTCCAGATCAGGACCACATCGACGTCGACCTCGGGAAGGGTATTGTACTGGCCACTCCAGACCTTGAACTACAGCTCCGACTACACGAGCACCTCATGGGTATGGGCTCAGTAAACATTCTCAATTTGAATACAATTGACCACCTCTCCTAGAAATGACCCTCAACATTGGCTGCATCTCGGGATGTGTTCTTGCCAAGAGCTCTGACAGAGCACTGTTCGGTGCGCCGAAGGAGATCATGCAAGAGGAGGCGTTCTTCGTTCAGGGTTCGTTCACTTGAAACTATCATGCTTCCTCTACATGCTTATCAGGTTTACTTCAAGGGATCAACATTCTTGCCAACAGACTGTTCGGTCCGCCTCCACGGACAGCAACATACGTTTGTAATTGGGAGATAGATATCGGCGACGTTAAGGGCAGATTGCCGATCACGGACTGCAGAGTCTTTTTGGCCTCTACTGACGCGTTTGCCATCAACTTCGCGGATCCTCTCGATTCCCCAGCCCCAGCCTTTGCCCTTCCAGTGGACCATGACAGTAAGGAATCACTACACCATCGTGCTGCTTTGTATTGACGAAATTACAGTAACTTTCCTCAAAGTCTCTGTCGATAGGATTGACCTCACCTGCACAGCAGGCTCAGTCGCTGCACAATTCCTCGCAACTCAGGGATTCTCATTCGACAGTAATGATCTGTGCGGGAGATCATACCGCAACGTCAAGAGCCTACGTGTTCCTAAGGTCCATCTGAGGATCTTACAAAGATATGGTGGACGTGATCACTGGATTGAAGCCGCAGATTGTGTCTTCGACGTCGCAACAGACATCTACGGTACACCGTCAGGTTGGAAACAGTCCGGGGAGTCCCAGCGAGCCTTCGTCACAAAGCAGGATGTCCTTACCGGTCGGACAGAATTTCTATATCGGCCACAGTCAAAGCAACGACGGATGTACACCCGTAAGTTTTACGACTCCCTCCTGCACACGACAGAATTCATCAGGATATGTAGGCGATGGTCTCTATGTCGGGCCTCTGTTGCTACCTCGTCCTCGGCGATCCTTCGCAACGAGTTTCTCAGGCGCAAGGGACAGTACTGGCCCCAAAAAGACCTCGAGCAAACAAGCGACTCATCTATTTGAGCCTCACTCTTCTGACTCAGAGGTGGACGAGAGTCATATGGAGCCTGACCGACTGCCTTGTCCGATGTAAGACATCGGGGATACAGCCTTTCTGAACATTACTGATGATCACTGTACAGAACATCGCATCCCTTCTTCTCGAAGCCATCAATACAGAGCGGCGATGAGAGTATGTCCAGCGGCGATGAGTCAGATACAGGAGACTTAACCGAACCTGATATGTCGGAGACGAGTTGGTCTGATGAGACGGACGGTGAGTGTTTTGTGACAGTCTGTATATTATTGTTTTACTAATAATGTCCCAGATGAACTAGCTGCAAGACAGGACTCCCCTGCCCAGGCGTACGCCAACCATACAAGGCATTTCACCGCTGATAGACAACGCCCTTCACGCTGGGTCGCATCTTCTTTCAAGCTAGTCAAGGTGACCCCCTACCGCAGTTGTTGATTTGCCATAATAATAATTATGCCCTTCGTTTGATAGGATAAGAGGCTATTTCCTGTCCCCAACATTCGCAATGATATCGATCCTCCGACTTTTGATCAGAATGGACATGAAGGACTGGCCCTTCGTCCGGAAAGCAACGATGGATGTGATTCCAACGCTGTGCGGCTAAGGTGTCAGTCATTTGATATCGTGCTGACGCCCTTAGCTGCATCCGCGCTTCTTCAGCTCGTCGAGCATATGACTTTACTTGTATGTTTCCATTCTTCAACATTTGCCCATATACTCATCCACGCATTTTTCGCTATAGTCTATTGGCCCCGAGATCTTGATCGACAGTCTTTTGGCACAGCAAATCCGTAGTGTCTGCAGTCCTCCTCCCCGTCTGCGGCATACAGCATTCAGCGTCCAACTTTCGTCAGTCCGTATACGATGTTTACAGGTTCCAGACACGAAAGGTTACGGAGATCAGCTCCCCAGAACTCCCAAGATAATTATCGCAACCATCTCCGTGATCGGTCTACAATCGGAAGGCGAAACTCTACAGGCCGAGGAGAAACTTCGCCGTACCCTTAGCGTGTCTGCCAACAGTGCTCACGTTGTCCTAGACGTCGTTCATCTGTCAGAGTCTAACACGGATGTTCCAAGACACAACATTGATCAAGCGCTCGAGATCTCCGTATCCTCACCGGCACTCTCGATGATCTCGCGGAACGTACGATGCCTGTGGAAGCATCTCACCATCAGCTTAGACCATGCTGCCCCTCGGCATATCTTGGCTGTCACAATGGCACATTATCAACCTGTCACCCAATCCCTCGCAGCGCACAGAGAGCGACAACGGCACTACCACATGACTGCCCGAGTGCGCATCCTTCGTCTCCTTACCTGGGCAAAAACGCATTCGGCAGTCGACCCGTCGTCCACGACACAACCATCATTTCTTATTTCGACCGGAAAGCCATCTCAGCTTCGCAAAGATGTTAGGATCGCCATCCTCTCCTACCTTCGAAACTGCTTACACTTATTGGGCTCGAGATTTGCGTCTATCTATGAGGATCAACGGGAGGCCGAAGAATCAGTGTCCTTGGACGAACTCGTACTGCTCTTGGAAAGTCGACTGCCGGCCCTTCGGTCGGAGACAGAGGCCAGCCTGCAATTCAATCGCGACGTTCTAAACAAGATTCTACCGCCTTCCCCGATCGATATCACTCCGACGTCCCCTTCCATGCCTTCTGGAACAATAGAGATCGTCTTTGGGAGAGTTACCGTATCAATAAAAGACCCGGTGTATTCACCTCCGTGCGAACTCGCCATTGGTCCTCTCAAGCTCACCGCCTGCGCGGAAGAACCGGACCTCATGCAGACACCACCCATGAAGGGGACCAAGGATCTCAAGACGACACGCGATAAGGCTCGTCGCAGATTGCTCTATGTTGTGTTCTCACTCACAGCAGACGATGTCGAATTGTCGGTCATGCCTCACATTCTTGAGTTCGCACAACACCTTGTTCGCTTGCAGCGTAGCATCGATGCGCAGATTGTTGACCAAACACCATCATCCGAGTCCCCCTGTCCTCGAGGAGACCCAGAAATGATATATGCCGACGTGAACGTGTCCCTCAGGCACTTGCGATTGCAGGCCGCAGCGGAGAGACTTATCCTCGTATACGACGCCTCTGCTCTGACCTTCGCTTCAACGGTGACATTGCGGAGTGTAATCGGCCCTCCAAGACGTTGGGATATCTCCTCCAATTCATCGCTGGTCTTCGACTCGATCTCGCTGGCAGCCCGTTCCGCGATGGACTCAAACGCACAAGACATACTAGCATCATTCGACATCAGCCGTGTACAGCTGAATAGCCTTATACGCGTGGAACCAGCAGCCAGCATTAATGTGCGAGGTACTGTCGACGTGGATGGAATACGATTGTCCGTCCCGCGAAGTGCCATCCGTCTAGTTAAGTTCGTGGAAGAATGGCGAGGCGATTACTTACCAATCATGGAGACCACCATCACCGCCCTCCTGTCGGAGGTGAGACCAACGACTGGCCCATCGAAACCTGCAACCAAACCCACTCGATCATCACAGAAGCGGCCACCTATTATCCAGTTACAAGGCACTGTCTCTTCAATCGGGGTCTTCCTACATGTCCTGCCCGGGACGTGGCTCTCGTGGGAGGTTTTCAACGTTGTGGCGTACGCTCGATATATCTTGACCAACTCTCGCACATCATCCCGATCTTTTGGCTTGCAAATTGCCTCGCAACGTATCAGCATCACTTCCCTGGACGCTTCAAACAACGATCCTCCGCTTCAGGGGGAGAGGATCAAGCTGGATCTTCCTTCAATCACCATTACAGGCCATTTCGGCGAGCTAGGAATCAACGCCTTGGTATCCCTCGGGCTATTCTATCTCACAGTGAAGCCGTCATATTGGGACACTCTCCTCTCCGTACAGCAGAAATTTGGCCAAGATTTCAATGATCTCCTGCATTTTATCGGAAGCGCTCGTCGAAACGATACCATCGCTATGCCCGTCTCGAGATCGCCGCCGTCCCTCCCTTTTGGGCTTCACACTGTTATGTTCCGCCTCCAAGGGTTCCAGGTAGGGTTAGAAGGACATGCCTCTACGGTCTACTTGGAGTGCCAAAACATCAGCGGTGGTTTCAATACAGAAGATCGACGTGTTTGGCACACGAACGTCACAGGGCTTGCGCTATCACTGTCGACTCTGGCTGCCGTTCGCACAGATCATGACACATTCAACAGAAACAACAGATCCGTCTTTCTCGTCATGGACGTCATCCTGCAGGTGGATGCGCTGCGTAGTAGTGAGAAGATATTGTCCGTCAATATCACGAAGGTTCACGCCGTCATGCAGCCTAGCTCAATCGGAGAGATTGGAGATTTCGTTGATCATCTACAGGTTTGTTTCAACATCCTTCGCAGATTGTTATTTGCTGAAAATTGACTCTTCATTAGGCTGAAGTGCTGATGCAAAAAGACGAACGCGCACGCGAGCTCTCTGACTTCAAGGAGAAGACAAGGAATGTCATGCGAACCTTTGAAGTCAAGGCTCGGGATATCGGGACGGACGACGGCCATCCTTCGTTCCTTTCAGAATACGCTGTCACGGTCACCGTTCAAAACATCGGTGCTGCGTTCCCTTTGGCTCTGGACCAGACTCTGGAATTACCTCACGGCAAGACCTCTCATGACCATATGGCGGTTCAAGCATTTTTGTTTTCCATAAAGTCGCTCGTCTTCACTGCCGAACGCAGCGGCAGCGGTCACGCCAATATGCAAGGATTTTCTTTCCAATTTGTCGATAGGTATTTCACCAAACCGTACATTCATCTGCAACTCATGCTTACATCTACTTTAGATTCAGGCAATCTGTTACCTCTGATTTTGGTGGCGACAATCATTTCGCTAGAAACCGTCTGCTGTATCCCGAGATGACGGTACAAATCCGCTCCGAGCAATCCACTACTTCCCGTCGTCTACGCATCGGTGCCAACGTCAGTGGCTTTATTCTCGACCTCGACTCGACAATTCCAGATTATGTATTCTCCCTTATCGACGTCTATCGACGAGGTAAAGAGCGACTCGAGAAGCTCGCACTGGGTCTGCCTCGTGACCGAGGCGTTTCGGACTCGGCGAAGACTCCCTCCATCGGATCGGAAGCGCCACACCGCTCGCTGCCTACCTCAAATATCATTCTGTCCTTGATGTTTATGAGTGGCAAGGTTCGCATGCATGGAGAGACGAGGCCAATGGCCACGAGAACTCGGTCGTTCCACGACACACCTCACGGCGTCTCTTCTTCATTAGGCGGTGAAGTGTTCAACTTGCCAGAGGTCACTGTATGGGGTGAATACCGCGCGAGCGTGATCTCTCACGGCGAAGGTCCCATGGAAGAGACACTCCCATCTAGTCTCATGATGAAGAGTACGGTGCATTCCAGCGAAAACACTCTTCGACCTTCTCTGTTACCGTTTCTGGCTGCGTTGGTCCATCGAGTCGAAGAGCGAATGCGTACGGCAAGCTGGCGCCACGGACCCTCCACATCGCTATCCCGAGAATCAAAGCTTGTTAATCCCTCGGAGTCGCGCTCTGAATCTTCTTCCAGTTCCACGGCAATTCAAATCACGTTCGCCCTTCGAATAGATCAATCAAAGCTACAATTGACCTGTCAGCCAGATGTCAATGTCGTCGCAGGGATCAATTGGGATAGTGGGGGGTTCGTTGTCAATGTTGCCTCTCACACTCGCCAAGTCTCTTTCATGGGTAACGTGGGGGGTCTGACGATTGGTCTGAAGCACGGGTTCCTCAGTGAAGATTGTGTTCGCCTTGATGCTCGTGATCTGACGTTTTCGGTGACCTTCTCCAAGCACGAGAACAGCGGATTAGAGAATGCATCCAGCAGTGTCTCGGTGGTACTGGATACCGAAGTCTCGGGTGGTGTCCGATTTTCTCGTTTACAGGACGTTCTTTGCTTCAAGGCCGTTTGGTTGGATCGAATACCCGTCTTCTCGGCCAGCTCACCGTCGCCTTACGAAGCATCGCCAAGGCCGACACATTCATCAACAACCCCCGCACCCCCAAAGCAAGAACTCGCAACCGCTATCCTCATCAGAGTCCGTCGCGTCGCAGTAGAGGTGGACCTGGGCCAATCTATCTCTTTTATCGCCTGCGACATACGAGATATCAGCGTACGCACCAAGCTACACGACAAAGCCTCAGAGCTTTCATTATCGGTCGGGGATATTGGTCTGAAGGCCACGGGTAATATAGCAGGACGGGCACATCTTCCTAGCTTCCTCTTCGAAACTGTCCGTAGGACCTATGCCGGTCAGGCCGAAACCTACACCGGGCCAAGGATGTTGGATTTATTCTTGAAGAGCGGAGCTCTGGAGGTAGTCCTCGAGTCAGATTATCAGAAAATACTGCAACTATGGTCAGTTCGGTGTAGCCTTATTTGTCACTCTTCTCATCCTTCGTGTCACAGGGCAGAGCCGTTCGAGGTCGTCATCTTCGATGATTGGTCCCAAATCGCCCAGAGTATCCCCCTGGAAAACCGCCGTCTGCGTCTTTCTTTCCTGGTATCGGGTGCTGCGCTCCTCGTTGTCGCCACCGTGGGCACAATTCCGAAGCTTGTCTCCTACTCTTCAAGGTTCATGGCCAACCTGCAAGCCCAGCGGGAAGGAGCAAGTCGCGAATCAAAGGCGTTCCGTGTCACTCAATCACCGAAACCTGACAACCCACTCTCCGCAGTCGCGAACGCGATGATCGTTTCAGCGGGTACGAAGTTCAAAGAGGCAGACACCGGCGTGTCGTATGTCATACGACAAGAGATGAAGTTCAGTCTGAAGACCCTTCGATTGATAGTATTCCCGCGCAACATGTCCGACTTTGAAGCCGCACGGTTCACTGTCCGCGATGTTCAGGCTACCCTCACCCGCCTCGTGGAGTCCGACCAGATCCCGGCTACACGGGAGTTACGCTTGGCTTTCTCCGCCATGAACACGTCTCGATTGACACAACTCAATCACGCTGCCAGTACGGTGAATAAGCTCTCCGATGGGCAAGGTTGGCTCGCAGAACTCCTACGGAACGCACATGAAGCAAGTATCTTCGACATGCCATCGATGACCATTGTGATGAAGACAGACGAGACGACTGAGCACAGGACGAAGGTCATCCATTACGACTTCGATAGCAGATTCGTCAGAAGTGAGGGCTTGAAAAACCATGAAGACATCTACATCACTCTCAACGTTTCGCTGTATTCTTGGCTCACTCTGCTTCGCAAGAACCTCTCGAGAGAGATGGACCAGGTGCAAGGCTCCATGGACTGGCGCGCAGCTCCACCTTCATTCGCTCTGGCCCCAATCCAACCGTCCAACAAGCTATCGTCTCCAGCGGAGGGATCGCGCCCCGACCTTCATACCACATCGCTTTCTCCTGTAGTCCGTTCGCCTTCTATCGATATCACATCTGCAAACATGGCCAAGAAGCTTTCGTCCACGTCAGTCCACCCAGATGAGCAGCCAAGCTCAGACGCTACGCTTGCGTCCGCCGGTCACCGTCCACCTTCTCCCATTTCCCCAGAAGACAAGGACCTGCCTACAAAGTCCGGTGCATCATCTCCGGCCTCGGAGAGTCCAGCTTTGACAGACCGAACACCCAGCATCGCGGGCGAAACTCACCCTACCGTCGTCTATCGCGCGCGCAAACGCTATATCGAACGGCTGAACATGCGCCAACTGGGCGAGGCCACTCCAGATGTCATGCATCCGTTCTTTATGAAGAAGGCTGGGTTCAACTTGGAGGACTCTCTTCCGCAATATGTGCACGAGTATGCGACAACGCCAGTGGAGGAGATCATCCGCGTACTGTTACAATTGTACAGCAAACAACTGAACACTTCGCAACGTTTACCGTCACAGGAATACGAACCTGAACCATGACACTTTCGTATACGGTCTATACGTCGATACGCTTTATATTTATACCGAAGAACTCCCAATAATTACTTATTTGTATGTATCCACACGACGAATTTGACGGTGAAGAGAAGACGGTACACAGGACTCCACTATCTCTGCCATTACACCGGACTAATTAACTACCGTAAACCAAGTACAAGGCCGGCCTAACGTATCACTTGCCAGAGGAAGATCCGCCGACACTAACGTTGCTGAAAACACTGAGTAAAGCGAAGCAGCCGTAGAGAAGCCCAACAGGATACGCGACAAGCAATCGCTGGTCGGACATTCGTAGCACAGCAACGAAGATGCCAGATGCGGCGTACGTGCACCAGGTCACTGACACGAGGGCTAGGACGTATCCCAGAAGGCCGCTGGAAGGGTTGTCTTGTAAGATGAAGTCAAGTGAGATGCGGGGTGAATTAAATACGCACTCTAGTGTGACCAGTACGCTCAAAGCCCCAACACCGACCATGGGGAGCAGGCAGTAGCCAAGCACGGAAGAGACCCTATAGGCGTCGATGCCCTTCTCGGACATCAGGTTGAGGAGTGTGTAGATGGATGCCGAGCCCAAGAGGCCAACGCCGTATATGTATCCGAATTGCGGTTTTCCTGACTGGAATAGGGTAAATAGACCGAGGCCCACCAAGAGCGCTCAGCCACGCATGAGTCCTCTGCAGAGCATTCGGACCACTCACGAAAAGGAGAAATGTGCCGAAGCAAAAACAGAAAAGAAGTGGGCCTGCAAGGTCTGCGTCGTCCATGATGCGCTCATCAACGCGACGGAGTGGGTTAAGAACAGTCATTGATTTCGCGCTGATGTGTGAGAAGTTGATGCCGAGCTCTTTGGAAGCAATATCTTGGTAAGGAGTACGAACAAAGGCAAAGTATGAGAACGCGTACCTTCGAGTAATGGAGGCTCGCCTTCGAATCCACCCGTCCCAAAAGCCGTCCACCAGCCACCTGCAGGTTGTATTTGGCCGCCATATGCAGCAGCAGCGTTTCCTTGCGCTATGGATCCTTGGGGACCGACATTGCCCTCGAGGCTTGAGCGCGAACTGGGATAGAAAGAGCCCTGGTCATAGAACTGAAGAGGTGTACTTTGCACCGGATGTTGGGGGTAGTATTGGCTCTGCGACGATGAAGCGACGTAGGGGCTCTGGTTATCTTGCCACATAGGCGAAATGGTAGAAAGATGATGAGAGAGTAAGTTGACGTGGAGGCAAAGGTCGCGTTCGCTCGCGGAGAAGAGCGCGAGACGGCTTGTTGTGGTTTGTTTACTCCCTCCTTACTTCTCTCTTCCACTCGCCATGGTCAGTTTTCCCTCACAATGTCTCCCATTCGTCATTGCTCATCTTTATCCTTCATATACAGCCTCAGGTATGTTTCCCCAGACTATGCAATACTTGACTCCTTCCTAACGCAGATGGCAGAACGAGTATATCGAGGAACACATCAAGCGACATGGACGGAGACTAGATTACTACGAGAAGAAGTGCGTTCTCCTTTGCGCTCTCTTTGGTACCCCTTCTTAACTCTATCACAGGCGAAAGCGTGAAGCTCGTGCTGTCCATCGACAATCTGCTGTCGCCCAAAGTGCCTTTGGTATCAAGGCCAAACTTTTACATGCTAAGCGGCACGCAGAGAAGGTGCAACTCAAGAAAACGCTCAAGGCTCACGATGAACGAAATGTCAAGCAAGCCGACTCATCCGTACCCGAAGGCGCTCTCCCCACATATCTTCTTGATCGCGAAGGCCAGAAGGACGCCAAGGCACTTTCCTCCGCTATCAAACAGAAGCGGAAAGACAAGGCTGCAAAATTTGCCGTACCTCTTCCAAAAGTACGAGGGATCGCTGAAGATGAGATGTTCAAGGTCATGCGGACGGGGAAGAGCAAGAGCAAGTCATGGAAGCGGATGGTCACGAAGGCGACGTTCGTTGGCGAGGGCTTCACGCGTAAACCGGTGAAGATGGAGAGGTTCATCCGGCCAATGGCCCTGCGTTTTAAAAAGGCCAATGTCACCCATCGTACGCCTCTTTCTTCTGACTCTTATCACCCGTTAGGTCCTAACGAGCGATTCCCAGCCGACCTCAAGGCGACCTTCCAGCTTCAGATCCTCGGAGTAAAGAAGAATCCCCAATCCCCAATGTACACTCAACTTGGTGTCCTCACCAAGGGTACCGTCATCGAAGTGAACGTCTCCGAGCTGGGAATGGTCACTGCTGGAGGCAAAGTAGTGTTTGGGAAGTACGCCCAAGTCACGAACAACCCTGAAAATGACGGCTGTATCAACGCTGTCCTCCGTACGTCTCTTTCCTTCTTATGTCTTCGCTTCATACTCACGATTCATCTCCTCGCCTTTAGTTGTGTGATTCATCTGCTTTCTTCTTCTTTACCATCCACCTATTGTATGTATACGTAGTCTTTGTTTTATCCTCATCGTGTGTTTGGAGTGCCTATTTGCCTCAACTATCGCAGAACATCGACTAGTTCGTTCTATGAACGACCGCTGGTAAATGGATATGTGCGCTGACTGGACCGCTACCGTATAAACCTCATCTAGCGGCCTCAGCTGTACGATGCGTTATATGCTGAATTATTAAGAGATCGTTTTAGCGTGAACTCATGCCAAACCTACGCAACACCTGAGTACCGCTAGTCTCAGAAAGTCTGGGGACTTGCGGCGTATGTCTGGGATCTATCTACAAAAATACACTGGATAATTCAGACGTCTTCTCACGATCCACGTGACACACTCAGCGCCAGTAATTCGGAATTCCACTTGCAGCTTGCTCAACCGCTCACCGCTCACCGCCTGGCCAAACCACCACTGATGTCGCACTCTCCATCTCCTCGTCCTGCATCATCAGAACCCAGTTCTCGCCATGCTGCCTCAGCTGTTGAAAAGCAGCGCTCTCAGCTTGATCGTCTCCTCAAGGATCCTTCGAAGCCGGCGTACATCCCTGCGCCGCCAAAGGATAAGTCAATACGACCGCCTCGGGAGATGATGAAGAATGTCCAGGGTTCCAGTGCTGGTGCAGGAAGTGGGGAGTTTCACGTCTATAAAGCGGGGAGGAGGAGGGAGTATGAACGTCTGAAGGCGATGGATGAGACAGCCAAAGCCGTGAGTGATCTACGCGCGGTCTTGATGCTGCCGAAGTGGGACTGATGAAAGGTATGATGAACAGGAACAAATTGCCGCAGAATTTGCTGAACGCAAGCGACAGAGAGAGGAGGAGGCAGACAGCAAGACGGCCAAGAACCGTGCTAAACGTCAGAAGAAGAAGGGGCGCGGGAAGGGCAAGGCCGATGGCGAGGGCTCAGCACCTCCAGAAAGTCATCTTGGTTCGGCTTCGGGAACGTCTGAGGCACCTCTGAAGAAGCGCCGGCTCGTCAATGGCGAGGAGCTTGTGTTCAAACGACCAACTGAGGATGACGATGAGCAGGACCAGGCTGTGGATGCCAGTGAGCCGAAGCAGTTGGATGTGAGCAGCCAACAATCAGGTAATGTCCTCGAGGAAATGCCAGTTTCCACGACAGCCGCTCCTCGTATCATTATCCACGAGGATGATTGACCAGTTTTCTTTAAATTGTGCGTTCTCCTCTCCTTGATTCTAAGAACATATTGCTTACGACGTTTTGTCTACCTAGATGAATCCCCCTCGCGCTGTAAGGTCTCCCAATCTCCAGATTCGATTGTTCGTCTGTGGTGCAGCATTTTTCGCCTCTACAATTCGATTCGTCCTCCATACAGTCACATCGCGATCAACTGTATCCTCGTCCGCACAGACACCAGGGTACAGAGCAGGCTGTATGACACCACACGAGGGCTGAGTGTCTCAGACAGCATCTTTGACTCTACTCAGACGGCGTATCATGCGCAACAACACTCTGGCAGAAGTACGTAGAGATCGTAGCCAGGTTTCATCTGCAGTTAGCTCGTACCATCTGTAGCTACCCAACCGGATGGTCAATACATCAGCTTCAGCGTGATTGGTCAGAAAAACCCAATTCTCATATCGTGAATTGTTGTAGATCATACTACTGGATGTCGATGTGGCGCCGCTTTTGGAGAATGCATTGAACGCGGAGTTCGAATCCTTCTCCTTGAATTATCCATCGACGTAAACGTGAGAACTACCGCGACATCACCCACTGAACAGGCTAGTGACATTCTGAAAGGTCCGTTTGAGGCCCGGCTAGATTAAGCTACATGAACCTGCACTCATCATCAGCAGAGTGCTCTCGTATTTAGTCACCCTCACAATTCGCCACGCCACCAGGTTCTTGCCATGACCATATACAGTCTGTACATCTATGACAGGTATGGCTTGGTTCAACGAACAGATGTTGTCCTTTTGCTTATAGACGTGAGAAGGCACTGTAATTGCGTGTATTATCACGACTGGCACCGCACAAGGCGTCCGAAAGCTGCAGTCGTCGGCGGTCTTCTCCCCGGTGTCTCAAGGGCTGTTTCCCCTTTACCTCCCGCTTCCGAAATCCATTCGAACAACACCACGCCCTTTACTAGCCCCCGAAACACGCTTGCATCGAACTCAGGCATCGTCGTCGCTCTCAGCGATATCCCACCATCACCCTCGCCCCTTTCACAGGCCCATCAAGCACCCCAGGCCGGTGGCCCACAGCCCACATCCACTGGCCTCCCATTCGACGAGGAAGCAAAACTCGTGTACGGAGTCATCCTGTCACTCAGAAACATGGTCAAGCGACTGTCCGGAAGGTACGTGCTTTCGCACCTCCGGACTGATGGCAAGTCTCAACCCCGCCGTTTGCTAGAGACGAACAGTTTGTCAACTATCGTACATCAGCATATAAGATGCACTTGTACGAAACGCTCTCGGGATATAAGTTTGTCATGCTCAGCGATTCCAACGCCGAGTCCCTCCGTTACGTTCTGCAATCCATCCATACAGGACCCTTTTTGGAGTACGTCGTTCGAAATCCGCTCATCAAATTGGATTCCAGAGATCGAGGCATCGACAACGAGTACTTTCGAGCTAGCGTAGACCGCTTGGTCAGAGGACTATCAGTGTTTCAATGATTAATTATGTACGGACACGCCTATCTCGAGAATTCCGAAAAGGAATCGGGCCATGCACCGCAATAAATAAACGAAATACGATAGGAGCTGCAACGTCCATCGACCGTCCGACATCTCATACATTAAATAAGTGGTACATGTCCGGGACTTGTTAAAGGAAAGCCAGAAACTGAAGTCCTGGACCTCCCTTTCTACGAATCTTGAGTCCCGTCCTTCATCTCTATATCACCATCCACTTCAGAGTGTTCCAACTTATTTCTCAACACGCTCATCAATGTCTTCGCTACCTTCTCCTCCGCCTTCTTATCCCCGGCCTCACCTTCCAGCTCCCCAGCGACAGCCTCGTCCAGAGCCAGCTTGGTTTGTCCTAGCCGCAGCATATCCTCCTCGATGGTTCCACGAGTGATCAATTTGATGATGTCTACGTCGCGCTTTTGTCCGATACGATAAGCGCGGTCCTGAGCTTGCTTGTCGTTGTGCGGGTTGAAGTCTTGGTCGAAAAGCACTACGACGCTGGCCGAGGTCAGGTTGAGGCCCATGCCACCGGCTTTCGTAGACAATAGGAAGACAGGAATTGATTCGTTTTCATTGAACTCGTCGACGAGTGACTGACGCGCGTCTACGGGGGTCGCCCCGGTGAGAAGTAGGAACTCGATATTCTGCTGCTTGAAGATGACTTGTAGAATATCGAGAACCTGGACGAACTGATTGATCGGTCGACGTCAGGGAGGTATGAACAATATAGGGGAGATAGAGGTGCTGACCTGGGAGAATATCAGGATTCGACGATCCTCGCTACGATACTGATTCAACAGCCGGAGAAGAACGTCGATTTTACCAGCTTGGAGATAGCAATCGGCTTCCAACATGTACTTTTGTGTTGACTAAAAATCATCACAACGTCAACGAGGAGAAGTCATCAAAAATCAGGAAGGACGGACCCGATACTGGTTGAAGAAAGCCTGAAGCTCAGCATCCGACATGACTTCCATGTCTTCCTTGAGGTAGGCAGGAACAGACGTCTTGAACTCGGTCTCCTTGACCAGAAGCTTTACGACGGCGTCAAGCGTCTTGTCCGTAAAGCGATGCCGGAAGAGCATGGGATGTGATGCGGCTTTGCGGAGATCCATCAAGACATTGGAGCTATTCTCTGCCCATTTCTTGTCTTTTGCCTTCGGTTTGGCTTTCTTCGCAGCCTTCCCGCGAGTGTTCGGTGGTGTCTCTGTACCGGTGGCGGTTGTGTCGAATACGATCTTGCGAGACCGTTGGAGAGCGTCGTCGTAGATTGTCTGCTGTGCCACGTTCATGTCGCACCACTCGATCCGCTCTCTCTTCTTGGGAAGGTCTTTGAGTACCTACAAGGGGAAGATATAAGCATCCTATACCACGGGACGTTCATGAATAACCTACCTGATCCTTTCTTCTCCTCATGACGAAGGGTGTCATCATCTTTTTGGCGCGCGATACCCGTTCGGCTGCAAGAAGGGTTACGTTGGCATTACCCTTCGTCTTGAAAATGTCGCGAAGTGACTCTAAAGAGTCTTCCAACATCTTCGGCAAGATGAAGTTCATGATAGACTAGTCCTCAAGTCAGCGTTTGATGTGAAAGACGCGAAGATGATGCGAAGTATGACGTACGACAAGCTCTTGTAGGTTGTTTTGCAGAGGTGTGCCAGTGAGTAGCAAACGCCATCGAGACTCGTTCCTCATGAGAGTGTGGTACCGTTGACTCTCAAAGTTTTTGAGAACGTGTCCCTCATCGTACACGCAGCACTGCCATGACACAAAATGAGCGTCAGCAATGCTGTTGACAAAAGAAAGCACGCACGTCCCATTCCATCTTACGGAAGAATTTGCGATCCTTCTCGTCGCCACTTGCGAGATTGTAGGTGGTGATCAGCACCTCCCAGCCGTCCTTGTTCTGCCTTCTTTGTGTATCGTTGAGAGTGTGTCGCAGCATAGGGCGTTCGTCCTTGGTTCCATAGTATGTTCGGACAGAGATGGATGGCGCAAAGCGATCGAATTCCCGAACCCAGTTTTCCAACGTCGAGGACCTAGAGAGCACATCGCATTAGCATATATCAACACATCCACCAGAGAACGCATACTCACGGGACAACGATGAGGTGTGGACCCTTGTTCCCTTGCTCCTTCAACAGGGCGAAGAAACTGATGACTTGAACCGTCTTCCCCAGGCCTAAGAGGAAACGTCCCGTCTCAGCACAAGCAGAGGTCACCAAGAAGGTTGGAGAAATCACTTACCCATCTCATCGGCAAGGATGCAGCTGAGTCTACGCTTGTACAACAAGCGAAGCCAGTTGACGCCAATGAGCTGGTAGTCCTTGAGTTGGACCCCAGGCGTCAGAGATCGTGGTTGCTCCGTCATGAAGTCCTTTGGCTGGCGATCCGCAACCACGGCCAAGTTCGTGAGACTGAGCGCCCCCTCCGATGAGTCATCTGGCGTCCTCGAGCCACCACTGTCCGCTCGCCCTTTCCCTTTGTCAGAGGAAGAGGACCAGGAAGCGATGATCTCTTTCAGCCCGTTCCCGATCTCCTCACAATCCTCAAGGACATTGTCGACGGTCCCATAACCGCGGAATATCTTGACGCATTCGTCGAACATGCGCGAACTGATACCGGCGGGGCCTGCCTTTTTCTTTCCTTGACCTAGTTTGGCCTTGAGATCCTCGACGTCCTCGAAAGGCCGGAGCGCAACAATAGCGTCGGCCTGCACCGGTGTGCAGCCTGACCAGACAATGGATAAGATGACCCGATACTGCGCCGAAGTGAGGGGGAAACCATACCTGTCAATTGCTGCAGACTGTCTGCCCCCACAGAATTGAAGTAGTTGAGAACCCTTCTTTCATCGGAAGTGCCCTCAGACTTGCGGGATATCGGGAGACTACTTGGACCACTATCCGCTTCTGAAATCTCTATTTCGGACTCCTCGTCGGACTCAACGACCTTCCTCTTGGTCAAGCGTTTCGGCCGGACGACCTCTGGAGACGGTGGACTAGGCGGCGGAGGCGACAGTGGTGATTCTGCTTTGGACAGCACGCGAGGAGGGGTGGTTTTCCGCGGGGAGGGTTGCTTCACCTCCAGAGGTCGATGTGCATATATCTTAGAACTCCTTCCTCTCTCCTTCTGCGCGGCGCGTTGAGCTCTCGTGGCTTCCTCAAACTCTTTGACACGACCGGAGGGAGGGTGCTCATGTTTCGAGGCAGAAGCTGGAGTGTGAGTGGACACAGCTGCGGAGGGTGCGGGCGCGTGTACAGGAGATGGTGTAGAGGGAAGTTTGAAGGAAGGGTCCCTAATGATATTCGTAGCGACGGTCGGGTCCCCGCCGGCAATCTTCCACGCAGCCTTGACCTTCGCCTCCTCGAACTCAGGGAACGTAAAGCGGAACTTGTTGAACTTGGCGCGATCGGCATCTGACACCGAGTTGGGATCGGACGACTGCCGCGAGTGGGCCACAGGACGCGTACCGCGCACGATACGCGTCGTGCCAACCTTGACACTCTCGGAGGTGGATTCGTCGGAGGAGAGGGACGCTTGAGGGAGAACACGGGAATTCGAAGAGCCGACTGTACCTGCTACTGGCTGCCTTTGTCCGGGCCGTCTGACCTCGGGCGATGCAGGTGAATTGTAGAGATCCATGGACTCGACGGACGGTGTCGGCGAGCCTTGTAGTGGTCGTTTGCGCGACGACGACTGAGATACATCACGCTGAGCAGTCCCCCTCGTACTACTGGTGGTCGGACGGGAGAAAGACGCGTGTGCTGGACCGAAAGCAGGGAGGAAGCCGCTTGGGGCGCTGAGAGGATCGTGGCTGGAGGATGTCCAGGGCGGAGAGCTTGTATGGTGGAGACCTGGTATAGGCGCCACGTCATGGTCGACTGGCTGAGGATGTCTCCCATGCTGGAACGGACGATAGGTTGCGTCTTGAGCGAGAGGACTTGAGTTGGGCACAAGCACAGTACCGTTCGCGGGGGACGTCGACGGCGGAGGGAAGTAGCGAGACCGGACGGGCGTCGTCGTCGCATCTCTCGACTGCGGCGGCGGCGGCGGCGGCGACGGACCTGCCTGCGTGCTAAGCGACGATGTTGAGGATGCCATAGCAGGCTGGTTTGTGTTTGCTTTCTGTCCTTTCAGGTTCTTCTTGAACCGGAGCTGGTCCAGCGCCGCTTTCTGTGCAGCCGTCGTCGGCGGTCAGACACACCGTCCATCGATCAATTTTTGCACACGGAGAACACTGACCTTCGCAGCAGGCTCTGCACGGATAGACATACTCGCAAAAGAGGACGAAATGTAGAAGAGCTCAGAGGGCGAGCAAGTGTTGTGGTGTGGCGAGCTGTGTCTGTGTGCGGGACAGCGTGGAGTACAAGGACAAGCCGTTTGAGCCAAGCACGCACGCAGGCGACTCGTCGGAGAGTTAATCAATTATTATGGCAAGCAAACAGTTATATTTCCAAAATACAGTACATATATACATAACACCAACATCGTACTCGAATGACAGCATACGTGAGCAGCAACACACCCTGCTCCCTTCGACACGTCGACCGCACGATACAACTACGCAGCACCAAGTACAGTGTGAATTATGCGGAGCAGACGACGCGCACGCGATGAGGGCCAAAGAAAATGTTCACAAAGGAGAGTATAACAGATCGTTACCCATATTGCATTCAACCAGTTGTCAGCAGCTAGTCACTGAAGAACTATGAACGCACCACATATCCCAACACCCCCGCAGGACACGACAAGCACAAATCTGGACACGTCTCATCACGCCAGTATTCTCCTTCGGAATATAACAACCCAGCACATCCATCTTGGAAGGAACGAACAACGCCTGCTGAGGACAGATAGAGGGCACATGATACGCGAGAAGTGTTGACAGAGTAACGCAGGGATGACAGGCAGGCAGGCAGGCAGTGAGACACGGTAGCGATAACTGGCAGACGAACGCGAATAGTTGATAAGGATGTAGGAGCGCAAGCGATAAACTTCGGCGGACAGTATCCATGGGTGATAGCCTTGGGACGCGAAGCTAGGAGAAAATAACACGGCAGTGTCATGCACACACAGCCAAACGAGACAGACCTTCGGCCGCAATTGCGAAAGACCTAACCAATATTTGGGCCACACTTCGGTTCAGTCGACCTTCAAGGAGCGCATTTCTTGGAAGTCTGGAAGAAGACGCTACCGTTGTGCAGAGAGCGCGTAGAAGGGCCAGCTGTATCGGTCGGCAGAGACATCTTGTCAAGGCTAAGACGCGCATGGCGAAGATTGGATGTCGGAAAACCTGGAGTTAGCGTTGTTCACCTACCAGACCCTCGGAGTGGTGAAAATTGGCACCGATATTGCGAGTGAACGGAAATGCTCTGGCGACAGCTATTGCCCCAGCCCGATGGATTTCAAATGCAAAAAGCAGTAACAAAGATGAAACAAACTTGGGGGAAAGCGGGGATGGTCCCAGTGTAGAGGGGAAAAAAGGGGGAAATTTTGTCCTATGGGTTAAAACGCACATGAATAACAAGGAAGCGGTATCGAGCCCGTAGGAAACAATTGTCCCAGAGAAAAATAGCGATAACGTCGCAAAAAGCGCGGGAAAAGAGACATTTGCTGCAGATTGCTCGACGCACGAAAGCGTAATCTGCCTCTTGCACATCGTCACTGTCGTTGCCGAGTGGACTCTGCACATTGGACGTGCGCGATGTCGTTGGAGACCGTAGCCTCATCGCAACGCATCTATGGGCATAACAAGTAGCAGTGGCAGACATATCTCGTAGAGTGGGCGGGCAGCGAGGAGGTGGGCTGGAGAGAGGGATGATGGTGGGCGAGAGGAAGGAGGGTTTCATCCACGCTGGCCATCGATAAGCATATTCAGAGCCCGCCGGGACCTGCCGGGACGCGCCGGACCAAGCTGTGCCATTCGTGCCGAGCAGCGCAGCCTTAGTGCAGCACTGTGCAGCTCAGCGCTCAGCACTCGTCAGTGCCAGTTTGTCCACGACAGTCATCATGCTCGATTTTGCCTTCGGTATCGCTGCCGTATTTTTCTTCCTAGTCTTCCTAGCCTTCTTTCTTGTTGTCACCGTCCCTCTCAATGGCACGTTAGTTCGACTCCGAGCCAACTACAATCCGAAGGGACTTCAGCTCGACGAAGAGGATGGCGTTCAGCCCCATACAGGCCCTGTCGTCACCAGCTTCTTCGTCATGATGGCCAGAGTAAAGCGTCTGGAGGTACGTCTGTGGATCTCGCTCCTCTCATTGACATCAACCAACTCGAACATGACTCCCTCACTCAGGGTTGGTCGGGATTGTTTAAGGGAATGAGTGAGTGCATCTATGTGAGCGAGGTGTCATGAGACGCGACGTTCATTCCTCGTCCCGCAGTGCCCACTTTACTGTCAAATACAGTTCTTACCCTTTTCGGTGCTCTGTTCCTCGACGCTTCGCCCTCGAATCCGCGAAATCACGGAGTCTACAACGCGCCCTCGACCGGTATTATCGGGACTCTCGTATACAGCATATTCCTCATGCTCGTATCATTGCCTGCAGTCATCATCACCTACCGGTAGGTCTCCTTCACTTAAGCTTCATCTTTTTATTCAATAGCTGCGACGCTGATTTGGTTGTCCCGACAGAGCCATCACTACCCCTCACCGCCTTCCTTGGTTCAATCCCGTTCAGTCGCTGCACATTCTGCTCACCCCAACCGAACGTCGCAAGCCGTGGATCCTTTATTTGACGCCTGGTCTTCTCGCAGCAGAAGTCCTGCATATCACATACGTCGTAATCGGCCTTCGCACCTTCCGTATCCTCCTTTTGCCTGCACTGTCGGACCCTGAAACCGCGACGCCAGACCAGATTTCCATTCCCAAACTGGTCATCTACCTGTCTGTGGTCGTTCTTAGTACCATCGTCCTCTGCCCCTTGGAGGTCATTGCCACCAGACTATCCGTCCAGAGAAATCACGCCTCTGCCGAGTACAACTCCGTCGCCCAAGAAATTGACGGTGATGCGGAAGACGTCGCGGACTACGCTGGCGCGGAGGAGGATGTTATCGGGTATGTTCGCACGTCCCTTCTATCCGTCCCTTTCTGATCCAGTTTCCAGATTGAGGAGCGAGATGGATCCATACTTGGGTTTAGTCGACTGTGGGAAGCGCATCGTCATCGAAGAAGGCTGGCGAGCATTGTACCGCGGCTGGTGGCTTACACTTCTATTTGGTGGATTTGGGGCGTTCTCTTGATCTCTACGGCTGCCTCATTGGTCAGGGATGTACCAACTATATGATGCGGACCTTCGTCAAGACATGCATCTCATATGTATGTGAATGAATCTTAAGACTTGTAGATTAGCGTCACTTAGCTTACAAATTCAGCAGTTCGCAGGACTAAGCAGTTTGATACGAAACAGAATCGTCTATCCCTACACTAGTACAATCGCTCAAGATGATGTGCAACCTCGCAGTTGTTACTATCAAGTTATAATAACAATTCTCCGTTTACGATCTCCGGACAGTGTAAGGCTTGTCGCGAAGAGTCCACACATACCATCAGACCACCGTCAACGGATAGATCAGTTTGGTGAGCCCTCCACGAGCGGCATCTACCAGCGTCTACACAATTAACTCCTCTCGGCCTTAATATGTGCAATACAAGACCTCCAATCGACATCTCCGCTGAACACATCACGATCCTGTGCTCCCAAGGGCTACTTTACTGTAATCCTGGCAATCTTCCGTCCGTGACTAAGCCTAACGGTTTTCACCTTTCCGCCATTTTTGTTCAACTTGAGACCACACAGCGCTGATATGATCATCCTTATCGTTCCTCGGCTGTGAGGCACTCCCTCGTCCTGGATCGTGCAATGCACATTACATCACTGGCCTTGTAAGATGGTACTTGTCACATGGACGTAGCCGATGTTAGATTCTTCGGTGAAGGATCGAATAGACGGCAGGTCTTCGACGGTCATACCTCTGTTTAACTCGTTCCGTTTGCAGCTGGCCTCCGACCGGTATAGTTCGCATGAAGTACTTCTTTCCCAGATCCGTCAAGAAGCCAAGACCGGCCATATACTGCGGAGAGGCGCGGGTAAGTATCATCTGCGTCTTGCCTACTTTCTGCTTCAAAATTTCTCATACTTATGGCCTCGGTAAGTTTCTTTGAACTGTTGCGTCACGGACACTCAATCTTCTCGCGATTTCAATTGCTCAGCAGCCCCAATATACATCTGCACCCGGTAGAGTACATTCTCAGGAGGCGTCGATGCTCTTGTTGAATGACATAGAAGATCTTACACCACCTCCCATAATTCGGCATCCCGTGTCCTCATAGAGTGGAACTGGGGTCTCCTACTAGCACCCTCTGCAAAAAGGAGTTCAGGCTTATTTTCCGCGTCGGTTTTGACCAAGCTTTTGTATCGATCTGTTCTTTACTACGATAGGCTTCACACCTTGTCCGTATTTCTCCGTCCCGAGTGGCAGAAGTTTCAGACGGCGCCACAACTCAACTTGGTTTGTTCCCATTATTTCATGTCATTGTTTACTCACGTTATGCATTCCCGTGGTGAGGCGTGTCCGGCAATTAAAGTCTGTCCAGCGGATGAGCCCTTGGAATCTCTTGGCAACAAGCTTCTTGAATGTCTATTTCGAGGTAACGATTCCGTCGAGCAGCATACCAATCAGAGCACCATGGATCGCTCGGCGCTATGACATCCTCTACTTTCTCTGGATGTCATTATGCGCAGCCGATTGCACTGCTGGACTGAAGGGCTTTTCACCATCTCGGTCTCACGTTATCTGGAGTGCGCGTCTCCTTCCCTCTGGGAGGCTGGGAAGGTCTTTCTCACTCTTTCTCAGCAACAGAGTTGACCGTTAAATATGCCCGCAGTGGCGAGGCTACATTTTCCTACTCCCCCTTCCCTATCAATAAGCGATAGTTTTGAGGCCCGCGTTTACTGTGTCATTTCTCCCTCGATCTCATCCTTGTCGACTGTCATAACATGCCCGTGGAAGTCACTAATCAGCGCAAGCGATCCTCCCTTGATGCCACTGATGCGACAGTATCCTCTGGAGGAGATCACCGAAAGCGTCGCCGCAATCGAACGATGCAGTCATGCATTAACTGTCACACCTCTAAGCGCATGGTATGCTTCCACCGTTACGAATCGCCTTTAATTTATTGATTCCCTGTTTGCCAGTGCGACCGAAAGCGCCCCTGTGGCCGCTGTACGCAACTTGGGCTCGTGAGCACCCTAATTGCTATTGATTCTACCGAACTTTATTCACTGACATTTTCCGTTTCCAGTCTGGTCTCTGTGTGTTCGAAGTTGATGATCCAAACCATGGGTCTGTTCTTCGCGGTGTGATGGTGATGTTAACTAGCTGATTTCTGACTGGAATATAGGAAGGGTCCTGATGCGGAGCTGGCCCGTCTTCAGAGTCGTATCACTGAGTTAGAGGGTATCATTCGGGATGTAAGGAGGACACTCAATTAGAAACCGACTTCTACTTATCAGTGTTTATTATAGATGAAGTACAAAGGCCGTCCTCGGTGGATCGAGCCTGCAAGAATCGCGAACTCCGATGCAGCTGCTCACGGCACAAGTATTTCTTCTTTGGTTGTCGATGGAAATGACAGCAGAGAAACGGCGTCTTCCAATGCGAAGCAACGTCATCACCAAAGAGCAATACCGGTCATGTCTTCCGGTGTATACACTGCCTACGACCCAGGGGCGGTTACATCGTCCCCTTCTTGGCCTTCCAACCCATCTACATCTTCCGCGAGTTCCCCAATCGCGCCCTGTCACCCTTCCGAATGTCGCGCACATACAACGAATTCACCCTTGCCATTGCATAATGGTCCCAAGACGCAACCATCACCTCTTCCCCCACCGCCTGCGTCTTTGTTCCCAGAGCTCGGAAGCGAGGGCCATCTATTCGCACAATTAGTGAACGAAGTCATAGACGATGAAACTGTCCCATCGCGCACCGGATACCATGATAGCATTCACTATTGTAATTGCTTAAACGAACCTGGAATACACGCCGTCATCGCCAACCTCTATCCAAGAATACGAAAGGCAGAGGAAGTCCTCAGCTACTCGACGCACATGTCAACTTGCTTGCTCTTGCGGCGACTCAACGAGATTGATGCTCTTGTAATGTCAGTTCGATTTGGCCATCTCTATCCTCCCGCTCTTCGGCGATTGATATTTAACCCTCAGGACAGCACTTCGGAGCACTGCGTCTCCTGACCGAGCCCGCTCGTGGCCTGCAGCCGCACAATTTTCGGATCGTCCTTTGCATCATGACTCAGACTGCCTCAGTCCAGTCGTCACTCCCGACGCGGTCCAAATTCCGGCATTTGGTGAACAGTCGCCCACGCCCGCGTATTCACTCCCTCCTGCCAAGCAAGCATGTGTGTCGCAAGTTGACCGCCCTTGTCAAGTCCTCGGGGAAGACCCTTTGATGTGCTGGGAGCCCCCTAGTTATTATGCGGAGTGCTGGGGACGTGCAATTCAATGAAAAATGCATTTTAGTACGTATAACATTAGTTTGAGGAGTCCACGAGTAATTCCCGCTGTGATACTCCCTACTTTCCCATAGCGTATCGTCACAGCCATTGATATGGTCCTCCTCTCGCTTGTATATATATGTTTCCCAATGTGCAGTGCCGCGAACTAGCCACACGATCGTAGCGATTCCATACTTGGCCTGAGGTGTCCGAGGGATACTGAGAAAGATTAGTTTGGCCTCGTCGTGCGATATGTTTCTTTGCTCGCATAGAGTTGTGCCTCCGGCTTCACACGCGCCCGAGATAAGTATCACACAATTGTTCGACTCGAGCATACGTTGTGCATCATGGGAGATGGGGTGAATTGCATAATGGTTGTAGCGTGGTCCATCACTACTGCGAAAAACCAAAAAGCAGGAAAGACGCGGTCTTTGACCACGTACTTCAAGCAAGTAGCCAATTAACCGGGAGGCCTCGAAGGTTCGGGTTGGAACTCCGCCATGCTGAGTCAGCCGTGTGGCCTCTGCAGCTCGTCGCGTCCTCAAGTACCGAAGCATCTTCCCTTGTACGACCATCAACTTGAACTTAGGCATCGCAACGTCTTCACTATGGCTTCACATTTGGTACGCATTTGTTTGGAAGTGTCTTTATTCAATGAACCTCATACGAGCTCGCTCTACTGTTAGGCAAACATCTTTGGAACAGAGCAGGATCGTGTCAACTGTTCTTTCTACTACAAAGTGCGTCACCCTTTGTCGTTTGTCGACTTATTATCTCATAGTATTCTTGACCAGATTGGAGCATGTCGCCACGGCGATCGCTGCTCACGAAAGCACATCAAGCCACCGTTCTCACAGACAATCCTTCTCCCCAACGTCTACCATAACCCCGCTCATGACCCTGTGTGCAAGTTGACGCCGAAAGAACTTCAGGATGGTTTTGATGCGGTGTATGAGGACTTGTACTGTGAATTGTCGAAGTTCGGTCACTTACTGGAGCTACATGTGAGTGTTATAGCGCCCTTCCAAAGCCTTCTCTACTATAGCTGGCTGACGTGCTCCAAGGTTTGTGACAACGTCGGGGACCACTTGATCGGAAATGTGTATGCTCGATACGAGTGGGAGACAGAAGCTCAAGCTGCCGTGGACAATTTAAACGACCGCTGGTATGCAGGTGCGTGTAGTCCTTGGTCGCCAATGATTCTCTACTAATACACTTCCACACATGACTAGGACGTCCACTATATGCTGAGTTGTCGCCCGTCACAGACTTCCGGGAAGCATGCTGTCGACAGAACGAGAATGGAGAATGTAACCGGGGTGGTTTCTGCAACTTTATGCATCTCCGCCTCGCTTCCAAAGAGCTTGTATCAAGCTTGCGGCACGGACAGCGTCTAGAGCGCAAAATCAACCCCCCGCAGAATGCAGGTGGCGCAGGTGGATGGGAACCATCCAAGCGCGAGGGTGGTCGCGGTCGTAGCGCCAGTCCATCGAGGAAGGCTGGTAGTACTGGAGAGGATAGGTGGACAAGGAAGTAGGGTTCGTCGTGTCGTGTGTATCTTTCGCTGTCTTCAGTACATCATGTTTCCCCAATGTGTAATCAGTGCTTTTTATTCTTGTGCCCCTTGTGATCGTGAATTGAACTGATTTCGCTCCAACCCTGTGCTCTTATCCACAGAGCTTTCAAATGCCTTGGAGTAGTAAGCGTGGTGGTATTCGAGGTGAGGTGATGATCTACGGTGGCTATCAAAAGCGTAAGAGTGTCCGAAGTTAGGGAACATCGAGCCTTGATGGTCAAAGAAGGTATGTGCACAAGAGGGGAAGGACTGAAAGTTAAGTACAAAATAATTATGACCGCTAGAAAGGGCGGCAGATCTAAGCAGCATTAAGTCTGACCTTGCTATCGGGTTTGTCCTTTGCCGTGAGTGGATCATATTTCATGTCACTGTGGACTGCCGATATGTGACACATTACGGCGCTTGGGATAACATCATCCATTCGGTGATGCCAACAAACCTTTCGACAGCGCAAGCGAAGGGCGGCCAGCGTTAGGGTATCGACGATTCAATCTCTCGAGTTCTGCTTACAACCAGCGTGGCGATTGCGAACGATGCGAAGGACGTGAGTAGAAACTCCCGTGCGTGGAAATCTCTATCAAACCATCCATCCACGATACACACCGCGTTTTCCATCGCTCAATAAGTCGGGCCATTGGACCACAAAACTAGGTTGGTATGTAAGCTTGATTGGTATACCTGTGACATTGAGGGCACATACCTGTCGACGACGGAACGGAGCAGTTTTCCTGACAGTGACAAGGATTTGACACGAGCAAATGACTCGATGTATACCATCCTGGGAGACGGTATTCCTAGAAACTGTGCCCATACCTCGGCATCATATGGGGGGCGGATCTGCATAGTAAAAGACTTACTCGATTGAGGTACGCAGCGACACAAAGGGAGAAGCATGTTCCCGGACCATTGAGAACGAGAACTTCCGGAAGGTTTGCATTCAATAACCGTGGGGCGAAAGTGAGGCGCCAGATAGCAATGAGAAGAGAATACAGCGCTGTTGGAGGTGTAGCAATGAGTGGCTGGTGCACACGGCGAGCCCGCGGAATGGTGACGATTGTGTAGGGGGGTTTCTCCTGAAAAGCATAGATGAATACCCGGACGCAAGCGGAGAGCGAGTTGAGAGAACGAAACCGGTTGTGAGATCGATTCCTCCATTTTAGAAGCTTCGAGTGCGATGGCTTTCTGCACGCTGAGCAAATCGCCCTGGCTGACAATGTAGGTCCGAGGAGTGTACCGCGAAAAATCCAGGGATCCGAGAAGAGTGAGAGACTCGGTTGTATGACCTCCTAAGACAATGGTCATCGAGTGGATGGCACGTTTTATGCACATTGCACCGACCTGATCCTAAGAAAACGGCAAGACTGCAGGTGTTGGTGGTTCGCGGTCTTCGGATCGGTTGCGCTTTGCACGCAATGTAGAGCCGAGTGCAGATTACAACCAGAGCAACGAGGATTATGAGAATAAGTGGCATGGGAATGTCTAGAGATGAGCTGATTGGTGACGCTGTTGAGCTATCGACCAGCAAAAAAAATCAAGCCTCTTGATTCCACAGTCGAGTCTTCCAGCTGAGATCATGAGAAGAATATGGCTAATGCGACTCGAAGAGCGGACAACGATCCTCTTGTGCGAACATGACCACGTGGCCGCGTTCGATGTGGCGTTGCCCCTGACGCGTTCACCTCTGTTGAACTTCTGGCATTCGGGCTTGTTCTGTCTCTCATTTTCTTTTCACGCCGTCAAAGCTCGCGACTGCAAATATAATGAGCACGGACGCCATCCCAGTAGACAGCGATACCATTATCAGCTTACGGAGGGCTATAAAGGATTGCACCGAGCGAGGTCTGAGCCACGCGTCGAAATGGTCCGTATTCCTTTGTATGCTCGCAGCCTCAAGCTGAGAAGTAGATTAGGGCCGCCGAGCTTCTAGCTTCTGTCCCACTGGAGAAAAAGCGCGCCGTCCCAAAGGAAATCGCGTTTGCATCTACACCTTCTAGACCGCCACAATCACGAAGCCCCCTCATCCCAAATCCCCCGTCCACAACGTCTCTCCACATTGATACCGGTGGCGTACCAGTTCCACAGATACCAGCTACGAATGTCGAGGATATTGGCGCGCGAATGGCAGAGATGGACATAGAAACCAATGAGGAGGACCTTCTGTCGCAGGGAAGGGCATGCTTTGATTCAAAGGAGTTCCTGCATGCAAGTCACTTGTTGAGCAAATGCTCGAGTGTCAAGGGACAGTTTCTCGGTCTTTATGCGAGATATTTGGTGAGTCTGTGCCAGTGCTTCTCCCCCTAAGGTCAGTCTACTGAATGTGTAGACTATAGGCCAGTGAGAAGCAAGCGTTGCGCGATTGGAATAAGATGGATGGTGAGTCTCTGTTCTAAACGTTACCCTCGCCACCACGGTTGTATTTGACCAATTACATAGGCGATAGAAATCAACCTACGGCACCAGTCAACGTCTTGCTTTCACAACTTTACGAGTGCGCTGCTCAAATAAGCAATACCGATCCATGGATCCTTTTCATGTAGGATGTCTATTCCACGTTAAACGGTGAATCGCTGACGCTGATAATTGGTTCAGTCGAGGCCTTCTGCTTTATCGCATACAACGACGAGAAGAATCAATTGAATGCACAATACGCTCCATAGAACGATATCCTTGGAATTGGTCTGCTTGGACTTTATTGACCAACCTGGTCAATGATGGCGAAGAGGTATGCTCTGCAACTGTATGGCTTCTCGATTAATGGTGATCTTTATTAAGTTTAGCTAGCAGGCCTCATCCCGCTGATACCTCTCCCACCGACTCACCCTCTCGTTCAATTTTTTCATATCAAAACGCTGAATGTTCTACATCAGCCGTCGGAGAATGAGATCGACATGTGCGATAAACTTCTGGCTCCTGATTATTTTCCGAATAGTCTGTGGATTATGAGCATGCGCGCTACTGCGTTGTATCATCTTCATGGTCCGTCTTCAATATCATAGATATGTAACTCAACTCATGTGTTTCTCCCAGACTTTGGCCAGGCCGAGATACAGTTCAAGAAGATCCTGGAACTTGATCCATATCGCGTAGACGATATCGATATCTATTCAAACATACTGTATGTCACTGAGGACCGGCTACGACTATCCAAACTCGCACACGAGTTCCTGACAGTGGACAAGGATCGACCGGAAGTATGCTGCCTCGTCGGTTTGTTTCTTTCCCTAGCAAATAATCGCCAAACTCTAACCGATATGTCTTTCAGGAAATCATTACTCACTACGTGCTGAACACGACAAGGCTATAAAGTATTTCCGTCGGGCAACACAGCTCGACCCGACATATCTTTCAGCATGGACTTTAATGGGCCATGAGTACGTCGAGATGAAAAACTCACATGCCGCGATCGAAGCCTACCGTATCGCCGTTGGTTCGTGCTACCATATTCAGCGCATGTCTCCTCCAGCACTAATACTATACAGAGGTGAACAGAAAAGACTACAGAGCGTGGTACGGACTGGGCCAAGCCTACGAACTCTTGAACATGCATCAGTATGCGCTGCATTACTTCCAACACGCCACATCACTACGGTACGCAAATAGCTCTTTTGCGACCTTTCACCAGCTAAATCTACTCTCACAGACCGTATGATGTTCGATTATGGCAAGCTCAGGCGGCAAGTTACGAAGAGATGGGAAGGTCAGTTTTACTACAGATTTTATTCTGGTCTGTCGTTAATGTTTGGTCTCCCCTAGACTGCGTGAAGCCGTCGAGTGCTACAAACGAGCCCTTCTAGGTGCTGACGTCAATGAGAGCACGATCAGCTTAAAGCTTGCGAAACTGTACGATGACCTGAAGGAGCAGAAGGAAGCAGCAGACTATCATATGCGAGTCATCCACGTCTGCCGTGCAACTCGTGAGTCTTCACGATATGCCCCCCACCGCCATTTCCTCACCCTTTTGCAGAGAAAATGCTCGCCGAATATGCCAAATCCTGTATCTATGTCGCTAGATTCCAGTTCCAGACTGGAGGAGACCTGGATTTGGCGAAAGATCTATTGGATAAAGTAGCAGGGAGCAATGCAGAGGATGCAAACGAGGCCGCAGAGTTGGTGAAGAAGGTGAATGCGGCTATAGTGGCCCAGGTGGGTGCTACGCATGAAGAGTCATCCGCATTGGATGGGACGGTAGTAGCAGGGACCAACATTTAACGAAGCCTTGTAGTCTTGAAGTAGATGTATGATACATACTTGTCATGCGTACTTGTGTGTGCTCAGCCAACAAGTGAAGTGGAGCCTACCCTAAAGCGCTTTTGCGCGAGCGATAATTCTCACGCGGTCACGAGCCAATTCATGAAGATACAGCAAAGGGCGTAAGATGTCGAACGCTCCAGGACCGTCGTTCTCTCAACAACACTACCCCAGTCAGCCTGTTTTTGCCTCAAAGGGCACCCCATTACCAGTATCTGCCCCTTGGCCTCGATCTACAGTTGCTCCGAGCGTGCCTTCAGCGACATCGTCTGCCGTCGCTCCTCCTGACACCTTCCCTGCTGATGCCAGTTCGCAACCTCCGTTTACCTCTGTCAATGGCTCGCAATCACAGCCGAAAAAGTCTTTCAGTGTAAGATTCACTGCAGAAGAGGAGAGACATGCTTCTGAAGTGTCTTCAAGGTGCGTCATGCAGTCACTTATGGCCATTCGCAGTCCATTGATTCCCTCGCCCTTCCTGGCCAAAAATCACCCAGGGTGTCCCAATGCCTCTTGTCACACCATATGTCAACTTTGTTGCCAGACATAGACTCTCCATTTGAGAGTGCTGAGGATGCTGTGAATCGACTCCTTCCCTATCACATATTTCAACATCCGAAAGAGGACACGGGCAAAGGCAAGAGGAAGGCCACCGAAGCGGACCTCCTGAAGGAAGAGATCAAAGGTGCGAGCATCTTCGACGACAGCTTCACTTGATATCTGAAAAGTCCCCTTCTGCTATAGACACTCGTCAAGCACTGCAATTCCACAAACGCCGGCAAGCATTGGAAAATAGATTCAGGCGCGCACGCATAAAGTCGGGAAAAGTTCGTTCACTGTCCACCATTTTTCTTCTCGCATTTCTCACGTGCCTGTTTCATAGCGCACCGCTCCTGACGATCAAGCGTACTTTCTCGCTCAAGCAGTTCTAGAAGGCGACCGTGCGGAGACGACCGCTCTGACCGCTGAACTCCGCAATGCGCGAGCCGAACTGGATAAAATTGAGCGCGACAAACGACAAGCAGCCATGCCTCCTCGAGCCCCGTACTATGCGTCCGCAATGTCGTCAACTCCCGCCTACTCGCACCATTATCGTTATCACTATCCTTATGCACAACAATCGGGCGGCCTCACTCAGACGCCGATATCATCAGATGCAGCCATGGCAGCTTATAACCAATCTCGACTAAATTCTCCGAGTTCAAATACATCCACTACCCCGGCCTACACCCCTGCATCCTATACCACCCCTACATCATACAACACCGCCGCATCTGTCACGACTCAAGCACCCGTGCCAGCTTCCTCCGCTACTCAAGCCGCGCCAGCCACTCCGACCAAAACGTCGATTCCTGTCCAACTACCGATTGCCTCGCTTCCAGCGTTGCACGCATTGGGGATCATGCCTGTTCCGGCCGCTTCGGTCCCTACTCTTTCGACGGGACAACTACCGCCAGCAGCCGTCCTACGAGAAGCCTCTCCCGATGGTCGTTTCCTCACCCTCGAGATCAACGTCCCCTCCCTCCAACCCAATCAAATGAGTGGTCTCGCCGTCGTTCTGAACTCGCTAGCCCGCGGCACGAATGGAGCAGCTACCGCCGCATCTGGGACCACGCCGACCAGCACTGCCCCTCCGACATCCTACCCCGTGTATCACTATTCACCGCAATACACAGTTCCGCAAACGCAGCCGACATCGGGATATTCTACGTTTCACGTTAATCAGAGTTCGCCTCCTGCTTCTGGAGGTAGTGCGTCAGGGAGTTGAGTCAGGAGCGAGGAGGGCAGAAGCAGAAGATATTTTTATCGTGTACGCTGTAGTGTATGGACTAATGGCTAATGGGCGTCGGGTAGTCATGTTATTGTTAGAGAATCGTTATATTTCATTATGCTGACAAAAGCTTCTTCCATACTTTTTTGAGCGACTGTGAGATTACTATGTACACTTAGCAGAATTCGTCTACAGGCTCAGACGTTGCGAAAGAGTGCGTCGTCGGCTGTGATACCGTCAAGAGGCGTGCGGAATTGCAATCGCGCACATTGGAAGGTCCTCGGCTAGGAGGGGGGGGGTCGACCCCCCTATAACGTTATGCTCCATTTCGGGAAGTCGATCGGACTTCGGGATCTGTGTGGCGGGGTGTGCTCTTTCGACGAAACAAGGGGAGCCCCGCTCATAAAAATGATTTCAGCTGACTATATCACTCTTGAACAATATTTAAGTTTGTCCATAATTTTTGGCGGTCAATATTGATGGTGGTTGGCGACTTTCGCTGATGTGCCACAAACCTCCTCGGCACGGGTGGGGGAGTCCAGAAAGGCAATTCTTGCTCGGCTATCACCCCCACCCCCTTAGCCGAGAGCTGCCGAGAGCTAGCCGAATGTCCGAGCTGTGTGCCCGATTCCAATTCCGCACACCTCTTGGATACCGTCCACGAAGACTCCACCTCGAATCGTGTCTTCGTCCAGCTCTTCAGTCAACCCCGCTTCTTTGCAGAGTTTCAGGAAGTCCAGCGGAGGTGGTGCAGCGACTGTAAGCTGATAGCGCTTATTGGGGCCTTCGCGTCGATATCGCTACGGAAGTCATTCGCATTAGTGAGGAGCCAGCGAAGACTGCAGAGCTAGAAGGTCACGAACGTGGAGCGAGATACTGTGAGCGTGCAGATATAGTCGTTCTTTGACGTATGTCGGGAGGGATGTGATCTCGTCAGCCGGAGGTGTTCTGGTATATAATGCATCACCCAGAATTGGTGCTACGGGAGAGGGAATGCAGATCAGCAGCCTGTCAAATGGTGATGTCCTGTGTGGCGAACATACCTCCGAGAACACGGGAAAGGTGAACACGGAGTTGATGCTTTAGTCCTGTGTGAAGCTGCAAGCGGACCAGAGATAGAGGTGCCTTTTGCTAATAATCGAATGCTTTAGTTTTGCCCATCACCTGTTTGAGGCCTGCATACCGAAGACGCCAACAGCTCCCAGGAAGTGATGGCGGATTTTTCCACTTGGGCTGTACCTGTACTAAGCGCTACGTGTCCATCCTCAATCACGAGGGGAGCAGAAATGATTCCTGTGTTGGTTTGAAACGTTTTCTTTCCTGCACGGACGAGAGCGAGGTAAGACTTTTGGACCTCCCGAGACTGGAATTGCTGGGAAAGTTGTTGCGCGGCCTTCTTGTGTTTGGCCAAGACCAACACCCCGGTTGTCGGCTGGACGGGTTTTAGCAGGGAGCGAAAGAATAGGAGTAAGAGTTGGCCTACCTTATCAAGTCGATGCAGAGGGTACGGTAGCTCATCGAGACCAAGATGCTTTTTGATCGCTATGACATGACGACGCGACGGCTGGAGTTCAAGGTGGAGTTACGGTAAACTGGAAGCAACGGAAGATGTACCTGTCAACATTTTATCGAAGTCGACTACATTCTTGTGATTCTATCGCTGCGCGTGAGTCACGAGAAGAATCCGCCGTGAATGGACAGAATGCCAGGTAAGACGATCATACCGCTCTCGATGTTGCCTGCGCCACTAGACTGTGTGGTTTATTGACCACTATCAACGCACGGTCGTGGTACAGAATGGACCTTGCGAGTGTGGTGGCATTCCATTGCATGGAGAGAAAGGGAGGGCGTGGTCGGAGGTTGGTCGGAGGAAGGAAGGTTGAACTACTGGGCCGAGCGAGTGGCGAGCCGGGCTATCTCCGTCGATGACGTGCCGAGGCGTACGGAGACCTAATTTGGATTTGTGCTTCAAATCTTTGAGTGATCTTGCTCCACAACGTCACTCAACTTCGCGCAACGCGAAGCGCCCAAGATGAAGACATATATATATATACTCTCTCGTGTCCTCCCCACGTCACAAGCAATTACACCCAAACTCTCCGTACGACTTCATTCAACTCACTTCCTCTTTCCTGACCCTGACAGACATACCTCTCTAGCACACCACATACTTTGCCGTAGGACGCGATGACCACCCCACTCCCCCTCGAACTTCTCCAGGACATCTTCGAGCTCGCAGCATGCTCAGACGTCTCTGCCGCCTCTCGTCTATCCACCGTCTGCCGCACTTCTCACAGATGGACTGAGCCACTGCTCTTCCACACTGTCATCCTTGAGACCCCCCGAGCACTCAAAGCGTTCCTGAACGCCATCTCTAACAAACCAGCAGGCTTCGTTTCTACACGCGTCAAACACCTCGGCATCTTCACCCCTGGCCCGAGCAAAGCGATAGCCCGGGTGCTCCAATTATGTGCGGGCGTCACCAGCCTCGCCTGTGGCGTCCCTCTTCCACCCAACATCCAGCTACCCGCGAACGCTCTTGTGTCTCGTGAACAACATCTCCTCGGTCTGTCCTGTAGACAGGACTGGGACGCGTCTGCCCTCGACCCTTCTGTCACCCACCTGCGCGTTCATTTGACCAGGTCTGACTGGACTCCAGAACGCCTCGCCCAGCTTCGTTGTTTGTCCTCCCTCACACACATGGCCGTCATCTGTCGACAGTCCCCCAACGCTCTCGACGACGTTCTTCCCATTCTTCAAGACATCCTGGAACACATTCCATCCCTCGACATTCTCCTCGTTCAGGTCACGGGTCGTCCAAAGCGCGGCACCAAGAGCCTAGTGGAAGAATTGAATACCTTGGCGTCCAACAAAGAGCCGCGGCTCGTCGCTGAGACTGCCCCGTTTAGCGTCGTGCGGCAGTGGGAGGATGCATCGAGAGGAACGGGAGGTATATGGGCTGATGCCGAAGTGCAGGTTGCCAAGCGGAGATCACAGGCGTCGCTATCCCTTCACCCTAGTTCTGCATGAACATGTGTAACTGCACGTATGTACTCGCCCTATTTCAGCTTTTACTATAACATATTAGGAGGATACTCTGCTTTGGGAAGTTGGAGCGATCGATCCCTTTGGCAATTTATTTCCCAGTGTTCCATACTTCGAGATGCCTCTTCTCATGCTCTTGCATGTTCGCAAGGGTCTTTGGTCACCGGGTGAATATTTCGAAGTTGAAGATTATCCTCCAATGAGAGGGCCTCTGCGAGAGTTCCTTCCTTTGTCTCGGTTTTTAGCGTTTAAGAGCTGTAATTAGGAGAGGCGTGCCTTGCTAGAGCCATATGCATCGGCTGCCCTGATACGTCCAAGACTCGCCTAGTACTTATAGGAACGTTCAAACCCTTGAGCAAAAGCAATAATGATAACACTATAGATGAGTACACAGCAATAACGACCAAAACAATTAGAGTTGCGACAATAAGTAATTTACAGAACCTTGACAGAACCCAAAAAGAGAGTGACGCCAATACGAAACCTCGAGCAAAATGAGTTAGCGAACACTGGTCATCGACGATTACCGGCCTGAGCTTGTGCTTCCGCGAGCCGCTTCCCCTCTGCCACACTCCCGTACTTCATATAGGCCTCGACATCATCCCAACTATTACCGCAAGATCGTCAGCGCAGATACGAATCTCAAAAGAGCTGGGACGTACTCATATACTTTCGTGCTTTCATGCCCATGCCTACTATGATGACCTTGGTCTGCATCATACCAGCCCATCCCACTTCCACCTGCGTGTCCACCACCACCACCGCTGCCACCGCCACCGTTATACCCGCCACCCATAACCGCCTCATTTCCTACTCTTCCACCCATACTGCCCACTTGCCCTTGCCCATGGGCATACACAGGCCCAAAAGTCCCATAATCCCTATCCAAACCTGCCCCATTCACCGGCACATCACTCGGATGCGGATACACATCTTCCTTCACGCTCAATTCCTGTGGATTATATTGTCCCCTCTCGCTTACATACATCGATTTCCTTCGGATCGGGACGCTCGCGAATTGTAGAGGATGGGTCGCTTGTGATAGAGGCGCCGTGAGTGATGGTTGCCTGATGGAGGATTGTGCTGCTGATTTATGTGTTGCAGGGAGAGGGGGTACGATGGGAGGGAGGTCTTGTCTAGGGTAAGCTGTCGTGGTCCATTGAGTTGTATGGTCAAATGGAAGCGAGTGAGGATGGCCCTGATCTGGAACATACGACGACGACGACGAAGCGGCTTGTGAGATATACGGATTCGTTAGCGCGTCACGTTGGTGTCCCTGTCCAATAGACAGGTCCCAGGATGTGTGGGGGATGTGCGCCTGATATTCAGATGGTTGTACCGGATGTTGAGACTCCTGTATCGAGGGCAGCTGATGAGTATAAGCGGGAATTTGGTACCAAGAGTGTTCCATCGCTTGCTGGTAATAAGGATCCGAGTCCGACGATACGTCCACAGAAAAGTCGGCATCGACGGGGGGCATGATTTCGAGTGGAATATCGTCTATGCCCTCTGGTTCGTCCGTAGCCTGAGGAATCGCAGTCTGAAGATAATGTCTAAACAAGCAAACAAACGAAATCAGCAAAACTCGAACCATGCGCCCGAAGAGAAACATACGCAATCTCGCTTGCCTGCGCCCATTTCGGCACGGCCCAATCCAGTCCCTCCATCAGCGACTGCACATCCTCAAGGAGCGCCTCGATCTTGGTGGTCTCCACCAGACTCGGATCAAGGCCCTTCAGCTTTCTCGCTTTTTGCCTCGCCTTGAGGACCCACACATTCAGACACAGGATAGCGACACAAAGCTCTGTCGCCGGCAGCAGTATTGACTCGTTGAACATGCCCCGCCGACGCAAGGCCTCCAGAAAACGGGTGATCGATTTCGCTGCGTTGACGGCTATAGCGAGAGAGGTCATGGCCTGGGAGGGGGCGGTCCCGGGCAGTTGAACGTCGTTGACGCCGAGGAGGCGGAGACGGCCAAGGGTGGGCGGGAGGAAGGTTCTGTGGATAGTGATCTGGACAAGGTTGTATGTGATGTAGAGCGTCATTGACTGATCGGCGAAGACGGGATCTGCCATGTTTGGAGACCATTTCACTGAGAGGTAGATACGTCAATAATTACATGTGATTTGGAAAAGTCAAAATCGTTGGTCACATACGATGATCAGGAACCAAGCTGGTCCACTTGGAAAGAGCGTCGTTCATCTCTTTGAGGATATCCTCCGGTTTTTGCTGGTCCGCGAAGCCCGGTAGGCCTTTTGGCTTGTGGATGGCGTACTGCACGCGAATATGGTTAGCGAGAAGCATACGGAAAACGAAAACGGATCGACAGACTAACAAAGGTCCGTAGAACGAAGTCTATGATATCGGTCAACCGCAACCACAGGTTGTACGCCGTGACCCTGGACGGGTTTCCCTCAGGCTGTTGAAACGCGAGTTCGGGGTCGTCATTCTCCCAATACTCATCATCCACTTCCAGCGGAAGTTCTGCGTCGAAGCTTGCATCATAGTGGTCATATCAATACAAGGCCACGGTATTAAGGCAAGGAAAATAGAATGAACTTGCTCCTCTTGATGCGTCATGCAGGGCCGCCCAAGCATTACGCTGCCTATCCGGTCCTGACCAATAAGATACCAAAATACGCGCTTCCAGAGCTCTTCTTCGACACTCGGTTTCGAGCCGTAGACTCTACGTCGGTGGGCGCCTACATCTTGGACCTTGCGAATCCCGGTCCCGATAGCGATCCAAGCAGAAGGATGCCATGGAGTCTCTCGCATGAAAGTAGTTATCAACTGAGTAGTTTGACGAATGTTAACTGAAATGTAATCAAATCTCAATTGAGAGGCGTACACATAGTGTCTGGACTTCGTTCAGGCAGGCTGGCGTAAGCCATGATCGCTTGATGAGAACGACATCTTTGGGTGAGCGGGCAAAGTCAGAAACACCGATAATCAAGGATCACGCAGTGAAAGTTGTACACATTACGGAATGGAAATTACGCACCCATGCACGCAAAAAAGAACCGACAGCCCGCCTTCTGCCACCTATGTTCGTCTGGTTCTTCGTCTGGCAGCACATCCATGAGCACGCGCTCATCCTTCGAATACCGACTTGCGATAGCGAACATTGCCATCGACAGGCAGGCAAACCAAATATCAGTGTCGTGCATCTTGTCTGCGAATTGTCGTTCGTATGTGGGTCGATGCAGTAACGGAAACGTGCAGTTCACATGCCGAAAGAAGAGATTGATGAGATCTTGTGCGAGGTCAGGTTCTGGGAATTGATTGAGTAGGTTTGGGAAGGACTTTGGGGACGTAATGTGGACACGCTCCCAAGCAAGCTCCCACTGCGCAAGGTCAGGAGAGTATGAGCGTGATGGACATCAATCCGGGCGACATCAGCATCAGCATCATGAAGTGGAGCAAGAAGATTGCGAACGGAGCAACGACATCGAGAAGTGAGCGGTCAGCGGGATGTTCTGTGATTGGCAGACTGAATGTATGAATGTAGTACAACGAACTTACGGGTGGTGCCTTCCAAAACTCTTCCCGTCTGAGCGAGCCGCGTTCAATTATACGCCTTCGAGCGGTTTCTGCGTCGAGTTTATCTTCATTGTCACCGATCATATCGTTTATGTGCATCTTCCTGAGCTCTCTGGTCGTGGAGACGAGGTGATATGAGGAACTCCTGCCGTAATAGCGTGTCTGTGTTTCAAGAGAGTGGTCGCCCTTGGTGATCGAGTCGAGCCCGTGCAATGTTAACCGTTTCGCAACAGTGGTGAAGTCAGTCTTAAGGGATAAGGGGTCATCTTCCGAGTCTGAGGATGCATAGTCCTCGGAGGGGTCTGAATCGAAATCTACGTCTTGAGAGACGTTGTTGATGGCAGCAGCAGAACGAGTCTTGCGGAGTCTAGACATAGTGTTGAATGCGGGAAAGGAGGAATAAGGTATTGGGGGAGCGAGACTTGAAGCTAATCTCCTGTCCGGAAGACGAGGTGGGGGTGGGGCCGAGTCCGGGTCGTCATTCTTCCAAGAGTCGCGAATGAAGGGTGGGCCTAACTCGTCAGAGAAGTCTACTTCTGGGCGTAGCTATAGTATAGACATAAGTGAATCGTTAGATGCCTCCCATTTCGAATTTCGGAAGGGGAGGGTGTAATGCGCCATATGTCAGCTGGGGAGAGACGAAATCGGCATACTCGTTTGAGAAGTGCATCTAGTTTTTCCATTCTGTCCTCCATGCTGATAACATAACTAACCAGGCGCAGTATTAGTGGGTAGTGGCGCAAAACATGTCGTTCTGAGAGAGAGAGTACGCAGCAGCTTACGCTTTAGGGGGTCCTCTGGGCTTGGAAGCCTCGCTAAAAAGCGCCAGGATGAGCAGGAGACGGCGGAGGTACAGAAAAAGGCGAGACAGACAGGTATACGCATGATCGACTGTTTTGTATACAGTTCGAGCAGATGTTGTCTGGCATCTTTGGTCCGTCACAACGGGTCTTCCGTCTGCGACAGGCATCGCAGGCGCGCTCGACATTGCGCTTTTTGTTAGAAGCTAAGCGATCGGGCTGAGCAGTTGGGAGCGAAGATGTAGAGGCCCTGTGAACGAGGGAGCGCATGTGTGTCGACGTCGTTTAGGACGGGCCAAGAGAGACGAAAGATGGGTGGAAGACGATTGGTTTGGCTTGGACGCCGCTATAAGTATGAGTGCGAGCGTCTTAACTCGACCACGATCGACGCACCGTTCTCCCGGGCTCAGCGTCATTCGTGAGCATGATCTAATTAATGACTGATCCCTCTTTGTCCTCGTCGACGCCGACGTCCGCCACCCCCCGCCCTCATCACCGCCCTCGACGTCGCGCTCACTCCAACATGTACCTCTCCTCTGCTCTCATCCGCGCTCGCCTATCCATCCGTCTTCAAGCTTCGTCCTCTACGCCAGCCGTGCAGTCGCGACTGCAACAGCCTCTGCGCACTATGTCCTCACGCGCGCCCTTCGAACGACCGCGTCCATCACCTCCTCCTCTCCCGGCCGCCGACCAGCGAGAGTTTGAGGAGCTCGTTCGACGAGCACAGGCTCCTCTCAGCCACCCATCATCCCTCCCAACCTCTGCACCATCAATAGCGGAAGAAGATTTGTTACATCCAGACGCACGCAAGCCCCTCGAACCCGAGTTCGAGGGCGAAATCAATCCAAAGACCGGTGAGAGGGGTGGACCCAAGAGGGAGCCAGTCAGACGATGGACAGAGGAAGGGGGCGACTGGAGCTTCAAGGGGCGAGTGTCGGACTTTTGAGGCTGATCGGAGGGAGGCCAGTTTGCACACATATCAGCCGTGCGTCTACTCTGTAGTCGTGCAATGCTAGTCTTTTCAATTGTGTTTCTAGTGTAATAGCTCATGGTCACAGAGATCGATGGTTGTGTCGTTTGTTGTGCTGTAATTGTCGTTCATTTCATGAATCCGAGCCCTAAGATCGGGTTAGGGTGTCTTCGGTAGTCCGAATCCGAGTTGGCTCAAATGAGAATGATCTGGGGAAACGGCAGTATCATACGCAGCGGACACAATCGTCGTCCTGAAGTGCGACAACCATGTCCCGACGTTCGCTCAACACCGCGTCTGCCAGCGAGGAACCGTCTGGTCCCCTCAGCGGCCCTAGCACTCTTGATTGGCGTCGCACACGGCTCCTTAGAATCGGATCTGCTCAGAACCTCCAGCAGCCCGACCCTCCAGGCGGCGTCGAGTCTGCTATAGACTCGGAACACACACCTCTAATCACAACAGGCCACGAACGACCTTCACTGAGAGCACATCATTCTTCCTATGGCGCCCTACCCACAGGCGGTCAGTCCCGTACACAGTCTAAACCTTCTTTAAGCTTCCGCGCCCGTCACGGCCATCCCCCTCTCCCAAAGCTTGCCCTCCCCACCCGTCTCTCCATCTCCAATCCTCCCACCCCCTTCGACCGTCACTCCTTTCGCATCAACGCACAGCGTCCAATTTCAGCTTACGATGCCCCTCCCGGGCGCAAGACCACCGACGACGACCTTGCAGCACCCGAAATAGTCGCCAAAGCGAATGGAATCCGCGTCTGGTGATTGCTTTATTTCCATTCAACCTGTCCAACCTTGTTTTACTAATGGCCCATTCAGGTATTCCTCCTTCTCTTCTATCGACTGGCTCCATGATGCTATCAAGGTGAATCTACATTTCGTTTGTTCCGCTACTTAACCCTGTCTGATGCGTGCTAGGACCGTGCTCGCCTCTATCGCCTGCGTCGGAGGAAATCCGTTCGAGGACGTGTGCGCAACTTGGCCGATCGCCTTGCGGGGTGGTTCTTGGTGACAATGGTCGGCTTCCTAACTGCCCTCGTCGCCTTTCTCATCGTGCGCGGCGAACAATGGCTCTTTGACATCAAGGAAGGATATTGTGCTTCCGGTTGGTACAGGGCAAAGCGCTTCTGCTGCCCCTTTTCCGCACCTGATGATGATCTGGTGTTGAGATCGTCTAACTCTGTGTTCGTCACGATGACCAGTACGGCTGAAGAGGCATGCGGTGCCTGGAGGACATGGGCACAGGTCTTGAGCAGGAACGATGCTTCAGAGACATCCGAAACGGTCATCGAATACTTTGCCTACGGCTTCTTTGCTGTACGTGATCATCTACATCGCAATAAAAATATGTCTGTTAACCTTGTCATCATCATCGGGGTTTACAGTTATTGCTTGCCCTGTTGTCCTGTCTGTTGACGATCTACCTCACTCCGTCCTCTTCCTTCTCTACCCGTAAAGATTCCGGCGTCCTGGCTCCCCAGTATGTCGACGAGAATGCGAAGGATAAGTCAGCTTCATCCGCCTCGGATAGAGGCACACCTCGCAAGGTGATGTACTACGCTGCAGGGAGTGGTATTCCAGAGATCAAAACCATTCTATCTGGTATGTTTCTCCGCGCCTCCTTCTAAATGTCTAATATAGATGACGTGATTAGGCTTCGTGATTCACGGCTACCTTGGTGGTCGTACTCTATTCACGAAGTCGGTCGGGTTGGCCCTGAGCGTTGCATCGTATGTACATTGCCTATGTTCGTCGGACGTGTCTGTAATGATATCCCGTTTCTAGCGGTCTCTCTCTCGGCAAAGAGGGCCCCTTCGTTCACATAGCCAGCTGCATCGGTAACATCATCAGTCGCTACTTCACCAAGTACGAGAATAATGAAGGTGGGAGCTCTTGCGTCCATATTCTTAAAGTGTGTCTGCTGACTGGACTGTCTAGGAAAGCGTCGCGAGATTTTGAGCGCGGCTAGTGCGGCAGGTGTTGCGGTCGCTTTCGGAGCCCCTATCGGAGGAGTTCTCTTCAGCCTGGAGGAAGTCTCGTATTTTTTCCCTCCAAAGGTCATGTGGAGAACGTAAGTTGTTTTTTTGCATTACCTCTCGGCTTATTCAAACTTTATGGACTAAACGTGCTCTTTCAGTTTTTTCTGTGCGATGATTGCGGCAGGATCGCTTCGCTTCTTGGACCCATTTGGCACTGGCAAGATCGTCCTCTTTCAGGTCACCTACGACAAGGACTGGCATGCCTACGAGCTCATCCCCTTTCTCTTCCTCGGAGTCATCGGCGGTGTCTACGGTGCCTTTTTCTCCAAACTCAACTATCGCTGGTCGCGCGATGTCAGGAACAAGTCCTGGCTCCGCACGCATCCCGTTGCTGAGGTCCTCTTAATCACGCTCCTCTCGACCGTGCTCGGTTTCATCAACACGTACACCCACATGGGTGGCACCGAACTTGTGTATAACCTTTTTGCTGAGTGCCGGACTGGCTCTCCGAATACACACTCTGGCCTCTGTGTGTTGGACCCTCCGAGTCAGGCGTGGCCGGTCATCAAAGCTGTGTTCATCGGTGCGTCCCGTCCTTTCTGTGTGATATCTCGACGTTGAACTTGTCTGTGTTTTGGGTGGTACCCTTAGCTATGGTGGTCAAGGGAGTCTTGACGATCATCACCTTTGGTCAGTCCCTTTTTCGCCGCAAAGAAGCCGTCTTCCGAAACTGACATACTAGCCGTTCGTTTTGCAGGCATCAAAGTACCCGCAGGAATCTTCATACCATCCCTCGGGGTTGGAGCTTGCGCCGGCCGTATCGTTGGCATTCTCATACAATGGGCTCAATGGCATTGGCCACATGCCCGCGTGTTCCGCTCATGCGGAGGAGATCTCGACTGTGTGGTTCCCGGGCTGTACTCCATGGTCGGTGCGGCGGCCTCGCTGAGCGGCGTGACGAGGACGACGATTAGTCTGGCTGTGATCATGTTCGAGCTGACCGATTCATTGAGTTACGTGATTCCGGTTATGTTGTCGGTGCTGGTGGCCAAGACGGTGGCGGATGCATTGGAGCCGAAGGGTATCTATGATCTTGTCATTGAGTGCGTACCTTGCACCATTGCCCTACTCATGCAATCACCCACCCAGGTACATATATGGTACTGACACGCGATTTTCTGTAGTCTCGCTCAACTCCCTTACCTCGACGCCAAACACGAATATCTTTGGGGCAGTCTGGGGGTTAATGATGCCGTGCGTACATAACCTCCTGCGTCATGTTGCGCAGCCATCCGTAATGATCATTGTCACCCACAGGTTGAACGCGAGGTGGAAGTAATCCGCGTTGACACGCCTCCGACGGTCAAGACCCTCCGCGATCAGCTGCAGATCGTCGTTGCCTCTGGCTACGCAGACGGCGGGCTTCCGATCCTGTATCAGGACGATGGCGGCTCCAGAATGGTTGGATATATCGGAGCTAGTGAACTCGAACATGCTCTCAGTATGCCTATACATTTTTCTTCCATACTATGATCTGACAGTGCAACATGTGGCTTTCTACAGGCATCGTAGCTGACGAGGCGGACAGCGCAGTACACTTCACTGGCACGAGGGGATTCAGATTTACCGACCTATCGTCTTCGTCCGTGTCATCATTCATCAATCATCCGTCAGGTTATGATCCCTTGGATTTCAGTGTTTATATGGACCAGGTGAACCGAGCTCCTATTCCTTGAATGACCTCGCCGTCTGACCAACCGATCCACAGGCGCCCCTGACGGTTCAATTGAACTCTCCGCTAGAGCTCGTACACCAATTCTTTGTCAAGTTAGGCGCACGCTATGTCGTCGTCCAAGACTCGGGAGGATACTGTGCGTACTCTGTTCTTTGTGCAGCTTCGGTAGATATTGACACCTTTTGGCGATATAGACGAAGGCGTAATCGACAAGAAAGCGTGGCTTGCGTTCTTGGGAGAGCTCGAGCATAAGGCATACTAGTTCGCTATCAACACCCTAACGACCTTTCATGACCGTTTCCCAACATCTTCGACTCAGCCAACTATCGGATTTCATTGCAATTTTCAACATTAATATTAAGCTTCTTCGACTCTCTCACACCAACTCGATCTCCATGTATTTTTTGCTCCATCCATCTGATTTTTGATATTTTCTCCATTACTTATTTTTTCTTGGTTGTTCGGACCCGCCATATCCTTGACTCGGACCTCTGTGCTCACATCAGCTTACTACCTCGCATGGATCCATCATACTACCCTACGAGCTTGCGTTTACCCTAACATATTGATGAGTGCTCAATGCACCCCACAAATGAGATATTGTCTGTTTGTTGCTTCTTTAAACGCATACAGGCTGTATGGTTCTATGGGATGTGTTAGACTTCTGCGGTCTCCTCAACTGTTGTGTGTCACGGTGAATATAAAGATTCTAGAGGACTTCGGACAGAACTGGGACCGCGCCGAGTTATCGGTTCGGATTGACGGAAGGCGTGGAGGGCGTGCTCGAGCCTCACCAGGCTTCACCTGCTCCCGTTCTCCGACTCTGGTTCCATTACCCCTGTGACTCTGGGCAGGCAAACGCAAGGCAGTCATGGCTCTCGATAGCCCCTCAGAGCCTTCTTTGGATCACCCTCATGGCCAGCAGGATGTCCCTGAGAACGAAGGCGACTACTCTGCACGGATGGAGGAACTGTTCGACAGCGACCACGACGAGTCCTTCGAGCATAACGGACATTTTGGGCTAAGTGATGATGACGAGAATGCAGGTTTTGGTCTTGGCGAAGTCTCGTCTAGGACGAAGGAGACATACAAGAATCAGCTGAAGGACGTGCTGGGTTCTGACCACGAAGAGGACGTGGAGGGTGAGGCTGATGATGACGAGCTAGAGGAGAAGGAGGTCGAAAAGTCGCTGGTGCACGGTTCCAGACAGGCTGTTGAGAACGACGGTAGCGCGTTTATGGGTGACGACTCGCTCGTGAGTACTTCAGTGCTACGCAGCCTTAGCCTGTTCGCCACCTGTTCAGAGCACGACTGACTGCCCCTCTCCGTTCGTTCCTCTAGCATCTCGAAGTCACTTCAGATAATACGCCCTCCACGTCCTCCCTAAACCCTTTTACCCCTCCACGCATGTCTTCGCCTCCTCTGCGCGAAGGCACTCCCTCCAAACTTGCCACACCATTCCTGCATCCCACCATCTCCCGCCTGCGCTCCTTCGTGCCACACTCTGCACAACCCTCCGTCACCAGTATCGGGACTACACCCTCAAATTTTCTCGAACAACCGTCGCCCGCTCCATCACACTTTTCAGCATTATCCCCGGTGTCTTCGTCAACAAACCTCCAGACGCCCATGGAGAAACACGACATGAACGGGAGTTCCCAATCAGAGAGGGAAGTATTTCGTTGGACTCAGCTCCACCAGATCGGAAACCAGTTGTATACCAAGACCCCGCTCAAGGCGTCCGCTATTCTTGGATCCCCGGCCCTTGGATCTCCGCTCGTGCTTGCTGCGAACGGTATGATCTGCGTCGGGACGGACACGGGAAGAATATTCGTGTATGATTTCCAGCAAACCTTGAAATGTGTGTGTGGTGATAATGCTTCAGGTACGTTCCATTTTACCTCCGCAGACTCGCCGCACGACTTACAAGTCGCTGTCAACAGAAAAGAACGTTGGGCCGGTCACAGCGCTTGCCATGTCTCACGACCATACCTACGTCGCCTCTGGGCACGCTTTCGGCCATGTACAAATCTTCGACTTGACCAAGCCGCAAGTGCCTGCTCGGTTCGTTCCACCGACTTCGTTAGCCTCTGTTGGATCAGGGCGGAAAGAAGGGCACCTCCTCGGTTCTCGCATCGTCAATATCGATTTCGTGGCAGGACGCCACACCGCCGTTGTCACGGCTGATGAGAGCGGACTGGCCTTCTATCATAGTCTTGGAAAGGTCCTCTTCGTCGACGCGACAGACGTCCTACGCATCCTCGGCAAATACCCGGAAGAGGAACCCCCACCACCCCCTCATCTCGCTCAGGCCAAAGCCAATGGCAACGGTCACGGGAGCGCTGTCCGCCGAAAGCCACGGAAGACCAATACCATCCTGGCTATGGCGCCCCTTCCTCTGGGCACAACGCCTCATCCGACAGATGAATACAACGTTGTCGCCCTTCTGACTGCCGCTAAGCTTGTCATCGTTGGCCTCAAGCCCAGCCCAAAGACATGGTATCGACGACATCGAGACGGAAGCGCGGATCAGACCGGAAAATCCAAGTTTCGTGCCGCGATGGCTTGGTTTCCTAGCGTGGTGGCCCATGGATCCGCCAAATCTGAGTCGATCCCGTCGAAAAGGGGGAAGAAGGACCCTCCCATTGAGACAACAATTCCGATGCTGGTATACTCATGGGGGCCGGTGCTTCACCTGCTACGCGTCACAGAGAGTAAGATCACGGAGACCGCTGTCAATCAGCGGACGGGAAAGACGGCCACTGTGGAGATAGGAAGGCTGTCTTTCGAGGAGGCGGCAAAGTGGTCCGTCGACGGGGATGTACTTGCAATTCAGTGGTTGAATGCCAATGTGGGTTCGTTCTCCCTACTTGACGCTGCTGCTCATGCCCAATACTCACGCCGAATTTTAGCAAATCATTGTCACCACTCTCGCCACTCTTGAGGTCTACGACGTCTTGACACAGAACAGAATCGAGCGGGTTCGCTTTGACGCGTCTTCCTTAATCTCGCCGACGATGGGCTACACCAGCAACGGAACCATGTCTTATTCGGACTCACTTGGCGACATTGCCCATAGTGTGCGGACATACAAAGGCAAAGTATTCCTTCTTGTAAGTTATTCGCTTCAGTCGGTCGATTTCATCTCTTTTGACCGCTTTACTTTCGCAGGGTCGCCAAGAGCTTCAAGTCGGCACGCTTCTCACATGGGCAGACCGAATACTGTCCTTCGTCCAGGAAGGCGATTTCCTCAGCGCCATCGACCTCACCAGGGCGTATTATCTGGGCACAGCGCCGGGCAACAAGAACGGCCTCCCTGACGATCCTCAGCAGCTCAAGAATGTTGTGGAACAGAAGATGCGCGAGCTCATGACTGCTTCAACACGATACGCGTTCTCTGAGGACCGCATGACGGATGGGACGCACATCACCCCCGACGGACGGGGTGTAGACCGCACGTCCTTGTTTGAAGGTCTAGTGGCGACATGCGCACGAGCCTGCATCGTCCTGGACGACTTCGAATTCCTTTTCGAGGACCTATTTCAATGCTACGACGATTGCGGCATCACCCGAATCTATCTCGAACAACTCGAGACCTTTATCCTGGACAACGACATTCGATACGTGCCACCGCGTATAGCGCAGCGTTTGATCGCCATGCACGAAGATGACAATAAACCAGATCTAGCGGAGCGGGTCATCTGGCACATAGACCCGGAGTGTTTGGACATCAACCAGTCCATCAATCTCTGCCAGAAGTATCACCTGTACGATGCGCTCATCTACGTATATACCCGGGCCATGAAGGACTACGTGGCTCCCATCGTGGAACTTCTCGGGCTCATCCGGAAGGTCATGCAGTATCGCCGGGACAGACCTTTCAACCCCGTTCAAACGGGTACGAACGCGGAGAAGCAGGAGCAGGAGCAGGAAATCGAGCCCGTAGTCTTGAACGCGTACAAGATCTTCCCCTATATAGCCAACGTCTTGTCCGGACTCACATATCCAAGCGAAGAGCCATTAGAACAGGAGGAGGCTTCGCAAGCGAAACAAGATGTTTATGGTTTCGTGTTTAACGGTCGTTCGACATCCTGGCCAGCAGGAGAGAGCGGGAGACTCGTGCTCACAGCGGAAGAGGAGGGTCGTGGGGAGCCAACTTACCCATACTGCCGGCTCTTACTGCGTTTCGATGCGGAGGCGTTCCTTCATTCTCTGGACCTTGCTTTCGAGGACGCCTATCTCAACGACGAGAGTCAAGGAGCTAGTCGGTTGGTCTTCATCAAGGTCCTTCTCGAGGTTGTCAAGTCTCAACCCGGACTTTCTCCAGGCGATGTGACCTTCGTCTATATCTTCATCGCTCGAAACGTGCCCAAGTACCCACAATTCATCCAGATGAGCCCAAGCTCGCTGTCGGACATCCTCATCGGTCTCGCTACTGACCCTGATCCGAACACTCGAGAGGACCGCCAGTTGGCTGCCGAATACCTTCTCTCCGTTTACACGCCAGACGAAAGCGATGATATCCTTCATCTATTCGAGAAGGCGCGATTCTTCCGCATTCTTCGCTCGTGGCATCGACAGGAACGACAGTGGGCGCCTCTATTCCTTGCTTACCTGCACGATCCGGACATCCTTCCACTCGAACTTTTCCGTAGTTCGAACGAGATATTCAAGTTTGCATGTCGTAGCAATAAGGGCGCTCCTCCAGAGGATTTGCTGGTCACAATATCTGACTCGTTGCCGCACCTCACGAATGCGAACGTAATGGAGACTGCCTTATTCATCGACGCTCATACCCCTCAACTACACGAGAAAGCTCTGGAGACCTTAGGACCGAAAGGCGACCATGCCCGTTTCGCATACTTGCACTGTCTCCTCGCACCTCCTACAGCAGAAGACCACGACAGACATGTCACTTCGCGAGCAAACACACCTTCCTCTCACCTATCACCGTCACTCCGTCAGCTCTATGTCACCCTGCACTGTCAGTTTGACCCGGCCGGTGTCATTCCTGCTCTTGAATACTTCCCGTTGGATTTCCTGGTGTGGGACGATGTGGTGCGAGCGTGCGAGGAGCACGAATCGTTTGATGCCGCAGTATGGGCTTTGAATCGAGATGGGCGGCCCTCGGAAGCGTTATCGAAGCTTGAGATGTTCGACAAGATCCTCGTCGGCCGTATAGCTACGGGGCTAGTGTCGCTTCGTGAGGCCGACACAGAAGACTGGACATCATTGCAGGAGCAACTGGACGCGCTGGAGAGGGTCTCCAGGATTGGAGGCTCAGTCTGCCTCGAGCACTCAAAAGGCGCGGAGAGCACTTCATCCGTCGAAGAATTCTGGTTCCGCCTCCTTTGCACCCAAATTGACGCGGTACAATCCATCTCTGGTTGCTGCTCGCCCCAGGCCGGTTCTCAAACACTCGAGGCTGAAGATACGACGACAAGACAGGAGCGACAAGTGCTGCAATCCCTGCGGATGTCGGTCCAGAAGACGTTCTCTTCGTTGGTCTCCGTGAGCTCGTCGAAGGGTATTTCCTTCCCTCGCCTTTTCAAGCGTCTAGTCGAGGCGACGTCGCACTCCGCCAAAGGGACACCATACACCGAGTTCCGCACTATCTTGACCAGCATGATGGATACCTACAGATCTGAGGGAGACATGCTTATCATCACGAAACACCTATTGGACCGAGACTTATTCGAGACGGTGGAGAGTCTGACGCGAGAGAGGGCAAAAGGTTGGGCACCGAGCAGAGGGCTCTGTCAGTTCTGTCGACAGGTGCTATCACCACCGCTGAAGGTTGGCTCACGTGCTGGAGGATCGGAGAGTGAGGTCGTTAGCAAGATCGTCGTCTCACGGACAGGAAAGATATACCACAGTAACTGTTTGCCTTCTGACCTTCCACCTTCCACCACTGTACATTAGCACATGTCAACGCATCTCTACATTACCCTTATATGTCGTATGGTTACTCGTTTTATTTGGTTTTCCTTACTTCCGCTTAATATTATGTCTATATGGTCGGGCCTGGATGAATTCAATTTATTACACGAAACGCGTCATATACCTAACATGTCAATGGGATCGCGGGTATCAATTTTCTTCAAGATGTCGTCAGTATCAGTGACCATTTTCGATTAGGCAAACGCGGTACTCACCATCTGCGAGACTAACTTGGACCATCTCGACCAGCGAGATGAAACTGGAATTTCTTCTGACGTCGACGTCGAGAAGTTCGGCATCCTTCCCAAAAGCTTCCACATCCATCATCATCTGCGTACGAATCCTCTCCTCGTCCCTGTTGTCATCCTCTTTCCCAGAAGAAGCCTGGCCGAAGAGAGAGGTAGTCCCAAAGAGGCCAGATGTGGCTTTCTTGCCCTTTTTCAGACGTCGCAACGATTCTTCCGTCTTTTTCATGGCTGTGATGTAGTAGATGTATCTGTTCGCAAGCTCAGTGATCTATTAGTCGTGAGTGAAAAGACGAATTTACCTATGAACGACAGCCTCGAACACCTCTTCCGCATATGGCTTCAAATAGTCGGGCGTGAGCGCTTCGCCCACACCTTCGGCCGCACCGATCCCAAAGAACGTCTTTAACGGTCGCAGAATGGATGCGACAAAATAACTTGGCTCCGTCGGAGGCCGCTTGTTCGACATTGCACGGAATTGTGAAGGTATGGAGCGAACAGGGAGAAGTGCTTCACATGCACGTTTTGACAGAATTGCGACTATGTGTGCTGATAGTGATGGGACTATGGAAGTGATGGTTGACAGAACGTGCTCAAGGGCATCTGGTCGAGAGAATGACGAGCGTTAGTGTACGAAACGGTGCCCTACGCAACAGCGGACTTGCCTTCGGGAAGAGCAGGATCCTCAACATCCGACATGTCAGGCAACATCATACTGATTTCCTCCCGCCACAACGTCAACACTTGAGATTTCATGGCTTGGATATCTGTGATTGCGACCGCAAATTGACGCAGAGTTGCTTCGTCCGCCGCAACGTTCTCGGCCGAGCTTGCCTCGCCTGCAGGGACAGGGGTGGAAGCTCGCGTGATGGTAGGTGGTGTAGCTCCCGGTGTGAACGTTTGCTGAAATTGAAGTATCGCAGTCATACCTTGAAAACTTAATGACAAGGTTCAGGACAACGCACCTTCTCGGCTGTTATGAATTTTGAAGGAGGATCGAGCCGAGGCAGAGTGTTTTCCAGCCATGTCCGATATCTGCTCAGCAACTAGCCCAGATAAATCAATCGACGCTGGATTAATATTTGAATAGTTAAAGACTGACCTGTAAAGTCAACTTCCACAATCGATGACTCAGCTCAGGAATGTAGACCTCTGCACTCCAGCACGTAGTGATCGCTGTCCATACAGCGACCGATTGTGAAGTAACGAACGGTTGGTTTTCTTCAATATCACTGATCAGCAGAGTTCACCAAGGAGTGAAACGGTCATTACCTTTACCAGAACTAGGCTCGATCTTCGAGGTGGAAAGCGCCTCTTCCAACCTTGCCACGATTTCTTGCCATCGTAGTTGGAAATATACAGGTAATTGCCATCGACGTTCGAAGGCAAGATATACCGGATGTGCGGTCATAGCCTCCACTGAATGAGCGGAAGGAGCCAGATATTGTAGCCCTCGCAGGAACGCCTGTGTGGTTTCATGGTTCTACTCCAAGGATAGTTAGTCCCACGCATACCACCTGCTCAGACCACAGATAGTTGCCCACCTTGCGAAACTCGTCTGGTTTTCCTGCAGCGAATACAGTACTTCCCAACTCATCCATAATGGCTCTCCCAATTTCAGCCCACACAACATTTGCCAATATCTCATAGCCCTGGCCCTCCCTTGTGATGCTCTTCGTACCGTCTGTCCTCTCCTGTAGCAGAGCGTTTGCCTTTGAGCTCTTCTTGACCATACTCACTTTATCCGCCAATTCCATAACCCGCTTCAAGTCGCGGTCAACAAACTTAAGTATAGTGTTATACAGCCCTGCGAGGGGATTCTCCGTGTCATCGAGTAGATGCGCTGTAGGATGCTGTTGCGATTCGAATGGGTTGGATTTCGAGGCGAAGGCGGTGAAGGGTGTATATGGAGTGCGCATGGGATATGATGCGGTGTTGGGCGCAGGCGCGACAACACCACGAACAGGGAATGGAGTATGAGGGACAAGAGGGGAGCGAGGGGTGGAAAGAGCAGCTGGAAATATAGTCTAAGTGTTGTCATCAGCATCGGTCAATGAACAAGTGTGAGAGCTGGCATACTTTCTTGACAAACTCCCGTATGACTTCTCGTCTGAGCACATCCTCGGCATCCCGCCAAAGACACAATACGTCGTATGTGCGCAGACATTCTGCGAGATCCGCCATATGCTTAGACTTCTCCACCTCGTTCAGCCTGCCCTCTTTCGTCACAGAATGTAATGTGCTCGCAAACAGATGGTCGAGGTCCGATGACAGCGTAGACTTGATACGGTCAATGCGCTACGAGCTACTGTGAGGTAAGGGACTTGATACGGAGGGAGTGAAATGTCACGAACCCATTGTGACTCTTCGATGAAGGCAGACTTGTGGTCCTTCTGGGCCTTATTGACATGGTACAGAAGCTGGGTGTACTCAGCGGCCACTCTTCCCAAGTGCTTTGCGCGGTTGCCCCGTGTACTGTGGCACCCAGTAAGACGTGGCGTTCTGGGACATCGAGAAGAACGACTCACCCATCAAGACCCTCTGCGTCGGGAGATTTGATGAGGGACATTGATTGGATGTCCGGTGAAGATGTCGTGCCCTCAGGGGAGGTTATAACAAGCAAGGACTCCAAGCGAGAGACGGATTCGGATATTTTGAGTAGGAGGTGAAGGAAAGCCTAGCGATACAACGCAATCTTTCCAAGTAAGAACACAAAGTCTAACCCTTCGAAAGTAAACAAACCTTCTCATCACGCAGAACAGACCGTTTCCTCAGCTTCGTGTGGATCGCCTCCTGAATAAGCTGCAGTTCACGTCTGGACTCCTACCCGCACCCACAAACATCAATTGTGGTACTAGGAAACACCGTGACGGATACAGCGTACAAGTATATGAGCTTTCAAGTCTCCTAGAGGAGATTGCATCCTCTCCAGCCTGACACCCTCTCCCTTCAAGTCAGTGCTCAAACTGATGAATGCTTCATAGTCATCATTAATGAGCATGACGAGTTCCTCCTTCAGCGCGGCCAGATAGTCCCGAAGTTCTGAGCGTAGGTCAGGCAGGGATGTGTGAGAGCGTGACAACAGAAATTCTTCGACATTGAATGTCTCGGACGAGAAGAAAGGATTGGAGTGCGAGAGTGGTGCGTATAGCGGAAAGTCGTGGGATGCTATACCAACATCCTTGGCCAGATCCTCGTCGGTTGGTCCAAAAACCTGCTCTCGAACAGCGAGTTCATTAGCAAGCCTTTCAAGGTCAAACGGGTCCCGCGACGACGAGCTGCTGGTGACATGGGCGTCCATTAGAACGTTCAGATCTTGGGACGTTGAGGTACGGTGGCCAGAACAAGTTGGACCGACTGCCTAATCGGTTTGTTTGGCAAGAGCCTTGGATTTCAACAAACGAAGCTTATGTGAGATATCACTAACTGGCAAGGTGAGTGACCCATCTTAGGCCTCTTATATACGATACAGACAGAGATATTGCACTAGCTATACGAGAACGGCATTACGAACAGTGTACATACGCACGGAGCGCGAACATTTTGGCAAGAAGGAACAGGAAACGGTGACTGGAAGAGGATATAGCCTCAACGCCTGATCCCTCTTGCAGCAGGAACTCCACGTCCACGACGAGCTGGTAGAGTAAAATGAGCCATTGAAAGGCGGTTTAGAGTTTGGAATGATCAACATACCGTTTGCTGATTACACAAGGAAATTGAGAGTCAGCGAAGAAGAGAGGCAGGTCGAGGGAGAACGCACCTCGCATGATAGTAGCACGACCACGAGCTGTGCCAATACCTCTTCCTCTCATCGCATTTGGTCCTACCCGTTTAAACCTACGTCTCTGTTAGTAACGAATGGGACCAACTTAGCAGGCAATGGGACATACATGGGCGCATTCTGCAACATGTCTGGGACAATGAAGAATCGGACCATACTCCCACGAATGTATACTTGATCAAGTTGAGAGATACGACCATCTCTCCCGGTAACAGTAATCTCCTTCAGTGAGATGTTCAGATTGTCTTCAGCTAGAATAATAATAGGTTAGCAATATGATGCTGGGCGATTCAGATAATGGCAAACCTTCAGCCAGTTTTCCTCGATAAAGCTGGCCAGTCTTGAGCTCTACAGTGATAACATGACCGAGAGATTCATGCAGAAGCTTGACGGGGACACCAAGACCAGAGCTCATGGTTGTGGACGAAGGGTATAAGCAAGTGCAGGCGTCGTCCGCACGCTGCAGCTCGACTCCAGACACAATCGTGGGAAACAACGCGCCCGTGGGAAATAAGGACGCGCATTAATCAGGGTCACCGACACCGCGTCCGCGTCTGCTCTTCTTAGTCCTAACCATGCCTCCAGCAACGAGAACTAGGACCGGCAAGCTACCCATTTCCAAGAGTCAAACGCCCTCCAAGATGTCTGTCGATAAGTGTGAGCTCTCACAACCGCAAGCGACCCCTGTGACGACTACAGCGGACTCACCGACGTCGTTTGATGGTTCCGTTCCTCTTATTCTCTAGCTACGACCGACGCCACTAAGGAAAGAATAGGTGAAGAGTCTCCCAGAAAGCGCGTCAAGACTAAGCCCACCCGTCGCACGAGGAAAGAAGCCCTTGTCGCTGCTACAACCAATCTCAAGAACCCATTGTTATCGATCTCACTAGAAATTCTTTTCGAGGTCAGGCTCTGGTCTCCGTCTCCCATGGCTATCTTGGATTGAACGACATCACGTCCAGATCATGCATTATCTCGCTCCGTACGACTTAGTCCATCTCGCTCTCACATGCAAGCCCTTTCGGAAGACCTTGCTCTCTCGTGATGTTGCATTTTTATGGAAGGCCTCGTATGATAACTTGCCTCATGCTTCCCGGTGCCCCGAAGGTCTGTCAGAGCCTGCATGGGCTTACCTTATTTTTGGGGGGAAACACTGTCACGTAATTTGCTCTGTTTTGTGATGCTTATGCCGAATCTAACTCATTAAACGTGACAGACTTGTGGAGAAGAAGACCAAGACACAGAATGCAGTGTCTTCTTGTGCCGCCGATTTTGCTCGGGATGCAAAAACAAGTAGTGAGCAATCTCGCTCGTCTTTTGATTATAGACATTACTTACAACGCGACTCCAAACTGCTCTCGGTGCGCATAGTATCTGTCGAGACATACATGTCTGCGAGAAATTGCTTCCGCAGACGATGCTTCCATGCTTACCTGCCTATTTCAAAGTTTTCTGTGACCCAGCAAAACATGAAACGGGGTTTCATTATGGGGGGTTTTGGTATCAGGACGTCCTCAGCCTTCAGGCCGAACTGAGTCCACTCTTTGAAACCTTGACCGGCGAGGACCTACAGGCTGCTCTAACTACCGTTAGAGAGCGTAGAGTATCAGCTTTGAAAGCTAGACAAAAAGTGCGTCGTCCATCCAAAGCACAGTCATCGTGCATCTAACGTCCTGAACAGCATGCCGAACACTGCTCGAATTGGTTTTACAAATGCGAAGGAACACTCAGCCACGAGTGAGATCAATGCATTCCCCCAATGTGCCATATCATATAATGCTAATTGTTGATACAGGGTTGGTATGCGATTGTCGGCGCTTGGGTATGAATATCAGGATTATGCCCACATCGTAGGAAAACCAACAAATTTACTTCCGACGATCCCTCTTCGCGACCAAGGTGTGCACATTCCACCCTTCGTTGGTTCCGTTTTCTTTCGATTTGAAACTTTTTTTTAGAAACAGCATGGAACATCTTCTACGCACTGCAAAGACCAAAGCTCGATATCTATCGTTCGGAAAGGGAGGAGCGAGAACGATGCAGCCGCCTTCGGGAACGACGAAAAGCGTTTTCCGACGTTTATGTCCAATACCTCCAGACCGAGGTTCACTCTTTACGGCAGCCTACTTTTCCCAGCGAACACGATATCCCGTACATACCCAAAACTCAAGACCTGGTCGACAACGATATCGAGCTCTCTCTTCAGTTCAAACAGGAAGCGAAACAACTCCTGATCTCTCTCACCCCGACGCTGCAAGCCTGGGCCGATAGCAGAACAGCTGCTGCAGTCGCCGCAATTCCTTCCTCTGTACTTGCAGAACCATTTCCGAAGAGCGGTCAAAGCTCTGAACTGCAGTCTGACATCACTAGCTCGCCTTTGGAACTGGCGGTTTCGGTCTTCAAGTGTGAAAAATGTGATGACATGGCGAACCAGACGCAGCGCTCCTCAAGGTATTTAGCAGGTCTAGAGATCCTTGCTCATCGGTGCAGAGTGCACTATCTTCACCCTGAAGGCAGCCCGGATCCCCCTTTACCTCTGTGGAACGAGCGAGGTAGTAGGCTAGTAGCCCACCTCCTGAAATTGCTTTGCCTTGACCCGGCTACCACGACTGTCCTTGATCTCAATACCCGAAACGATCGTTTCGCCTGCCTTACGTGTGGCGTTCGTCTTCGTTTTGAAGGAGACGTTGGTATAAAAGGGTGGCCAGTTATGGGTTGGCGAGAATGTGTCAGTATTTTTTTGTGATGCCTCTGACCGGATCCACTTAGCTGATTCATCGTTTCGCGTGCTTATTAGGTGGAACATACTTGCGAGCAGCGAGGTGGTTCGCCTACCTTTAAATTGCTCACACCTGCCCAAACGGAGATCGCCTTGAACAAGGAACGTATCGAAACTCACCCTCAAGATTGCTGGGGCTGCTGCCGTTGTACAGTCCACATCGCTGAACACAATTCACTCTCTCGGTGGCTTCCGATCCGTGATATAACTGAACATCTTAACGTTGTGTGAGTATTCTGTTGATTCCGTGTCATGTGGCAATTCCTGACCCATGTCAAGGCATGATATCGAGGATCCTATCGAAGGGAGAGATTACTTTCACAACCCTCGTCTCACTAGGATAGAACACCGACACACAGTCCTCGGCGTTGACAGTGAAGATAAATGATTTGTTTGGTTTGATGGGTGTTATTTTGTCTTGTGTACTTGTACCAGCGTATATGCATTCTCGAGTCCTGGGTATAAAAGGACTATTACAGTCCTATTGCATCATACGCATCCGATCTCATTCAAATGATCTTTCCTTGATAATTTCCTTCTGGGCGTCACGGTAAGGTTTGGTTTGAAGGGCTTGGAAAAGCATCGGCTGCATCGCGTCTCTTTTCCCGATCCGCGTCGATCATTGATTCTGAACTTCCGGGGAAATGCCGTAGATGGAAACAAGATGGAAAACTTGTGAGCTGCATTACGCCTCTTTAGCCACGACCACGATCCGTATCAGCTATGAGCTCACAACAAGCAGAACGGTTGAAAGCATTCACCTCGAACTCTTCTCCCTGCTTCCTTCGCTTTCTTCAGGTAGGTCGTTGTCCACCGTTAATTTTGTGTGAACGTTCCCCGACAACCACATCTCTACACCGTCCTCATCTAATCTCTGGAGAGTGCAGGATCAGTACCCATCTATCAAACAAGACAACAACGCGGATGGCAGGCGAAAAGGCAGATTGAGAGTTCTCGAAAGATTTTGGGGACTCAGCCCTCAAGAGCGCGCGGCTCTAAACGTGGTAATACCAGTGCGTTCCCAAATAACCTTCGCCTCCCAAGGTACGCTTCAAAAACTCATCACCGTTACTGACCTCGCCCTCCGAATCATGAAATATTGCAGAATGTCAATGACCAAGCTCCTTCCTACACGACGGACGAGGATCCTTTCGACGACAGCGACAGTCCGACAGGGGCAACCAGTCTCGGCATCATCGTCCGGACAGACTTTTCTAATGATGCGGCGTGGAAAACATTCTATGACACCCTTTTGGAATCTGAAAAGGACTTCACTGAGCCCGACCCTCCGGTCACAGCTTCTACGTCCCAAGACGTCGATATGACCGACGCCAGCGTCCCGCAACCATCTGGTACTGAAGACGCCGCTTTCGACTCTGACTCCGAGGAGCCGGAAGCCCTTGCATTTTTCACGGTGGTCCCAGAAAATCCCAGAGATTATCCTCACTTCACAAACATCTCGAACCTCACCGCCCTTCGTATATTCACCGATGTCTCCGTCCGACCCGCGCCTTCTCCGCTTCAAGGTTTGAAACGTACATCTCCTGGGCACCGACTCGTCGATCTTGAACGCATGCAAGAAGTCTATTCGGGAAAGACGTTGTGGATTTACGACGCCAAGTCGAATACGGACCAGTGTGCCAGACTCGTCAGCGGTCAAGGTGACATGTACGGTACCGCCAGGTTCGTAGGGCCATCGTACTCTGGGCTGTTGGTTTCTCCTGACATGACTGACATCGTTTTCGGTCTGCGTCACTTTCCTCAGTGGAGACAGCTGGCGCGCACGAGCATCTCATATCACTGAACTTCAGGTAAACTTGACCTCTGGTGCGATGAAGATAGATTTCGGAGGTTTGGACAGGTGGGATTACCCAGAGAGGAGACGCAACATGGAGGAGGCTAGCCAACCTATCGTATTTTCTTCGGACATTTGGTACCGCACTATGTGATGTCAATTTGTTCATTGGGCGTCTGTGAACAGACTGGTAACCGAATCTATAGCACAGTATGTGACGGCTGCGCGAGTGGTTGAGGGATATGGCGTTCGCTAGCAACACTGAATACACATAGCAGTTACTAAGCTGAGTACGTATCATGTATTTCTCGCGAAACCTAGAGATACATCCTCGAGCGGCATATCTTCATCTCACTACTCTTTTGATAAAAGATGATTGCTCTTGCCAATTCGCAGCTGTAGTCATGACGTCTTACTTCGGACAGAGATATGGACGCGCAAGGCTGATTTTTGGTTTGCGTGCTACAGAAAAAGGAAGTACAACGTCTCCCCCACACACCCCGCAGAAAAAAGGACTCCGACAAGGAAAAGCAACACCGCCTACGACGACACGGTCCAAACGCGGACGAGGTTGTCGGTGAAACCACCGAAGAGAGTCTGGCCGTCAGCAGACCAGGCGATCGAGACACACTCAGGCTCGCGCGACTTGGCACCAACATCAACGAAGTCGGGCTTGAGCTCGTCCACAATAGACCTAAGGAAGTTGTGTGAACATAGGAATCAAATAGAGTAACCTGAAGGACGCACTTGCTCTCCAAGTCGAAGATCTTGACGCAGCTAGCGGTAGCAGCGCAGAGCCAGTACCGGTTTGGTGAGAAAACGAGGGCGTTGACGATGTCACCGGCCTCGAGGGAGTAGAGGTGCTTGCCCTCGTTCAAATCCCAGAGCATGGTGATGCCGTCCTTGCCACCGGAGGCGGCCAAGGAACCGTCGGGGGAGACGGAGATAGTGTTGATGTACCCGGTGTGGCCGTAGTGGTTGGTCTTCAGCTTGAACTTGGAAAGCTCCCAGACCTACCACAATTCATGGGTTAGCTCGGGGCAAAACAATGGTCAAGTGTGTAGAGAAAGAATGGGTCAGAGATCTTGGTGATAAATTTTAATCTCATAGGGGTGAACCCTCTGAAGTAGCAAATATATTTATTGTAACATCATTCCAGAACAAAGGAGGTGGGGGCGAGTCTGATTGCAAGTTCAGAGTGAACGAGGAAACTCACCTTGACAACCTTGTCCCACCCACACGAGACAATGACAGGGTTCATCACGTTAGGGCTGAAGCGAACGCAGGACACCCTAAAGCAGATGCAAAGTGTTGGGAGATAGTTACACAGATACACGGAATAAAACGCACCACTCTGTGTGTCCATCGTCCTTAATGTCATATTTGCACTCCCCGAGCGTATTCCAGAGTTTGATTGTCCTGTCGCGGGAGCCAGAAACGATCTGCCTGTTGTCGGCAGAGAAGCTGACGGAGAGGACATCGGAGGTGTGGCCGACGAAACGGCGGGTGGTGAGGCCGGTGTTCAAGTCCCACAGGCGGAGGGTGTGGTCCCAGGAAGAGGAGAGGGCGAACTGGCCGTCAGAGGAGATGACGACGTCAGAAACGAAGTGGTTGTGGCCGCGAAGAATGCGTTTTGGGTAACCGTACGAGTCCTCGTCGCGCGTCAGTTGCCAGACAATGATGGTTTTGTCTGCGCAGGTTCGTTCAGAGGATGCTAGAAGAACAAGCAATTCGTGAATAATTACCTCGCGAGGCAGTCAGGATCACATCCGGTGTCTCAGACGAGGTTGCAATGGCGGTGACCCATCCTGAGTGGCCGGGGAGGGAGCCGAGGAAGCGCAGAGATTCAGCCATTGTCGTCAAAAGTTGGTCTGCTCGCCATCGCCTCTGCCCGCAACGCCTCCGCGCGCCCGCAGTGACTGTGACAGCCACCGTGACTTGGCTGTATAGCTGCTCCGGAGAGTGCCGTTCCGTCGCGCACACGTGAATGACGCGTCGCGTGTCAGGACCGGAACCGTTTGTTCGAATTCCTTCGTTTACTTCTGTAGATACAACACCGGGGCTAGCCAGTACTTATGTCTATAAAGATGCGGCGGTCCCTCTTAGGCATCGCGTGCTCACGCGTGAATCTTACAAGATCCCCTCTGCTTACCTCTCAGTTCGTCTTCCTTGTGTCATTCAGCTCTATTGGGTCGTGCCATTGTGTCCCGATACAACCCTGCTCTCGCCGGCAACTCTACTAACCTCTCCATGACCTCTCTGCAGGTTGACAGAGGCTTCTTTATCCTTGGGCTGACCTCACGAAGCTACAGGACATTCTCGCTTAGTCTGCCATATTATCATGGAGTTGCAAAACATCTGTCTTCCCGCGGATTGTACGATCGCCGACGTCAAAATATATATCGCGGCGAAAGCTGGTCTAGCACCGAGGCTTTGTCGAATGTGGCTTAGGTGGCGATGTCAAGATCTTCAGTCATCCTGAGCAAGACACGGTCGCTTCTACAGTCGAATCGACGTTATTTTTGCACTAAACGAAACGGTTATCGGTGCAAAATGGAACTTATGTGACCTGTGAAGTCATTAAGTCAAATCTCTGGGACAACACCACTTATACAAACGGTCACCCAGCACTTATGGGGATCTAAAGATGGCTTCTTCCTACTCTCGGCTTTGACGCTGACATAGACGAAGGCATTGTCCAGAAGTTGTATGCCAGGCTGAACTTCACCGATTGTTGGAGGTGAGTGTCTCTCTTTGATCATCCATATTCTTTGCCGCCCGAACGTCTATGAGACCCGGATGAAGCTATCGGCTGGTTCCTCCACGAATCTCTTTCCCTTCGATCCGACACCGGGATCAACCTACGCCGCTCATATTTAGCCGGTGGAGAAGCACCATACTTGCCCGCTCCTGGTGCTGCCTTGTTTGCTGCCGCAACGTTGGATGTAACAATAGCACTCCAGTTATACTAGTCAAAGAGATTATCTAGGACGCCCCGACGACGTTGGTACACATTCCTCTGATGTGGTCCTCCCCGAATCCTTGAGATACCCTTTTTCTTATTCCTCGCCTATGTACAGGAAGTTTCGCCTACGCTATGCAACGAGACTATCCGAACTTCAAGGTAGTTCCCTAGCGATACAAGCGACGCTGTTCTAGAGCCCGATGAACTGCAACACCCTTTCACTTGTCGATATCTCCGATGCGGCACGGTCAATCGAGACCGAATATGGTCGGGCAGGCTATATCATGGGGAACGGTAGAGCGTTCGATTTTAGCCCATGGGCAGTGGCAAGAAATGTGATTACAAGTACAGGTAAAGTTTGTATTGATAGCGTAGCGAAACAGCGACCGAAAGCAATGGAGCACAAAACACACAAGCCCAAACAGATACAGCTAATCGTACGGCGTCGCTATGTGACAAGAGGCTCGTTCATGGACGCAACCCCGGATACGGCCTCCTAAACACCGTCCTCGATCGCACACACACATCCGGACGAAGGCAACGAATGCACTGGAGACGGATGTGATGGTGGTAACGGCGATTCAGATCCGACGAAAGTGAAAGAACTTGTGTGCATGCTCTCCTTCAGCGCGGACGATAGCGTGGTCAGACAATCAGACCCAGTTTCGAAGCCCATCCCGCAGTGGCGCTCGAGGACCGTCACAGGAAGCTCAGCGTCCAGCTCCTCCGTCTTCGACTCCTCCTCGAGAACGACATGATGAGGAGTTTGTGCGCCGTATTCGGCGCCACGCCGGATACGTCGACGGCCCAGACTCCGACTCCGGCTTCGACTCCGACCGCGTTGTTCTTCTAGGTCGTGCACATTCGTTAGGCGCCTCGCACGGAAAACTCTGCTTCCTCTGGACAGGACGCGACCGCAGCTGCTAACGGTAGTAGTAAGCGAGAATCTGCGTGGTGGGTCGTCGGGGAAGACGGTCGACAGGAAATCTTCCATCTCTCTGCTCTGCTCATGATTGCCCAATGCGCGGATGATCCAGGTAGAAACGATGGCAAGGTTGGACACTATTACGGAGGTTGCGGCCTGGGATAAGGGTCAGATTAAGTCACTAGTGATATATAAAGGATGATGAAGCACCTCCAGGTTCGACAGGATACCCTCGAGACCTCCGGTGGGACCGAGAACAGCCCAGCTGGAATGGAGTAGTTCATTTGAAAATCCTTGGATGATGTACGAATGATGCGCAGATGATTATTCACGTACGCATGAAATATACTCGTGACAGCGGTCAACACGCTAGCTGAGAAGAGGATCAAGAGCACGCGATATTTGGACCTCGATTCGGTCAGTTGCCAGAACATCCGTAAGGGGAAAAAGCACAGGGCAGAGTCGGCCGCAATATCGACTACGGACCATGAACGTATCCACCGGTTAGCAGGGGGTATTTACGTAGAACGGGGGTAATAAAACAGACGAACGGATGAGGCCTTGGATACCTATGAACAGATTTTGGCGGCAGACATAGGTGATCATCCACTCTCTCTGGGTGGAGCATATGCATATTTTGTGGATGACGATGGACAACCAGAAGAACGGGAAAAGAAAGGCACAGAAGGCAGCGTGTGCGCGAAGAGCGAGAAGTGGTGGTATGAGGCGAACGAGAGTTAGCATCATGCTTGTTCGTGAGAGCCTGCATAGCAGCGCAGCGAGCATTAATTAGCGGTGTGAATAAGAGAGCATAGACAGAGAGAGTACCAGAGCGTGTTTGAAAATGATATGGTGGTCAGCCAGTTGAGAGCGATGCGGGCTGAGGGACTCTGAACGGCGTCCCACATGAATATCGCGGTGAGGGAGATGGCGATGAAGACTATGGAGGCTGCAGCAAAGGCATCGTCCCACCAGAGCAGCCGAGCTCGAAATCGTCGAAGAATCCGCAGGGCAGTCGTGATAATGGCACAGGCATAAAGGGAGGCAGAGATGGCTAGGAAGACGGTGTTCAGTTGTATGAGTTCCGCGGACACTGACAGTGCAGACGCCCACCTTTGTTCGTTCGCTCTGATGGCTGAGGGATCATGGAAAAGATGGAGTGCTAGGCTCCAGTGAGAGGCTGAAGCGTGCAATACATGTTTGTGCAATGAAGCTGGATAAGGTAAAGTGACCGTGAAGGTTGCCGTTGACAGCCGTTGACGCCACTACTGTAATATCACCGCTCGGAACCGATGCCGCGGCTAGTCAGCGCGTCGCGAACATTTCCGTAAAAGCGTGGGCCACCCAGCGGCGCGCGAACGAGAATGTCGTCCTCTCTGATCGCCGCGAGAGCGTCGTACAAGAAGCTACAAGGTCTGCTCGAGCTCACAGAAAGCGACATAACCTGGACACAAGACGGCAAGCAAAATTCCGCCGTTACCGTCCCACGCTCAAAAGCGGCCTGTAAGTCTGCCCCGCACGGATCACTTCCATGACACTCACCCACCGTCTCCAACAGCGCTCTTCTCCAGCAAGGAGGGCACACCACAGGTCAAGCTCAAGATCGGCCTCGTCCACGATGAAACGGGCCACACTTTCACTTTCACCTCTCCTCAACCCACTGCGCTCATTGAACGCGAGAAATTCAAGAGCGAACTGACCGTGATCGTTGCTCAGAATCGCACAATACGTGATGCTCAGGCTGCTGCTCAGAATGGGTCTGCGTCGACACCAAAACCTACGCTTCCCACTTCCGGAATCCCTCGCCCACCATTGCCCGGTTCTGTTCAACCTCATGCGTCGACCTCTCGAGCAGCCTCCGTGTCCAGCAATGCAGGCACACCTGGGCCACAGAACGACCCCATCAACGACTTCAGACTACGCAAGAAGGTCCTCGTGCAGACACCAGAGCTTGCTGCGCTTCACCGGGAGCTCGTAATGACTCGGCAGATCTCAGAGGCGGAGTTTTGGGAAGGTCGAGAGGTGCGTTTCTCCTGTACTGTTTGTTGAGCGCCTGCTCACGGTTCTCTGTTGGCCAGCACCTTCTGCTGGCCCAAGCGGCCTCAGATGCACAGAAGAAGGGCCGCCCAGGTCAATTAGTCGATCCCAGGCCACAAACTGTAGACGGCGGGGAAATCAAGATCGTGGTTACGCCACAGCTCGTCCATGACATCTTTGAAGAATATCCTGTCGTGTCAAAAGCTTACAGCGAGAACGTCCCGAGCAAGGTCGGATTCCCATTCCTCCCAATATATCCTGTTCATGCTGACCTGGCCTTACACTCTCAGCTCTCAGAAGCCGACTTTTGGAAGCGGTACTTCCAATCAAAACTGTTCAGTTCTCATCAGGCCTCGATTCGTTCAACGGCAGCACAACACGTCGTCAAGGATGACCCAATATTTGATAAATATCTCGAAAGGCCTGATGATGGTGAGTTCCCGCCTGGTCTTGCGATCATGAGCCTGACATCTAACCACTTACTTTCGAAGAGCTGGAGCCGAGACGGCAAAGAGACGAGGATGTGGGAATGTTCATAGACTTAGGGGCAACGAATGAGGATCACGGAGAAGTACGGGCTCTCGCCTGCTACCTCATCCTAACTTGCTGATTTTTGGTGATGGCCAGGCATGGAGTGAGAAGGACGTGACAATGCAAGCGGGAAAACAGAGGGGCGCATTACCCCTCATCCGAAAGTTCAACGAGCACTCCGAACGTCTTCTCAAAGCTTCAGGGTATGTCCTTCTAGCCAATCATCACACACAAGCTCAGCCATCCATCCTTGTTGGTTCCCCAGATCCGAAGGACCTTCACCCAAACGGAGACGAATAGACCCATCTTCCGGAACCGACGTACGATGTCTCTTACTTCGCAGGTTTTTACAGTCACGAAGAATTAATCCAACTTATTCGTACAGTCACGATACTCCGAAATAGACCTTCCAGATCTGCATGACCCAGAGTCTTCAGCAGGTATCTTACTCCAGATGCAGGACCGTCAGCGCTACTTTGAAGGTCGAACAGGGTCTATCGTTGCCGCAGAACAGAACGCTCGACCGGTTAGCCCGCGCGTAATCCATCCAGCCTACTGTTAAATACTGACGGAGCGTTTTTCCTAGGCGGTTGACGTCCGAGCAGCACTACAAGCTGCAAAGAGTGACCTTCGCGACTGGTCAAATAACCTTGGACAGGTTGACAATTCGTGCTGTCCTATTTGGTCAAACCTTTTCTAACCTTCCGTCTCGCCACGTTGATCAGCTCAAACTTGATCGAAAAGCGACAGACTCTGCCGTCCTCTCTATGACCCAGAACGTCGCCGCCCGTCTAGACGTCAAATCGCGAAAGAGTGAGTCTTCATTGCTCGTCTTCCTGATATCGCTTGCTGACTCCCCATGAACCCGTGCTTGTGAACGTCCAGACGACATCCCCGACGAGATCTTCCGCCAAATGTCCACCTGCCAAACCGCCGCCAACGAGTTCCTACGGCAGTTCTGGTCCGCCATCTATCCCTCTGCCTCGAACGCACAGACACTAGCTCCCTCCACACCGGCTCAAAAGGCCGACAAGGCGGCGAGGATGGCTGGATATCTGGGCAAGACCCACGAGAAAGTGGCAGCGATCGTCGTGACGGCGCATAAGTCAGGTGTAGACATGGAGAAAATCGAGATCGTGGGTGGTTGTCCTCTTCGACTTGCTCGCTGTCGGCTCAGGATACTGATGTCGTCCTCGATGTATAGGCCATGAAGCCGATTTTGGATGCCGTGGATAAAGCCCTGGCCTTTTGGAGCAGCCGAAAATCGACATGATCGTGGCGATTGGTTTCGGCGCGTGCTGGACCAATTTGGCTGTCGTTTTCTTGGAATTCCCTCCTACAGCTTTCGCTGGTCATATCTTTCACTTACCTATCCTCAAGTCGTCGTCCCACATATCGTATGTTGTATATATAGTTTAGCTAGATATCAGTCGCTTTCGCATCTTGCAGCTTGCACCACATGGAATATCAGTATCGTTGTTGGTCTGCAGACCGTCGATTACAGACCCAGGAAATGGACATAACAATGTCCTCAGTATGTACACGAACGAGCTTGATGGATCCTCGCCCGGCAAGGTAGTCCCAGGTAAATAAGAAAGGAGAGCAAATAAAAGTTATCATGAGCCATACGGTCCAGGATGCGTCTCTAGTTGACTGTGTGAAGACTGCATCGACTCGTATATCGAGAACATGACGAGTGCGTGTAATAAGAAAGCATACACAATGAAGGCGTTCCGAGCTCGTCGATTACCGAGAATCGCACGGGTGAGAACTAATACCCCCCGTTCAAGCGGATTGAGGTTAGAGTATGCCCGCGCTGCTTCCTGTGTCGAGAAGTAAATCGTCAGCACGGTCCATAAACCTCTTGCGCATGCAGAACCCAGCAAATGCGAAAAAAGGAAAGCTCACTCGACCACGGAACGCTTCGAATGGATTCATAGCCTCTTCGTACCGAGCCCTATACTTGCTCAATTCCCCAGCGTTGGATGATGACGGACCAGTTGGCAATGGGTCGAGCGTCGAGTTTGTCGAGTTCTCGCGGTAGCTCTGCATATACCGGACCTTCTCATACAACTTGAGATTGTCAGCCTGAAGACTTCGGATTTCAGTGCGCAGTTCTGATATAATCTGGAACTGTTTGCGGAGCTCCTGAGGAAGCCAAATGACAGTGAGTTAACATAACCAGGCAAACGTGAATCGAGACTACCGAGGGGCGAACGTACGTCTTCGAGTTCAGCATTCCGCTGCCGGAATCGGTCGCGTTGGCTGGTCACGATGGGAAGGATGGACGTGTCTGCCGAAGAAGTGAATTGTATTGGCGTCGACCTTGCGGCAGAATCCTGAGCCGAGATAAGGGATCAGGTTTAGTTTGCCCAGTGAGAGGGCGGTGAACGGCGTAAGTACTCACGGCACCTGTGCTAGACTTTGGCTTTTTGCGGAGGTCAAGGCCAGCCAACACATCATCGTCACTGGCAGAATCCAAAGAGGGTTTATCGCCACCATTCGCCTCTCCATTGTGCTCGTGCTTGTTAAGCTGCAAAAGGTCGGTCTCTAACTTCTCGTTCAGGACCCGTTGCTTTTCGAGTTCTGAAGTAGTCGTCTCGAGCTCGTCTCGTGTCTGCCGCAATGAGGTTTCAAGTTCCGTGTGCAATATCTATCATGAGCAGATGAGTATCCGCTCTCAAAAGATGAGCTAAAATCGTGAACATACTCGGAATTTTGTTAGTTCCTCCAGAATTCGTTTGTTTTTGGTGGCGAGAAGCGCCTCCAAAGATTTTGCCTCGTGGGCATTCGCTTTTGAAGCGTTAGGGTTGGGAAGCTGGAGACCAAGCTCGTTGTCGAGAGCCGGAACATCTTCATCTTCGTCCAACTCCCCTTCGAGCCCGGCAAACTCGACGTACTGATTGCTCCCCACGTCAGCAATGGTACCATCATTTCCGAGGGATATTTAAATGCATACCTTCATTATCTCAAGCTCACGTTTGATTTCATCGTAATCAGAGTATCCTTTGAGAGTCTGTCTCAGCTGTTCAACCTCGGCAGCCTAGCGTAGGATTTGCATTAGTAACCGTACGGGATTCCCTGGTAGAAGAATACCCAAACCTTGGCTTGCAGTTCTTTCGAGGCATGCTCGGCTGCTTTGCGGCGAACTGCCTCAGCCTCTGCGATGGAATCCTTCTGCATGTCCAGGAGATGAGAAAGACGGTCTGTTTCTGATTCCAATGATGCGACTTGATTTTTGAGGGTTTGAACGCTGTGGACAACTTATTGAGTCGAGCCGCGAGAATCAGGACGGGCGATTGGTATTTACCGATCAGAAGCCTCGCTACCAATTCTGATAGACTCGATTTCGGCTCGCAAGAGTTCCTGGTTTAAAGTTGTCATTATCATACATTCTAGACATATAGACAAACCTACGTTTCGTCGCTCGACAGTAGCCACCCTCATATTCGCACGCTCGAGGTCCGCCACAGTCATATCCATTTCGGCCAGTTTGGCGAACACTTCTTGATCTACACCGGCCCAAACACAAGAATGAACGTAGAGGTGTCGCGTCAGAAAGAGCGAGAAGGGAGGATGAAAAAGAGATGAACCTTGCCGTTGGCTGTGATCCAGGAGCTTTGCTTGATTCGAATCGTTCGACGTGCGGAGCTCCCGAAGCTGGTCCTTGACGAGCTCAACCTGCCGTTGAAGGTCTTGCTCGCTGCATCACGAACCATGAGAGTTAGTCTACGGGATTGAGAGAAAGGATGTTTAGAGGATGCACCGAGCTTCGTAATTCCGCATCTTCTCGTCATACGCCGCATTTAGCTCGTTCTCCTTCTGTGCGACCTTCTCCTGGACGACAGACTCCATCTGAACGAACCATGAACCATTGAAAAGTTGACTCGAAGACTAATTGATGGATACGTACCTTCTCCTCTAACTGGTCCGCCCTGAGCTCTGCCTTCTTCCTCGCAGTCTCCACACTACCCAGCTCCGATGCGCGCTTCTTGAGATCAGCATTCTCATTCCGTAACCGTTGAACCTCTTCCTCCAAATCTCGCGTCTCTGCGATCTTCACAGTCTGATCCTGTGGTGCATTAGTCGACAAGCTTTGGTATCAGTTACTGCGCGGAGTAAGAATCGACCACATGGGAGAGGGGCACGTACGACAGCAGCCTCAAGCAAGGGGTATGGATCCGGCGCTTCAGCAAGCACTTTATAAACATTCAGGAAGGCATTCTCAGCAGACTTGGCCCGCTTCGTCAGACTGTCAATCTCCGTTTGGTATGCTAGAGCGAAGGTCAACGTAGATTGTCATATTCAGAACACCAACGGGGACAGCAAAATAACACGCGGCAGGGGAACACGCACCCTTCAGCAGACCCTTGAATCCACTCAACTTCTCCTCTTCTGGGACCTTCTTCCACTCTGCAGACCCAGTCTTTTCAGCCATTAGCAGTAGCGGTTTCTGCGGGCACACGCACCCTTTGTTCGATCCGCCAAACCCTTCCTCCCAACCACACTCTCCTTCTGATTCTGGACAACCTCAATACCTTGTCCGTCCAGAGTCTTCTGTAGTTCCGAGAGGTTGATGGCTAGTAATTGAAAGCTCGTCAGTAAGATTGGCACCAGGGGCTAGAGCATATTGTCCAGTAGTCACTTTTCCATGTTGCCAGTGCTCCCGAGAAGTTGTGTTCGGCCATGAAGATGGAAACAACGTTTCAGTTCGGTTGCGGGCGCGTCGATGACGCTGGCACAGCGCGACGACGGCGTGAGAAAGTTCAGCTTCTGAATTGTGTGGCCCTGCTTCAGGATATCTAATCACCGTAGGCCTTTATACACCCAGACACATGCTAGCGTGGAACCTGGGTGTCACTACTAGTGTCAACGTGTTTCTGTACACTGCTCGACTCGACGACAGCCAGAAATTACCAAGGCTTTTCCAGCGTCCGACTCTTAACGTTATACTTGACTTCTGAGACTCGGATCTGTGTGGCCATGACCATGGCATGCGAATATATTTTGACACGAGCTAACAGCGATACTCAGGCAGAGACAAAGGATACCAGCGAACCGTAACCAAATGCTTTTATCTTCAACCTCTCGATGCTACGTTCACACCAAGACTGTGCCCGACCGACCTACTCGAAAGAAGTATAAACGCTATCCCAACGTTACATGGGTGCATCTCTTCAGACTGTCGAGATGGACAGTCAACCTGGCAATGCCAAATGTCGACCCCGTCAGGAAGCTTTGTCCAGCCAGTAATGCACCGACATACCTATCATGGCGAATATCCTGAGTCGTGATGCAATTAGGCCATACAATACGATACCCACCCCGAGGTAGATCTTCATCCGAGAACGTCTACAAGCAACAAGGACGAAGGGCGAATCAGAAGCGGGAAGATATGTGATTGTGGTTAACTCACAGTCTCAGATGGTGCCGCGTTTCGATAACCCACATATGTCTTATCCACCAGCCGCTGCTGCCACTCCTGAAGGTCTGGGATAGATGGCATGAGGGGCTTCAGTTGAAGTGAATGTTATGAAGATGGGGAGGTGGGAAGGTAATGGCCGCAAGGGGTAAATGAACACAGGCCCCTGTATATGGTCTACTTGTGTCCATAAGTACATGAGCCCTGATAGCCGGAAGGAGATACAGAATATTTGGAGGTGGGGTGTCATACACGGCCTCTTATGCCCTCGCGTCAATCGTGCCGCCAACTCAAACCTCAGGAATAGCAACACATGAAATTGAAGCATATCGAACGACTGTCATCAAATCCTGTTCGAGAGTTTCGCAAACTGGGTGGTCTGACTTTTTGATTAATAGTAGACCTCGTATTATATATTCTGCACGGATGGTGCACAATAGAATCTAAGTGGTAAGAAGGCTGTCACGAGCGTAAGTTATCTAACCCTTGTTAGACTTTTCGAGCTCGGCTTGGAATGCTCCAATAGATAGATCCTCAAGCTAGACAAAAGGAATACTTCAGTATCCTCTTTAATACTTGGACGTCTCACGGAGGCTACATACTTTGGGTGCAAATGGCCATGCCTCGAATGCTCGCTCGATGAGAGCCCAGTCCGCGAGTGTGAGGAAGCGAATCTGCTTCGCCATGTCCACCCGTTGTTCCAGCGGGAGAGATTCGTCGGTCAATGGTTTGATGAGGACAGACGCGCCGGGGGCGAGTGATCTATATCCACGTCTGGTATCAGCACCAATCAGTAGCACGACAGCGAGGGAAGCCAGACGGACCCGATAGCCTTCTTCAAGGCTGTCGATTTGAGAACAAAAAGTCGTCGAAGCACATAATCCCACTCGTCAAGACGGCCCTTGGCAATGATCTGAAACGAATTCAGTCAGACTATTCCGTCATTCAGCGTACATGGAAGTTTACCTGCTCCTTCATCGGGGTAATATTGACAGACACCAGTGGATGGCCCAGTTTTCTCGACTCGGGTTTGGCCTTCTGCGTGGCGCTCGGCGCACCAGCAGTGGGGTGCCAATGTGCGTTATATGGCAGAAGATCCTCTGGTGGGAGGGAGAGGCTGAACTCAGCCGTAGCTTCAGCGATGACGCTCAACTTACATCGCTGCTGTGAACCGGGAGGGGCAGATACGCGCTAAGAATGTAGATCACTGAGCATGAATCTGCTTGAGAGATACGTTGATGAGGAGCTCACCTCCCACACATGTTTACCCATGATAAAACTCATGGGTACGCGTCCAAAGCGGAAGAGCCAAGAGCTCTCTGGTATGCAGCGGAAAAGCTGGGCAACTAGCTGCTCGCCTTGAATGCTATGAGGGATGTGGGTAACGAAGTGAAAGCTAGGGTGAACTTGATACAGAGAATTCAGGAAAGATATTCCATGTGGCGAGCGACTTGTTTCGTACCTTCGTCAGAAGAAACATAGGGAATGTCGGCTAAGAGGCCCATTTCCTCTAACTGGGTGTAAGTAGCCCACGTGAACCCGCTGAGCGGGACAATCTTGACTCGAGGGTCTGCTTGTTCAAGAGGCTGAGACAGTCAGCATCAGGTGCGTCTGATTCGAGAACATCGAAGACAGCTCACGCGGAGATACTGAAGGTACGGCTCATGGTCCTCGAGGATGATGAGTTTCTTCAACTTTGAAGGAGGTAGCTTTAACAATGCCCGAGACAGCTGACCGGGTCCTAGAGCTTCGTCACCGAAAAGATCTCTGCGTAGAAAGAGAGAGAAAGACGGACCTGGAAAAGCCTCTACGACGGTTTTGGGTTCATCTGAAGACGTATGCGGATTGTCAAGAAAGCTGTAGGCCAATTTGTCTGCAAGCTCTAGATTCCGAACTGAGACACGGTCGCGTACGACGAGCTGATGAACAGCGAAGTATGATCGCCAATTGTCGATGGGCGGAAGCTCTAAGGTGTCTGTCGAAGGCACTATGAGTTCCGGTTCCTTCCTGGCACTTCGACCTCTGCGGGGGGTATCATCCTTCAGGGAAGCTGGTGGTCGCGTGGCAGCTGTCCTAGCGGCGGTGCGCACTTGTATTGAGCGAGCTTTAAGCAGGGAGTGCGCGAGCGGTTGTGAACGCAAGAGCGTTGATGAGAGCGACATGAAGCCCAACGCGGCTCGCGTCAAGTTATTTGACTTTTTTCTTTTTACCACTAACTGCTATGCCACGTGCGGAGTGTTTGAAATTTGGCAAACGCTCCTTATGGGGTGCCACAATTGTGGTCGTGCCCTTGTGCAGCATCATTGTGCGCGGACTCGACGGCCACGCATGCGAAAATGCAAGACAATGAAAAGGCAGCTCCGGCTTTGCTGAAACCTTGCCCTTGCTCGCCGTCTGTGCGTCCTTTCGCCTCGCTTTTCTTGACGTGCCCTGGCCTGTTTCACCTGGAATGACTGCGCTCCGTCTCTGCTCGCCCCAGGATATAAGGCAGCCTTCAGGTCTACTTGCACGATCCTCTAACTCTTTCATTTTCATGGTCAGGTACCTCTCGGGCTGGAGGTCTTTGTCCGCTTTCTTTTGTTCTCTACTAGGCAGTTCCCTTATTATCTCACGCCATGGACCGGGTCAGGAAACTCTCCATATCAAAACTGTTTGCAAAGAAGTGCGTCATCCCTTTTGCTTTACCTCTCATACACTTCACCCCTTTCTCAGATCCATTCTTCAACACTTGTAGGTCTGAATTCTCGTTTCCATCCCGCCCACCTCTTCAACACGCCAGCGCCACATCGCCAAACCCTGTTGAACGCGCTTACGACAGTCCCCAGCTACCCGGCTCCCTGGACGACCCTGACTCATACAAGTCGGCCAGACGTTCACGATCAATGCCTCTAGGATTTACACTGCCTCCTACCATACCCAAACCTGGGAAACTCGTCAAGAAATCCACCAGGTCCAACAGCCTTCGCTCTCGGGAGCGTGGCTCAGAAGCACGGCCAAAACACAAAGGCCCACCCCCTTTATACAAAGAGGCACTTCGTCACCCAGGCCTTCTTGTCAGCGCACAGCCAAATGTCACTCGCGCACTGCGCTACGCATACGATAGCCCAGAGTCGGACTTGAGCGAAGAAGAAGGAGAGCGAAGGGAACAGGTTCCCAATCGTGATGACAGTACTATCGCTGGAGTCGAAATGGGAGTACTGGTCTACGAGGCACAGAGTGTGGCTGTTGGTGTATCTGGGTCATCTACTGCGTCTCAAGGCATGCATCCTATCAAACGGGATCCCGCTGCTGTGCTTCAGAGAAGCGCTTCGTTTTCTCAGCCCACTCGCCATGCTTATCCGCACCTCATACATCGAGCCATACAAGAACAGACGGTCAACATGACTTCTCCAATGTATTCACGCCCATCTGCAACACCTATTCATAGTCAGCAGCGATCTGTTACCTCACCTTCTGTCCTCCCGGCCCCCAATCATCCAATCTCCTTTCCTACTCCTACCCGTCACCGCCCAACGCGATCTTATAGCCCAGCCAGAATTCCTTCACAACGCTCGCTGGCTCGCACCCCTCCACTGGGCCCCCCTCCCATGCCGTTACTCAATCATCCTTATAACACTTCAACTCACACACTTCGTGCATCCGATTCTACACTCCGAGCATCGTCATCTATGTCTCGCATCTCTTCCGCCAAGCATCGTGATCGTCCTTATGATCTCAAGGACAAGGGGAAGAAGCATTATGTTGCAGGCGTATGCTTGGATGACTTCCCCGCACCACCAATGCATCTTCCAGAGCCAGCATCTTCTTCCCGTGTGCGTGGCTATCCGAACGCTATGTACAGTCAAGCCACCGTTACGCAGCGAAGTCAGACAACACTGGCTCCCTTGCCTGCTGGTGCACGTCCGTCTGCTTTTGTGCAGAAGAGGGAGGATCCTTGGCTTGCCCGGACCCCGCTGTATGATGGGGCGCGACCTTCTTTCGGCTGATGCTTGAAAGCCACGGTACATGAGAGGCTGTGACTGTGCGCTGAATTACTTTTGATTTTGACGACGATAATAATGACCCTCCATGTTTTCTAGTTACTCGCGACGGGATCGCCCCCCTCCTTCTTTTTCGTTTTACTTTCTCGTGATAGAACCAACTACCATGTACCAGTCACACTTTCGTTACCATAATACACTTCTTCTCATTCACCATCTGTATAGCTCAATGTCCCGGTACGCACGCATATCACGTTTGATACGTTTCTGTAGCCATAATATGCTCTTTTGTGTATCACTGCCTCTAAATAATCATGACATTGACATTTCCACTCCGCGATGCGCCACGGTAGCGCAGACCTAACCTTACTGCGGGCCAGCTGTTTGTGGCACCACGCCTCACCCTGCCTCACCGCGTATTGACTACGACGCATTCTTGTTCCCCCTATACTCAGATCTGTAAGTGATGCCAGAGTTGCACCCCGCTCATCGACCAACTCCGTCTCGCCGTCGCTTCTCTGCGACCGCCACGTCCTCCAACAATCCAGTTGTCCGTCGCAAGACCAGCACTAAATTCCCACCGAGATCCCTTCGTCTATCTCGTCGCCAGCGCATTTCGACATCCAGTCCTCGCACAGAGTATACAGAATTACCAGATGGCTCAGACCATGAACGCTCTTCTCTTCTGTCGAGTTACTCAAGTGACGGAGAGGGGTTTGATGCCGCCGACGGACTTACTACTTCTCTGCCTCACACACTGTCCACAAGAGCCAGTGAATCTAACCTGGAAGCCTTAGAGAACTTCAGAAATTCCCTCCGCCAAGCTGATTTACTGCAGCAGAACAGGATACCCTTGACGTATGCTTCACTGCCGCCTACTCCCATCACCTCCAGTCCTCCAGAGCGGCGAAGAGAGCCCAACTCGCCGGGTCATGCTGAGAACTTGTTACACGAGGAGGTCCACCCATTCTCGTTATGGGATTATCTGAGAGAAGAACTGCTGGCCACGGACTTTGACTCCCATCAAGAGCTGAAATGGGAACGAGTCAGCAATTTTCTGGCCATTCCACTTGCAACAGAGAAGGTCAGTACCTTTTGGAATCCGCGTAGCACTGCGCATCTGACGGTCGCTTGATCATGCGGTCAATAGATTGTATCGTTCGGGTTCATTCTATGCTTTGACTCCTTCCTCTACACATTTACTATTCAACCCATCCGCTTTGTCGTTGCCCTGTGGCGTCTCGCTCTCAACACCATCTTCCGCACGAAATCATCTCTGCCTCCCTCTCAGAAGGCCGACATATTACGGACACTCTTGCTCGCGCTCTCAATCATGATTCTCATTCCTCTCACGGACGCCAGTAAGATATATCACTCCATTCGGGGTCAGGACACGATCAAATTGTATGTCATATTCAACGCGCTCGAAGTAGGCTATTCCACTTCGTCTTGAGAATGACATGCTCATTCATGATGTTCAAGATCGGGGACCGTCTGTGCGCGTCTATAGGGCAAGATATTATCGATTGCTTATTCTCGCGCTCGACTCTGCTGCTGCTCTCGCATAGGGTGCCCCTCACAACGCATACCTTGCGGCCGATCCTCTTCTTCTGTCTTGCCACATGTTATATTGGTGTGTATTATTCCACACGTCTTATGAGTCGATATGCTCATCAACTTGAGCAGTGCTTCATGCCCTCGTTATGGTCTATCAACTGTTATGTCTCAACGTAGCGATCAACTCCTACGACAATGCACTTCTATCATTGTTGATGTCCAATCAGTTTGTTGAGATCAAGGGCAGCGTCTTCAAGAAGTTTGAGAAAGACAGTCTGTTCCAGATCACCTGTGCCGGTACGTCGTACGCCGTACATAGCAGGACGTTCTCGCTGCTGACTTGTGAACACCTACCGAAAGACATTGTGGAGCGCTTCACTCTAGCCATTATGCTCTTCTTCGTCGGCTTCCGCAATCTGATAGAATTGTCAGGGTCTGACTTTGACTTCTCCGAAGGCGTCTTCCTTCCGAAGAGCTTTGGGTTCTTCAAAGGGGGGTTTGGTGGTGGTGTCCTCTGGACGATATCCTATGTACGTGTCACTCTTCTCCGTATGTGATTTTGTCAACTACCGTTCAGCTGATACCGTGGGATTAGCCCGTAATGACCGTTATGGTTTCGGAAATGTTCGTCGATTGGCTCAAGCACGCTTTCATCACGAAGTTCAATCACATTCGACCCTCTGTCTACGAGCGATTCACCGACGTGCTATGTCGTGACCTGGCCACAGGCAGCGCATTTGGGCGCCTCGGCCGCAAGGTATGCTCCATTCACCCTTCCGATCCTGCAGTTTCATCTGACCCAAAGAAGTCGTTACTAACGCAGAATGTGTTATCCTCGCCTAGCATACATATGTGGATCAATCTCCCGTGGTAGCTCGTCGACTAGGATTCGCGGCTCTCCCCCTCGCTGTTCTCACAATCCTTATCGGATCACAAGCAATCAACCTCCTCATCGCCTCGGCTTCCGCCCCCTCCTCCAGTATCTCTTCCGGCCTTCGCACAGCTGAAAACGTTGGGGCCAGCGTAGGGACAGGAACGCTCTCTCTGTGGCCGGACGTGAGTTGGAGTGTGTGGATGGAGAGTTTGAGGAAGAATGATACGAGCATCGGGGAAGGATTAAGGGAACTTACTGTCAGCGGGGTAAGAGGCTTGTGGTGGAAGGCTGGCAGTGTGGACTGGGAACGGACGGCCGTCGTCGCGAAGTGGGGAACTCTGGGACTGGCATTCTGGATGTCGTAAGCCTCCTTCCACCGACGGGACCTCCCCTATCTATGCTCGCGCAGCGTGATCGGAAAATCTGACGGAATGATTTATCCCATAGGTTCGTGGTTGTCAAAATCATAATGGGCGTCAACTTGGTGAGCTACGCGTCGAGGAGAAGAGCTGGGATGGAGGCTCGGGAAGAGGAAGACAAGATCAACGATTTCGGGAGGGATCCCATCGGCGAGGGACAAGAGGAACGGGTGCGCTTTCACATCTTACTGTTCGCCCGTCACTTGACGTTCGCTCATCTGTGGCACTTCGAAATAGAAATACAACCGCGAGCTCAAGACTCTCCTCGACAACGCACGAGATGATGCACATCTGGCCTCTGATATAGGGGAGAATGTCACTCGTGGTCGAACTGTTGGAGACGGGCGGAAGGAAGGTGCCAATGGTGGTGGGGAGGGCAAAAAGCAGAGGGTGAAGCTGGAGGATTTGACGAGATACACGATGGTTAAGCGTATTTGGTAGGAATAATGTAGCCGCTTTTTACGCCTTTCCAATAGGAAATCTGTCGCTCTGCCGTGGCCCATGCGTCTTTATTGTGCGCAAGACAAGAACTCAGTACATTGCCTAAGCTCGCCAACGTCGCTGTGTCTCCGAGACCCGTAAAACCTGCCCCGAGCTTTGCTGAAGTCTTCATCTTCAATGCAACCCCTGTAGTCCTCTCAATTTCATACCGTTTCACATCGATTTTTTGCCGTGTTGACTCCGCTGTCTCAGCTGATGTTGGTCCAAGGCTCTTTCCAAAGGTATACGGTGCCTCGCTAAGAGTCCAATTCTCTCCTTTCTTGCCTCCTGAGTCGATGTCACAGAATCCTTTCGATCTGGACGCTGGAACGATCGCTCCTGTTGGAGGTTGTTTACCTTCTTGGGCTGTAGGCTGTAGGCATAGGACGCCTCCCGATAAACCCACTCTTCTCTTTTTGGAATGGGTCCAGTAGGTGTCGGAAGGCTTAGGAGCGACGCATCTCCGACGGAAAAGGCCTCGGACAGACATCGAGATAAGTAGTAGGCCTAACTCCCGGCCAAGCTCGTGTACAGACACCTGCATGCTCTGCCTGTACGGTTCCTCTGCAATAGCGGCTACATGGAGGAAAGGTGGTGGAACCAGAGGTACGTCCGTGGACTGTTCGACTCACCATGCAAAAATAGTTGTGCGACCTGCGTCCGGCCAAGTGATCTTCTCCGAGGTCCTCAAATGTAATGTCTGGACTCTGGACGGAGCTGAGCATGGTTCACGCCTTGTGGTATGACGAAGGCGGTCGAGCGTCTGGGAAAACGAGATACTCGAAGCGAAAGGGGAAGGAGAACGGGCTTTCCCGTTCGTCGAAGCGTCAATGTGGGCCTGAGAGAGGTATGTTAAATAAGAAGGAAGGTGCTTATCCCGCTGCCCTTTGCCAGCAGAGTGAGAAGAGTTCATACTTGGTTTAGACAGATACGTGAACAAAGGTATGACATTTTCGGTTGCAGTAGGTGGGAACAAGGATATCTTGGTGGGTCATCATGAGAAATTAGAGGAAAGACAATAATGTGGCCTGCTTTACTTCAGACAGAAGAATAACGAGAATAACGACAACACGCACGGGTACAGAGGATGAACCGAGAGCGGACAGGACATTCTTCAGCTTTGAGGACAAACAGGAGGTGAAGTTGAGAACCGTCAAGGTCAACGCATTGAGAGAACTATCCGTCAGGGATTGCCAAAGCTGAAGCGGACGAAGAGATTTCGTCGTGCCAGTCTGCTGAGTAGCCAACGTCGCAACTTAGTAAACCATCGTTCCACGCTCACCTTCGAAACCTTTAGCCGAGAGACATAGAGTATAACTGCATTGAACTCAGAAGATCCAAATTTAAAATAAGTCGCGGTTGCACAGTAAGGGATATCGCACGAATGAGTGGCTGGGCAACGAAAAGGACAAGGAGGAAACACTGGCGCAGGGACCAGAAAGAACTACGACCACCTGCGGCTCTCACGAATGAATCCTTCGACAGCCTCCTTTGTGAGCATCCTCGCTATCTTCCCGCAGTTGCCACATTTACGTTCGGTCCTTTCGAACATGTCCTCCCCTTCTGACTCTGGTGTCATGTAGTCAGGATGCCTATCGCCAGCGTAGACCCTGGTTTTTCCTCCATGGTACCATTGAGGTTCTTCCGATGAAAGAGCTTTTAGTATATAGCGACGGAGGACGATGTGCCAAATCAAAGACAAGAGCGCGTGAACCAGGAAGTGTGATATGGAATTGCGGATTAGGGCATATATGTAGCGGTTTACATCAGTTTCGTTCGTCATGTCAAATGCGAAAAATGTGAACTTCACATGGTGGATGTGGTGCGAGATATGATATCCAGTTCACACTGAGTCTGCATTCTCGAGAAGGATCTCCTTCCACTCGCATCGCTGTTCCTCCCCAGCGACGACCTGCGACGTCGTCTCTCTTCTTGATGCTAGTACATCGGCCTACTACCGATGTGTGTGTGCCATTTTGAACGACGAGGGCGGACGGGCAGATGTGGAGGTGAGGCCACCCCCGTATAAAGTCCACGATGAATGTGAATTGAACTCTGATGCTCCAACGGGACAAAGTTCCGAAATATTGAACTCAACATGAGTTTAGTTCACATCGTGGTTTGGCGATGTAAACCGCTACATAT